ACACAATCTGGCGCCTGCGCAGGGACAATTCCTGGTACACGGTAGACATAGACTTCCGAGAAAGGAAACACATCTTAAGCCGAAAACAAGTTAGAATGCAATCTGGCAATGGACATGGTTGCATCTTACTCAATTATTGGCATGCCTCATCATCTCTGCTAGAATATTGTTTGTTGGCGATGATTTTTCAGTTTCAGACTTGGAAGTGAGTAAGGTCCAACCCTGACACTTTTTTTTTTTGGTGTGTCTTTATTTCTATGTGTTTGTTTGTTGCAGGCTTGCAAGTGAGTAAGATCCGAATACTTGCGGTGCCATCCTTTTTTGAGTTGTTTGCTTTCGACTTCAAGCTTTGTTTTTATTTGGGTGTTGTTCTTGTACGTATGTGAGTAACATCCAAACATGTCCTTTTTCAGATTGTTCTTATTTGTTTTTCCGTTTTGAATCTCAGGAGATCAGAAGCCAAAGGTAGCAAGGAAAAGTGGTTGGGCCCAAACACACCCCGCTTGGCACAGTCCTTTCTTTCTCGGTTTTACTTCATCGTCGCTTTCCACCAGACAAAGTTCCTTCCTTTCCCTTTCCACAAGAACAAACGTTGACTAGCTAACTTCTTGCAGGGTCTCAGTCTGGCCCAGCCACCGAAACCACTCAAACTCCTGCAAATGGACATGCCAAACTCCTGAAAGAGTTCGCAAGGCGTTGGTCCGGCGGAGCAGTTCCAAAAATTGGAGGTCTGGCCGTTTTGCGGTTGGTTGTGGTTTGCTTTCCTTGAGAAATGGACCGTGCTCCTTATCGAGGCAGCTGGTAGACAAGGAGTGTACAACCACTCAAGTCAAACCGCTGGAATCTGCAGAGCTAGGCAGGGATAAGGCACCGCAAGGGGTGAGTCGTGTCTGCAACATGGCTGCCAACGTGTCCAATATAAGGAGGGCTCCCTAGTGAACCCCCCTCCTGTTCTTCCCATCACCCAGATCACTCAGTTGTTCAGTGGCACCACTTAGTTTCCCTCTAAAAATGGTCTTCCCCAAGAAGGTTCCCTTTTTTTCCCAGGGTCACTGAACAACTGAGATCATACTCAGAGGTACCTCGCTGGCATGCTTGAGATTCTGCAGATGGGCGGGCGTGTATGCGGTGCCCTGGCAAGAGGGCCTTTAGCACGAAAAAACAGCGCCCCCCCTCCCAGAAAAAAGACAAAACAAAAACAGACCCCCCCCCGAGGATTCTCCCCAGATTTCTTTTGGCCTTGTGTTGGTATTTGCCCTGATGTTGACCCCTTATTTGCCCCAAGGCCGAACCCCAACACCTGCCAAAGAGGGCCTTTTGGTGGGGAATGGTAATTTACACAAGTGCCCCCATCCCTATCGGCTGCCGAAATTGCCGTGCAACCGGACAAGTCTCCCAGTTAGGTTAAGTCAATATTTTTGTGACATGATGACAAACGTGCCGTCTACTGACAAACCTTGGTGTGGTAGTTCGAAGCTGACTGCGTTGTCAAAGCAGCTTCGAAGGATCCTGAACCTTGCAAGGGCAAGCAATAAACAGAAATCTATGTTCGCGTTGGCGATGGGGCATCACCTATGGCTTCATTTTGGGGTGGATGAACACAACCTATGCCACCTATTTTGATGTTCACCAGGGGTACAGGGTTTTGACCCTCAGCCATTTTGGCACGGCTTGGGCAATTGGTTTGTCCCTTCGAGGGCTAAAGTCCCGGTGCAAAGATGCTGCTTGCCAGATTCCATTTCCATGTAATAACTTCCATTTGCGTTTCAGAATATTTGTTATTTTCCCCTGTTGGTTTTAAAGGACATCTATCACTACTGGACGTATTTTATCATTTCTTCAAGGGGTCCTAACCAAATGGAAGATAAGAGGCAACCAAGGGGACCAGTCTTTGCAAACCAGGAAGGTTACTGGTTTGCTGGTGGAAACTGGATGCGGCTTGCCTCAGGTTACCAGACGGACCTTTACTTCGCTACAGAGCGGATGTACCGCTTGCCGGAGGAGACCCTCTGGTATGTGCAGTCGCCGCTGCCGACCTTTGTGCCGGAGCCACAGAGCCACAGGTCTCTGAGTCAGACTCATATATGGCTATGTGTTTGTAGGCTATGGAGTGGGCGAATGAACGGTTTCAACTCAATGCGAAATGCGGAACACCATTTATTTGGCTCTTGCTTGCGAACATTCGCCTGTGTAGAAAAAGGAAGCCAGGAACAAAACAGCAAGTTTAAGGTTAAAGGAAGCCGACAAGAAGGACACGCCACTTAAATGAAAGCTCGGCTCCCCCGTTTTCAGCCGCCCTTCTCGGAAGTTTTTTTTTTGGGAGGCGCTGGGCTTAGGTCAACCGGAGGCTGGAGGTTTCCGGGGTCCGAAGGTTGCTGCGCTGTTCGTCTCACCTTGGGTTTCTGGGGCAAATGGCTGTGGTGGGGTCGAAACCGTTTTGGGATCCCATTTTGGTTGGGAGGTGCAACAGCCATTTTAGTACCCATTTGAGTGGTTGGATTGGTTGTTCACTGGCGGCTAACAGATTTGGATTTTGAGCCATGGCCAAATGGTACTTGATCTCAACAAATCACAGCGTTCAATGGTGGCAGACTTCAGCTCCAACTTTTTTGGCACCCATTCTGGGGGTCCCCTAAACAAGTCACGCACCCGTTCAGCGCCCACGGGTCCCGCCGGAAATTGGTCCGGCCGAGGCGCTCCGCGCTGCCGCGGCGGCAGGGCCACTTCGCGGCGCGCTGCTTCGCGACGCTGCGATCGCGGCGGGCCTTCCTGATGATTCACCCCATGAGGAGCGCTCGAGACGTGACGGAAGAGGAGGCCCTCTGGAACAACCCGTTGGGGCCGACGTGAAAAGGCAGCCCCGGGGAAAAACGCCTTTTGTTGGGGTTCCGAAATGACCCCCCTTTTTCTCCAAGAGAAAGAGGTACGTCCAGCTCACTTCCTGAGTTCCTGGACTTGAAACTGTTTGAGAAGGCCATTTGAGTGGTAGATCAACAGCTCGGACTTTTTGGACCAATCCACTCGGGACCAACGTGAAAAGGAGTTCCGGGGAAAAACAGCCCGTGGGCGGTTTTTGAAATGCCCCCTTAACAAAAAAGAAGAATGAAGAACATGGCACCTGACAGAGGGTCCCTTGAAGGGGGAACTGATTTTCAAGGTACCATCCCACTGCTATGGTAGTCGGAAGGGTGCCCTTTTCCCACCTGGCAGTGGGTCCACTTTGGGCTGAAGGAAAGTCTTCCAAGCTGTCAGCCACTGGAAGGGTGGCAACACGAGGTGGGTTGGTGGGTGGGTGGGTTGGCGGGCAGGTGGGTTGGTGGGTTGGTGGGTTGGTTGGTTGCCCTCTTTACTTCCCATTTGGACTCGACGGGGCGGCGATGCATCGACCTAAGTTGCTGTAGGGTGAAGAGAGAAGGAACGGTTTGTCTTAAAGAAGGCCGGCCTGGGATGGATCTTTTCGTCCCCCTTGGTTTCTCCTTAAAGCGGTAGCCTTACAAAAACACAGACCCATGTCGTAACATCTTTGCGAGACCCCTTCTTCTGCTTCTTCTTCTTCGTCTTCTTTTTCTTGACACAAACCGCAAATTCTTCCATTTGTTTCAGAATATGTTCTCTATTCTCCCCTGTGATTTTTCAAGGGAATCGTTTTCACTACTGGACGAACATATGCATGGTTGTTGTTGGGAAACATTTTATTTTTTTGCCTATTGTGGTTTAGCGGGAAATCCAACCACTTAACTGCTAACAATTAAAATTGTTGCTTCTCTTCCAATGTCAACCAAGTACGTATTTTCATTTCTTCCAGACCAAATCTTCGGCACAGGACCAAAAGAGGAAGTGTAGGGAGCCCTGTAACCCCTCCCCCCCGATGCTTCCCCCGCACCAAATCTTCGGCCAAAGCGACCAAGCGCCTCAAAAGCGACCGAAGCGGCCGAAGCGGCCGAAGCGGCCGCAGGACCGCGGGCACCAGCTTCTGCGACCTCGCCTCGCAGTGGTTCCTCCTGAACCGCCGCGGCGGAGCTGGCAGCGCCGGGCGCTGAGGGGCTGAAATCCTTCTTTTTTTTTTGGATGGGTGGGGAGAGCCCCCCGGCTTTTCTTCACTGTTCTTGGATCAAGTGTTTTTTCTCTGTGTGTGTGTTTGTTTGTTGTTTTTTTCTTTTCTTTTTTGGGGTTCTGTTCATTTTTAGGTTGGGGGCGCCTGCAAGAAACAGAGAGGAAAGTCTTTTGCAAGGTCATACCAACGGTTGTGAGGCTTTAAATTCGCTGAACATTTGGCGTCCCATGGGGGTCAGCTCAAAACGAGAGTGCTCAAAAAGACGCACCATGTATATTTGCCTCTTGTTTGGGGGGGTTGAGCATCAGCTTTAGCTCCTGCCTGACTGACCAGGAGTTTCACCAGGTGCCCCCCCCAAAAAAAAGAACAAAAAAGCGAGCCGGAGTCCCCCCCCTGTAGATTGGAACACACTCCCTTAGTTGATCAGAAGGGGTGTTGCCTCCCCCACGCCAACAGTGATTTGGCTCTAACATGGGCTGCAACCCCTATTCATCAACCAGCGGCATGAACAGGGGAAGCACACCTTCCCAACCAAAAACATGAGTTTTGGCATGTCCGGAGACTTATCGAGAAGTGACGAGCCTCTGCAAAGCTTGAGATGTGCCCAAGGATAGGAATTGCCGCCTGGACAAAACCGCTGTCTTTGCCGACGTGGCAGGAGACCGCGAGAGAAACCGGCGTGCGAAGGGGAGTTTTACAGGAATAGGGCAAAACGAACAAGGGAAACAGCTGCATTTTGTCTCCCTCCAAATAGGCGGTTTTCGGTTGGTTGGGTTTTCGCTTCACTCTTATAAATCTTATACAGTGTGTGGTACCATGGTTGTTTGCAATCATTTCCAAGTGAAGGGTGTGTGTTGAGGCTTGGTTTAGGCCGGGACGTCCTTCTTTTCACCCGGCATAAGGGGGGGATTTGCTGGGGTGATTTGAGTCAGTGACAATCTGATTGGCTGCAAGTCTTTGGTCACAACTTCGCGACTGTCACGTGACTCGTCGCCGGCTCCGGCCGCAGAAGGGCTGCATTGGCGGCTCCAAGAGCTCGGGCTGCGGGTTTCGTGGGCTCGCGAAAAGACACGGTGCAGATGCCAGTGACAACACCATAGACTGGATACTAAAGGTTCAAGATTGGTTTGAGTTGAAGGTGTGAAGTGGAGGTGCGGTGGACTTCAGAGACTAGGTTTGGGTGGAATGGGACGACAGCTTGGATTTGAATGGAGGAGTTCTCAATCTACACACTAACATGTCACGTGACAGGGGGTGACGTTAGCGGGAGGGACTGTAAACGACACAATTCCCTCTAGTACCATCTACTGTTTGGTTCCAATTGTTGGCTCAAGTGTCTCACAACACGGATTTGGGCGTTCTCAAAGCACCACCAATATGCTGATGTTCCTTTTGGTTCAGTTTATACCAACCTAACAGGGAACCCTCAAATCAAAAGACTGAACCCCATTTGTTGACGTCTTTGCCGTGACCATGACAACCAATCACCACATCATTTGTTCGGAGTTTCCCATCGACCCTTTTCCCTTTTGGTTTGTGTCGCGAACCTACTAAACATGGTCAGCCCGCCTCCCTCTCCCCACACAAAACAAGTACACTCTTCTACCAGTGTCCTTGAGTACTGTGAAAGCTTGCGCATTGACCTTAGATCGAAGGAGCACCTTTGCTGGATCCTGACATCCAGGTCGGGACCGGTGTGGGCGAGCTTTTGGTGTGTGTGTTTTGGACACCAACGTTGTTCAAGGCGACCCCATTCGGAAACCACCCAGAAGGACAGCAAAGGTACATGGCTGATCCTTCAAGCGGACCCTCAGATTTCTTGAAACTGGACGGTTCATTCCTCCAAAAAAAGCCACGGCTTGCTTCCCTAAGTCTCATGACCCCTATGCCAAAACCTTTGGGCCCTGGGAGCTTGCAGGGGCCTTTGAAAGCGACCCATTTTCTTGGTTCGCAGCCATCCGGTCCATTTAACCAACAAGGAAATATTCACTTCTAGCAAGAAGTCTGAGAGACAACCCACGTTGAGGGCCCAGAAACCATCGAGTTGGTGCCAAAGGGGGTGGATCCAAGTTGGTCAGCCCAGAGGATGACGGACCTTCGTCAAGGAACCCTCTCATCCCAGCCCGACCCTTGTTGCGGGTGACTCCAAAGAAGCCCGCCCGAAGAACAAAAAAAAGCCTGGGAGATAGCAGCCCCCTACTGCACCCACGCTAAAAAGGGGAGCCGCAATGAAACTCAACCAGGGCTTCTGCGTGCCAAGTTTTATGGCCAGAGCGTTGTACAGTTCCTGGGCTGTGAGCGACGTGAATGTTAAGATAGGGAACACCCTACACGGGCGGGCAGAAATGCAAAGGGTTCCCAGTTAGCAGTCATACCCAAGCGCATTGGCGAATTTTCATTACCCGATTTCCACCTGAAACTTGTGCCTCGGCATGCCGCCGCCCCCACCCCCACCTAAATCCCACACCTCCCAAACCCCACCCGGCCAACACCCACCCGCCCACGAACAAGCCAACAAATGAACTGTCTACCCCGTGCGGGTGGGCCAAAATCATTGGATATGGCCTGACATGTTGTAGCAATATGTATGTCAAGTTTTGTTGGCAGGGCCCAAAGACCAAGTGACGGACAAGGAAACTAAGACAAGCTTCCTTTCGATATTCGCTGATGGTTGGTTAAGAGAAATGTCTCAACTTTCATCCTTTTGGTTAAGGAGGTTGGCCACATTCGCTGGCTTTAACCTTCCAAGTTGGTTAAGATATTTTGTCTTCCTTCCGATGTCTCAATTTGTCTTTTTGGTTAAGAGAAATGGCCCGCCTCTTTTTGGGGGCAGCTCAAGCAGATCTCGAAGCCAATGAACGGATTCGTGGAATTCTGAGGCGCCTCAGCTCTTTGCCCGAGGCATCGGCGCCTGGGTGGAAGATCTGACCGTTCGAGCCAAGAGATTTGCCGTTTGCGGTTCGCTGCTTTGTGGCTGAGCTTTGTCGATTGTTGCTGAATATGTTTTTGTTTTTTGTTTTTGCTCTTCCGGAGTTCCGTTTCGGACTGTACTCAGTTTTGTTGGGTTTGTAGATAACAAAAAGAGAAAGTTCAGACTTGGTGTGGCAAACTAGCTGGGAAGCAAGTATTTCCTTTGATTTCCATTGGGGAAATGACCATGGCTGTTTCTGTTGAAGCGCTGGTACTGCTTAAGTTGATTGCCACTAAGAGCTGGGGCTCCATTGAAAAACGGAGAGGTGTCGTTCGTCGTAGCAAGGTTTTGGCCAAACCCCGGCTCTCGGGTTTCTGTGACATGGTCCCCAGCCAGCGATCGGTGCCCTTTCTCGCCGTTTCTTTTCTGGTTGGGAGGGCTCCAACCTACTAAAATAGACTACAGAAAAAAGTTGGTACCCTTATTCTATCCTCTCTACTGGAGGACCTAGGTGAGTTGCATTGCTGCTTTCTGAACTGCTTGCCTTTTTTATGTGTTTCCTTTCAACCTGCAAAACGCTGGGAGGGGTTGAAGCATTATAAGGTTGGCCTGGGATGATGGACGCTTGTTGGGGGTTGCAATGTCAACTCCGAATTCATGAACTTTTCGGTTTATTTGGAGACCAGTTTAATTGGGCATAGTCAAGATTCAAGTGAGCGGCCAACATCCAAATTTACCATTTTAAAATATGGTTATACCTAATTTCACGGTTGTACTATGATGCTGTTCTATATCAACCTCAATCATGGAAGAACCAGCCCATCGTCCACCTGAATTCCGAAGGTCCTCTGCATATCCATTAGCCACTCATTTGGTTTGACGCTTCTGAGTTTGCTGAAATCCAGACGGCTTCCCAGAGGGGGGGCTTCTTTGTTTCCCTTTTTGCTTTATGGCTATTTGGCAACGGATCTTTGGACTTCACTTTGTTGGTTGAAGCAGCTCGGATGTTCCACACCCGCAAAAGGTTGTTCACTTCTTGCAGAGGGGTCTCGCCGGCAAACACCGTTTTGACTTTGACTGAGTGGTTTCCCTTTAGATTCACGACCAAGCTCTTTCAACATGGCCGGGCGTGCCTTTAAAATCAGCCGCACCTTTTGTGCAGTGGTGGTTCTGCCCGTGAAGGTCAACCACCACAGCGATGCCCTTCCTTGGCCCCTGGAAAAGCCAATCCGTTAGTGGATCCATTTGCTACCTGGTTTTGCAGCTAGGCAAGGGCTTGTCATCCAATGGACAAAGAACAGACATCAACAGGGAACCAGCGAAGGGTTACCTACTACACGGAGGACAAAAAAAGTCAAAAACAAGAAGAAAAGCACCCCCTCCCCCTCCCCCACCCCACCCCCCCCCCAAAAGAAAAGGAAGGCAACTCCCCCCCACCCCAACTGGTGTCCGATTTGTTTTCCGTTCAAAAGCCAAAGGGAACCTCGCAGCTGCCCTACAAACAGAACATCGCCGAAAGCCCCCGCTCCGGCCTCCGGCCCGGGTGGGCGCGGCCGGTTGGAAGTGTTCGGCTGAGGTTATATCGCCATGGAGCCCAGCTTCACCCACTGGTCGGATGGGGAGTTCTTCTACAACCGCTCGGACCATCGCCTCAAACCAGTCGAATATTTTTGGTGGTGTTTCTTTTTGTCTAGGTCCGGGACCCAGTTTGACCCTTTTTTTGGGGGGGAGGGTTCCAACCTACTAAAATAGACTGCAGAAAAAAGTTGGTACCAACTTATTCCAACCTCTCTACTGGAGGACCTAGAGCATGTTTGTTTTCTCCTCGAGCCGATGGTTCATGGGTCCCTTGGTTGCTGTTTGGATTGGTTGTTTGGATTGGTCGATCTTGATTTTGTTCGAGCGCGCCGATGATCGAAGCCTTTTGTTTCCCAGTCCAATACAAGGGGACACCAGAAGCTGGTTCCATGATTCCATTTGCCTGTGGGTCAAAACCAACGCTGGTGCACCCATTGTAGAACCTATTTTAGTGGATTGGTTGATGTTCACTGGATGCTAACCGATTTGGATTTTGACCTATGGCGGGGATTTCTTCGTTTACGCCATCCAAGGATTAGTACTTCACAGCAGAATTCAGGCAACCCGTCAGGTTGGTGGTTTGGATTGGTGGTGTTGATTTAGATTTCAACCCCCGGACTTTGTAGAGGGTCACCGGGAAACACCTCCAATGGTAGGGGTTGATTCCCCATTCCACCTGTATTTTCCCAAAGGTTTGGGCCCATCTTTTTGATTCGGCAGTCCCTCTCTTATCGGGTGAATCGACTCGAAGAATCGGCTCGAAGGCGATTTGTTGCGAGCCGGGAGTGCCGGAAGCTCATAGCTCGGAGTCCAAGAACCTGAGGGCACCAACCGTGGGCCGTTTTTGGGAGCAACAAAAAAACCTCAAGCTGCGGTTTTGTTACGCTCATGCCCTTTGACATCTTTGGCGTGGCATCGTCTCATTTTTTTGTGCTCCGAGCCTATGATCAAGGCCTTTTGCTTCCGAAATGGTTCTAAAGGTTGATTCCCCAAAACCCCTGAAGAGTGTGGAAGGGGTAAGGCTAGGCTGCTCATTTGCAAGGCCTCGGTGCGAAACAAGCAGATATATAGAGACCAAGAGGGTATGGATTCTTGGATGTGTCTTTTTTTGGGAGACACACAATTGTGGTGTTCCCCGATCCAAAAGAACTCAGACCCACTGTGTTCAGCTTTCCAGAAAAACCCGCCATTTTGCACGCGGGTTGTCATCTTACCGGTTCCAGGTGAGTTTGTCGCAGGGAAGAGTATGGGGGTTGATCAATATTCCTGACCCCAAAATGACCATGGGCAACTTGAAACCTCTTTTGGGCGGTGTCCCTGGTCTTTTTTGTTGTGAGGACCTTTTGATGAACCCATCTGAGAGGAACCATGTGCCAGACTTAGCTCACCTTTTCAACTCTGTCCTTTCTGAGAGGGGGATGCTGTGAGTTTCTGTGGCAATCACTCATTGCTCGCAGAATGTGGTTTCTGTGGCGAGGTCAAGCAGGTCACCCCATCCCCTAAGTACAGTAGCGAAAAGGTCTTTGAGCCCGGCGCATGCCATCCCCGGCCTGCAGGACGGTCCTGGCATGGAGAGGCGGGCGCGGGCCGCCGGGTCGCCGGGCAGCTGCAGTGTCCCATTGGCAACCCCCCACCCTTCAAAGGGGCCATGGAGGTGGTTTTGCCTAGTGTTTGTTTCTTCTTTTTTTAAGGGGAAGGAACTTGCATCCATCGCTCCTTAATGCATTCCGAGAGACTCAAACCGCTGTCATGGGCACGTTTTTTGGTTATTTGTGGCTTCTTTTTCAAATCAGGATATGAGTTCCCACCTACGGAGGATACCGGGAAAGTAGCCCTGGCACGCCGGTGTGGCAGGTCTGGGTTGTTGGGCTGGCTGACTGGGCAGGGTTTGGCACCCTACACCTGCATTAATCCCACGGCAAGCTTATACCCACCGCAAAACCTACCCGAAACCGACCCCAAACCAACCTCAAGCTGCCCTGAACCCACCCCGCCCGACTTTCCTAAGCCCCGAAACCTGGCCTAACCCACCACCCGCAAACGCACGCTCTAGCTTCCAGAAGCCCTGAACTAAACGCACCCTTAACCCCTAAACTTTCCTACTAGTAACCCCAAACCAACACCGAACCTGCCCTAAACTGTCCTAAACCTGCCCTAAACTCCCACAAACCCTAAACCCATGAGTTTTGTGAGGTGCGCTTGGTTGCTCAGCACGCTGGTTTAGGTAAATTCCAAGGTGCAGCCGTACCTTGGGTTGTGTGACTAAACGTCGGAATAACTATCGGGTTTGATTGTGCCCCTTGCAGGGAGTACATGAGCCACAATCAAAACCCGGGTAGATGAAGGTTAGTAAGGGGCAGTCCCAACCAGAAATAGTTGCGGCCGCCTTCTTAATTCTTTACATGGTTCTGGGTAGACCATTTTAATACCGAATCGGTTTTGCTTGTGACTCACATGGACCTGGGAGTAGATGTGTCTGCAGGCACTGCGGTGTTTTTGCTATCCAGGACTCGGTTCCTTCGAAACCGCTTGGCAGCTGACCAGCTGGCTTGATCTTGCTTCTTCGTGAAACCAGCTTGAGCAGAATGTTGGCCCCTTCAAACATGAACAAATAGAAGTATGTAAAAAAGGACCTCCTTTTTTCGCTGTTCAACAAATTTTGCAGCACCAGCGCCTTCTCAGAGACAGGGCTCCAACAAAAAGGGCGCCCTTTCTCCCATTGCCCAACTGTTTCTGACAGGCTGTGGGCGGCTTTGACCAACTCGGCATTCTGGCAAAGCTACGTCACCGTGCTGCTGGTGACGCTTGGCTTAAGAGATTCAAGATGCGCACGGCTGAAAACTGGATCTATTGAACTGGGTGTCTTGCTGGTGCTTCTGGTGTTGCTTCTGGTGGTGCTGCTGGTGCTGGTATGTGATTGGGAAGTGGTGGGCCCTACGCAGATCCTGTGACGGTTGGCAGTGGATGGTTAGCTTTGCTGTGCTGCTCACAAAGCAGCAGGAGCTGTGGAGGACATACATCCGTGCACTCCCAGTGGATCCTGAAGAATGTGTTAATGCGGTACCAATGCTTTCTGAGAGGACCCCACAAAGAGGAGTGCACAACATGTTTCTTCAAAGCAAACACGTACCCTTGTGGGTGATACAACCACAAGGTGGGGAGGGCGGCAGGGGCGGGTGGGCGTACTCATTTAGGCGTAATGAGTCATGGCCACATTTTGCATTTTGCAGGGTCATTGTGAAAGCCAGCCCACTGAAGTCGGGTGGCCATGCATCAACATGTTTCCGCGGTTGGACGGTTTGGACCTGCTGCCGATGTCATCGCATTCCAAACTTGGGAAAGCTGCAGAGACACCGCGCGCTGGTAGCAGCCGAGGGCACACTCCAGATGATAGCGAGCGCATTTTGTTTCTAAAGGGACCCCCCCTTGGTGGCTCCCAGCCATCCGGTTCCTTGGCATTTTAGCGCGTTTAGAGGTAGTTTCCATTTCACCCACTAAAAGTTATTCACTTTTTGCAGGGGACCTGAAAACGGGCAGCCCAGCCCCAAAAGCGGATTTCCTGTTAGTTTCCTCATAGAGCAACAACATGTTGTGCAGCCTCAAACAAGGACACACCCATCTAGTTTCTGAAAATGGACTTCGGACCCCCTTTTAGTTGGCACCCACTCAACGTGGCATTTTGAACTTGGGAATTTGGGAGACGCCTGGGTAGTCCAACATGCGGGGGTTGCTCAAAACGTCCGATAAAGATGGAATGATCATTGGTTGGAGAACCCACTAAAAAGTGGACATATATCAATTACATGGTGGAGATATATCAACAGGGTGGGCAATCACGTTCCCTACGAGCTTGTAGCTAGAGCCATCCTTTTTCAGCTAGCTGATCGGGAAAAAGGATGGAAAAGGCAAGGGCTGAAACTCAAGACAGCAGAAAGGCTTGCCCCTTGTTCCCCCCAAACTTGTCCCCCCCCCCAAAAAAAAAAAAGTTCCCCTCTTGTTCCTTTTTTGGTTGGGCCCTGGGTCATGTTCATTGACGGTGATCCAAGAGAACCACAAATAGATGGCACTGGTAAATGGCGAGAACCAAAGGGAAACCAGTGCATGATCAAACAGACCAAACCACTGGTTCACTTGGAGGTCTAAATCCAGTAAAGACGGACATATTTTATCCATGTTGATCTGGAGAGTAGGCTTCGAAGAAGCTTCCATTTAGCCTAAGAACAAGGGAATGGTTATAGGGCTGGAAAAAAATCCATTTTGGTGTCCCCTGTCGGTTTTTCCAGGGGAATGGATTTCGCTGGACACATTTTGCTCATTTTTGTTCCTGGGGACGTATTCCGTAAATGGAGTCAACACCCTTTGATTCCTTAAGTAGGTTTCTTTCGGCCGGCGTCACCGGATGGATCGAGGCGGGATCCTCTCGACCGCTACCTTTCGTGGCTGCGGTATTGCCACTTGGTGTGTCTGTTTTTAGGAATCGGACCCCCAGAACTTGTGTCTTTTTTTGTGTTGGTGTCCCTTTAAAACTAAGCAAGAAGGGTGCGGAATTGGACCCCCAGAACTGGTGTTTTTCGAAGGGTGCCCTCAAAAAAAGACGAGCCGCCCATATTGGTAGAGACCTTTTTTCATCCCTTTGAACCCCTGAACCCCCTCGGCTTGGGTTGGTGGATTCAGATTCGGAGTTGAACGGGTCGGTTCTTGTAGAGGGTAAATAAATGGGAACTCCTCCATTCCACCACCAAGCAACTGGGTAACCGGGGCACGGTCATATTCTGGCTTCTCAAAATAGGGAGCCAACTTTTTTGGATGGCTTTAAAGGGAAAAGCTCAAGAGGAAGCCAAAAAAGGACGAGCCACCCATATTGGTAGAACCTGTTTTCAGCCCTTTGAGCAGTCCGCCAGTCTTAGGCCTTCCAAGCTGCACCTCCTACAAGGCAGAGCCTGGGTCGTTGCTGCGGGGCCAGATGTCGCGCCGGGCCATACTGGCGCACTGCATCCAGGCGTCGCTCAAAACGGGGAGTTCTGAGGCGAAACGGACTTGGCACTTGGTTGTTTGCTGGTTCATGGACTTCAGTCTGGGGTAGACTTAGGATACATTTTACATTGTGACTCAAAGTGAAGCAAACAACAAAATCTACATTCTATAGCTGGGCCCAACTCTAATCATGCGGTCACTTTCTGGGTTTGGACCAGTTTTGTTCCAAAAAACAACAACAAGTTCCAGGCTTTTTGTGGCCAATCCACTTAGGATGTGAGTTTTGGAGGGGAGATGCCCTTGTCAGAGACCAAAAGGAGAATCATCAATGTTGGTCCTTGTTTTGACACAGAGTTCCAAGGCCAAGAGCGAGCTCCATTGCAAACTCGGCCACTTATGCAGGGCTTCTGAAAGATCTCCATTTTGCCAGGAAAAACCTTTTAAGCCATGAGCTTACTGGCATTTTCTTGCGGAAGGCTCTATGCAGAGAAGCAGCATTTTCCTCCAACCCTTTTCAGGGCTCCTTAAATGATACATTTTGCCACCATTTGAAAGATGTTGCTTTTTCAACACCAAAATAAAAGGAAACCACCACAAGGCAATGTTCAGGTGTATAGTGCATCCGGATCCCTGTTCCCAGCTCGATGAAACAAGCCCAGCCATGGAGGCTACCTGGGGATTCCTGGCTTTCGGTTTGGAATTGCCCGAGATTCCAACGGGTTTATTGGGAAAAGGTCCGCGGGGCCTGCCGGGTGGATATCCTATGCTTGGGCTGTGTTCCCTTCGTTTCACAACTGGAAACCAAAAGGAACACCCGCCGATTTTCGGAGGCCGAATCCCTGGTTGGACGCATCATGGAAGTCTTTGCTCTGCGAATCATACGGTGGACCTCAGATACGTGGCGCTTCGCGTCGTGCAATGATCCACCCGTCTATGAATGAGCCAAAGAAAATATCAATCCTGATTCAACATGAGGAACCTCACACATGGATTTGGTCCGCAACTTCACTGGAGAAAGTTGCTTTCATGGGGATCTATTTTTTTGGGTGTTTAGGTGTGTCACTTATTGTAATTCGTGTCCGGAAATAGGACATAGAGCCCACTTTTGCTGTTTTGTTTCTGTTTGCTTTGTTGGTTTGGTGTGTGTGTGTGTGTTTGGTGTCCCTTCGTTTGTGGGGGGTTCCTTTTGGTTTGACCTCGCGCCTGCTGGATGTGGCCAAAGACTTTGAATGGGTGTTGGGAAGTTGAAGGATCAGCGCGTATACCTTCCATTTGCTCAAGAATATGTTGGTATTTTCCTCTGCTGGTTTTAAAGGGAATCTATCACTACTGGAAATATATTCTCATTCTTTCCACTGGACTTCAAACAATGGAAGATACGCTTACTTCCTAATTTCTGCACTCCAACTTCTTTCGGAACGATTGGTTCAGCAGGCCGCGCATGGGCCAATCTACCATGGAAGCGAGTAAACCCTTGGTATGATCCGGTGAACTCTTCGTATGGGGGGTTGACTAGGCACCTGACGTTCTTTTTGGGTGTCCCGAACGTCAGGTTCCGGCTGTTAGTGGGTGGCGTGTGGCCCATTGGCTCGAAGGAGACCGCCTTTTGCCAAATTCAAGGCCCAAAAACACCCAAAGTCACCGCCCCGCCGAACAACGAACAAGGAACAACACCCCCCCCCCGCCTTTTTCCAAGTTCCATGTCAATTGGGGTGTTACATTGGCTCAAAGCGGGCAGAGCTCCAAGCCACGTCGTTGCCTTTGTCCAAGTCGAAGGCGCACACGCCCAAGTTCATGGAGATGCTCTTCGAGCCGGGACAAACCCGAAACAATCTCAGCTCACTGGCTGCAAGGAGTGAACTGGGGCTTGATCTTAGTGTACCATGTCGCTGCGTTCGGTGCGTCTGATGCAAAACGGCTTTGCCAGACCTCCATGACGACCCTGCGTGCGGAAAGCGCGTTCTTAGGATTCTTGACGGTATGTTCTGCGTCCCGTTCGGATGGTACACGAAGACTAATTGATCTATATTCCATTTAGGGCCCCCGGCCATGACCATGGGGGCTCTTTTCCCGTCAGGGGGTCATTTCTCCACTTGTGCTGGCACAAAAGAATATTGACCCCAGATGATTCAACCGCTGTTTATTGAAGTGGTCTGATTCCTCACTAAACCCAGGGGGACCCCCCTATTGATAAACTGGGGTTGATTCATTTAGGACAGCCGGGCAAAGGAACCAGCCAGGTTCTGTTCAGTCAGTTTGTTTGGACATAGTGCGAGGAGCAGCAACCGCAGAGGAAAGTACGGAAATGAGAGGCAGACATGGTCATTGTTTTGGTAGCCGAGTAGTCATTTCAGAAGGGTGGGACCATGCGTGATGCCGGCTTGCAAGTTCGAAGATTGTTGAGTTTCCCATGTTATCATTACATTTTCCACTTGGTTTTGAGTTTCCCACGTTTGGACAATTTGAGTTTCACACTTCGTTATTTGTTCGCCAGTCCTGCAAGGCTACCGGTCGCCGCTGCGGTTTCGCCACCCTCAGCGGCAGAACACAGCAGGCTGCCGCGGATATCACATAGGCGCGCTGGGGTGAATTCTGCCGGAGAGGCTGGGTAGTTTGGAGCGGAAGGGGCCATGATTCCTACCACCTGGCTAATCTGATGTCTGTGAATTAACTTGTTTGGCAAGTTGTTTTAGGTTTGTTGCTTCTTTTGGTTCTGTTGCTGTTTTGTAGGGGGCTGCCAAAACGACAGTGTTTTGCTACCGTACCAAGGTTTGTAAAGGCTGGATGCATCACGGTTCCAAGAAACGTTGTCTCGCTGGTCCTGTCTAAGTCCATTCGTTTGTCATTCGCCTTTGAGGGAGTTGGATGAGAGGCTTCCTCACTACTAGAAGAAAAAACACCCCAGTGGATTTATTTACCTGTATAGGCAAACAAGGGCTTGCCACCCTTTAAACACCAAAAGGAAAATAGCTGATTGCTTATATAGCTGGGATCCACTGGGTACCGTCGGGCGGTTCCAGTCAATGAATGTTGCGCCCAGACGGTGATAATGTTGTCTTACATTGGCAGCTGATGTTCAGAGGAAATTTGTGGTCGGATGGCAAACGAAGACTAAGACGAGTATACGACACTGTTTTCTGAATGAAAACGGTCCTGAGCGGCTGGTCAGAATTGCAGAAGCCTGCACAACCGAAAGTGGCCTACCCAACGATGCTAGACCCCGAAGTTGCCAGAACTTTCGAAGCATCTTCCTTGCGGATATATGAGGTGAGCGACAGCGTGTCAGCTTAATAGAGCTTGTAGGGTGGCCACAAAAAGAGCGCGGTGACCCAGGAGTTGCAACCCCCTGATACCCAAGGACGCGCTGTGTGCGCTTCGTGTTGAAGCAAATGAGGCCATCCATTCACAAAGAATCCAGGGCGAAACAACGAAGTTGCTCCAGAGCTGCAACACCCTGCGCAACGAGATGACACGAGCATGTCGGACTTGGGACAAGCAAACAGGCGGGGCTTGAAACACGACGAAATTTATAAGTGCAGGCACTTTTTTAGGCGGCGCGTATTAGGATGCTGACTTGCCCCGGCCCTGGAAACTAGCGGGAGTTGGCTGTCGCCCATAGATTCTATCAATTTGTTCCACATAGTCAAAACTTGTACAGCAAGCAGAACGAGCAAACAATTTTCCAGCCTACCAATTTTGCTGTTGGGGGTAGAGATCCAGCCTTCGGTGTTCATTGCTTCGCTTGGGCCCCTCGCGCGATAATTTCGGCATCGCTCGCCAGGCTACCACCGGGCGCAGGCGAGCAACTGCCTGGCGCGGCACCTGGTGCGCCCCGGCGAAACGCACATAGCGCCTTTGTTGCTTGCAGACCCACCAACCAAATGACGCCATTTTGCTGCCTTTATACCCCTTTTTGTTGGGTCAAAGGCAGAAAAAAGGGGCCCTTTGTTCGAAACCATTCATAGCTTTTTGAGCGTGTCTCTTTTGAGGTGCTCCCAAGCACCTTGGTAGGGCTCTAAAAGGCATGCGAAAGGTCTGGGGCGCATCTGGCAATTCTCGCACGCGTGTTGAGGGGAATGCGTGTGGCGTGTGGCGAGGCGAATGATGCTGGCCTTCCAATGTGAGCCACGTGCTGAAAACCGATGCGGGTAGATGAAGGTTAGCAGTCAGGGAAACCAAAGGGATACGCGAGGATTCCCCCTAAATGCACCTTGACTAAGTTTGATATGGGAAATGGCGCCAAGGGAATCACCCCATGTCCCCGCTTCCTCCGTATCCCCGCGGGGAGTGCGTGTGGCTTGCCTGAGGCGGATTTTGCTGCCCCTCCGTGTTTGACCATTTTGGCCTTTGAGTTGGGCTCTTGGTTGGTTGCCTTTTGATGTTGGGCTTAGTGATTGAATGTGTTGCCTCCTAATGTCGCCTCATCTGTTTTTGCTGACTGACATGACAGGTTGGATGGAGAATTGATTTGGGCCCAGGCGCCCACATAGATAGTTATTCTGTTGGTTTCCCCGAACCGAACAAACGCTATCCCAAGCAAAAGAAAACACCCACAATGGGAAACCTGTACTTTTGGCCTATTCCACAGCAAACACAACGTCCTGCTGGTTCTGAGGGAATCATTTGAGGAACTGGGTCCCCCTTATGGAACTCTCCCCTGGTTTGATGGGTGTCCCATTTAAGAGGCTGGCCTTAAACCCAAAACATTGGGGCGCAAGCCCCGTTTGTGCAAGTTGAGTTGAGTGGTCCTCTTTCCCAACAATTTGTTCCAGCTACTTTCACCCCTCAAACATGGAAGTGCAGTGGCCGTTCCCTTTAAGTATTGCGCCATCTACTTTCACCTTTGAACTTGCTCAATTCTTGGAGAACTTCCTGTCAGACGGGCTTGCTACTTACCTCTTGAACTTTTTGCTGGGGGTGTCCGTTTACTCCAGGTGAACTTGCCAGACAGGATTCCCGGGCAATTTTTGCGTTGGGGGTTTCACCTTGATTCATTTCCCTTCAGCCATACGTTTTCTCACTTGAGCCGCTTGCTCAAAACCCGGGTAGATTAAGGTTAGCAAGGGATACTCTCCGCCTCGATTCTTGAAGCATGGTTCTGGGTCCCGGCCATTTTCATACTGCAATCCTACGATCCAATCAGCAAAGGGTCGGACAACAATTTAAGTCTTTGGTTCGACTCCAGTTGGTCTGTCCGTCAGCAAAAGTCGGTCCAAGAGTTTTGATTCTGACCTTGATGAGTGTTATCCATTAAATCATACCAGGTTTAATATCATGACAGGGTTCATTGCATCCATGACTCATTTTGGTTCAGTTTTGGTTCTGGCTCACTTAGTTTATTCATAATACTGAGTTTTCTGGATTGTATTTGTTGTTGTATATAGGGGGGGAATATACCTCCCTTGTTTTGACTGCACAGACTCACTTTCGGCTCCTTTTGGATCCCTCGGATTCGACGAAGGCCGCTGCCCTCCAGACCCTCGGAGAGGCATTTGCAGCAGGCCCTGGCCACGCTACAGCGCTTCGAGGTGGCCGCAGCCTCAAGAAAAACCACCCGTGGAGGCGAACAAATATTGGCGGGGTGGAGCGGTGAGGGCAACACTGATCGTGAGGAATAAACTTTCAAATCAAAGTCGTCGCGGACTGGTTCCTTTGCGAACAAACTTACGTGACGGGCGACTGCTTCTCTATGCTGCGGGCTTACATTTTTGTCAGCCGTTTCTGCATGACTTCCATCACTCTGTTCCGTTGCACGCAAAATGAATTGAAAGTCTATCCCCGATGAGTCACAGCAAAGATCTAAAAACGGTCGAACGTTTCGGGGGAAATCCAAAGCGACCTGAGTTGCTGGACTTTGGTCACTGTTTAGGGTTTACGTAGACCAGTTTAGTGGTAAATAAAAGGTTTGGAATTGGTTTGGCCCATCCACTCACGTCAGAAATCAAACACCCCCCCTAAACCGCCAAGCGAAGCTGGGCTGATGTCGTCAAGTTGAGAAACTGCTGTTGATGCGAACTCAATTTCGCAGCAGATATGGATGAAACATGAGACCCCCTGTGAATCCTGGGAGAAACATGGGTAAACCACCTACCGAGTGGTGCAACATTTTGTCCATAGGGCTGCGGGAGCTCTCGACGGATCTGGAGGTTGAGGGTAGCCTAGGTGGTTTCAAGAGGAACCCAAAGGTGGGTTTTTTGTTGCCATCACTCGCACCGTTCAACTGTGGAGACAACGTCATTTTGACCGTGGCTCATGTGTCATGAAGAGGGGGGGGGCAAAATGGTGGGTTTTCCTTTGGTTCTTCTTGAAAAAAAACCTGAAAAGGGAAACTCCAAAAGCACACCCGCCCATGTGCCAATTGTTTGGGGGGGCGAATCCCATTGACAGGGTACCCAGGCATACTCCGGCAAGGGCGTTTCGGTATGAACTGTTTTCAATATTATTTGTTGGTGAACCCCAGACCCAAACCGATTTCCATTTGAAAGTCTACCTTGTGATCAACCTATGGCTTTCGGGTAGCCATGGCTGTAAAGGCGGATGCTGATTGAGTCGCCAATCAATCAGCCTCGCCTGGCTGCGCTTGCCGAAATGTGACCCAAGGTCCACGACCGGTAAATTTCATGTTGGAATGCATTTTGTGTCGGCGCCCTGCCACTGGCGTCCAAAAGAACGCGAGTTGTTGCGAAAGGAAGAAGCGAGCCTCAATGGTTCTAAAGGGAGTGCAGCTGAAAAGAAGAACACGGACACTTAGAGCCTATTTTGCAGACTCAGCCCCTAAAAGGCTCTGAATACCCCAGCTTTAGAAGCTACCAATACCCCAAACAAACAGGTTGCAGAATAGACAAAGTTTCAACCCCACCAACCCCCCCGGCCCCCTCCGGCCCCCCCGAGGGAATCAGCTACTCAAAGGGCCTCTGAGATATCGCCTGAGAATCAGCTACTCAAAGGGCCTCTGAGATATCGCCTGAGGTCATGGACCCATCCCTGCCGAATGAGAGCAGCGCGCTCCTGCAGGATGCCTTCCGAAGGACGAACGACTCGGAAGACGAAGGGAGGGGGGTTGGTGTGTCTTCTTGGAAGCACGCCCGTGAAAAGTGTGGGTTCCCTTTGGCTTCCTTTTTTGACACCCCACCCGCCCCACAAAAGGTATCCTGAAAGAAGGAAGACTTGTAGGGAATCAGGGGAAAGATGGTGGTATAGGCTAGGGCATATCTCAGGCGCGTCGGGAGAATCGCGGAATCGCCAGGAACATTGACTGCGTTGGCTGCGCTGAGATCCCGAGCCTGCCTTTGCCACAGAGCAAGCCAGGCGCGAGGGCCCGAAGCGGATGGATTTTCTCAACATGGGTTTGGTGTTTTGTGTAAGCAGGGTTGTGGGATCAAGGGGTTTTACCCACTTCTGTGATACTTTTGGGAATCTCCCCCTTTATGTGGTGGGTTAGTCTTTGGGACGCCCTTTGTATCATAGAAGTGGTCATTTCCCACAGCCCTGGTGTAAAGGGACACAAAGGGGACACCATAGGAAACCCCTTGAGCCACTGGCTTATCCTGGGTGAAGGGGTCCAAAGGCACTGGAAGAACTTCGGTTGTCAGTGACTCCGGCCGCGCAATGGAGCTGCACTTTTGTGGATCCCTTTTTCCGAGGGTTTGGGAATTTGGAGAGGTGGAACTCCGAGTCTTGCATCCCGGGTGGCTGCGGAAAATGGCCGGAAATGGCTTGAAATGGGTCGGGGACAGCTGAAAATCACAAGTCATGATATCAATTGTTTTCCAAACTCAGGTATCCGATGGTGTGCTTCTGGGGGAACCCTTCACTTTGGCCTCAAAGCGCGAAACACGTGGCAGGATGTGTGGCATTCCTGATGTTGGATCTTTTGAAAGCCGAGCTGGAACCTCCAAACTACATTTTTTTGGAGGACAAGTGGAAACATACCCTCCCTCCAATCATGGAAGCTGACGATCGAAGGGTTTTTGGAAGACTACTTTCCTTTTGGGGAAACCCCATGTCCACTACCATGATTGGGGAAACCACTACAAACAATATTTCAACACTAAAGAGGAGCAGTTACCCATGGTCATTTGGGCCCCCCCGGTTTCCACAGGGCACCCCGCTTCCACAGGGCACCCCGCTTTGGACACGTAGGGCCAGCATGAAGCCCGGTGTTCGGGCTGCGGCTCCTGGTAGCCCCCCGTGTTCTGGATGCGGAGGTGTCTAGAGAAGTCTAGAGAAATCGGGAAGACCTGGTGTGATGTTTAACTTCCATTTGGTTAAGATTATGCATTAGTGTCCCATGTTGGCTTTAAAGGGAATCTAGACAATATGTTTTTTTTTTTTTCCTAGGCGACTTAAGCAAGTGGAGGAGAGGCATAAAGCATGAAGGCTGACCCCATTGGCCAATATCTTTAGAAACACCCACACGTCAAAGAATGTTAAGGGGTCCTCAAATCTAGTTTCCAATTAACCCACTAAAAGTTATTCACTTCCAGCAGGGGATCTGAGGGCAGCCCAGAAATGGTTGGTCAATTGGTTGGCAGAGTAAAACATCTCCGCCTTTTTTGTCCTCAAAAGACGGGCGCGTTCAGGGTGCCGTTGGTCGCATGATCCGTCCCATGGTAAGTTGAAAGGGTCGGCTGGCAACACCTGAGCCACTTGCTCAAAACCCGGGTAGATGACGGTTAGTAAGGGACAATCCCAACCATAAATAGCTGCGGATATCCGCCTTCTTAATTCTTTACGTAGTTCTGGGTAGACCATTTTTGTACCGAATCGGTTTTGATTATGACTCTCCTTCCGTTTTTCCCCCTCCAGATCCATTCCCAAACCTCCAAGGACCCCAACCCCCAAGGACCAAGCGAAGGGTCACTGACCAAGCCAAAGATGTTGGGGTTTCCTGGGAAACCCTTCGACTGAACCCCCAAAGGTTGAGGCTTTCAACTTGAGAACTCCCATGGACATCAACATGTTGGGGTTTCCTTGGGAAGCCCAAAAGCCTAAGGGTTTTAACTCGAGAACTTCACTCGACTTTCCATAGACATCCAGTCAGGCGCCAACTTGCTGGACCGGGGCATCTCGCAGACCCTCCCGCCTGCCGTGCTGGCCTTGCCCCTTTGGCCCCGCAAAAACGGACTCGGGAACGGTGGTCACCAAAAATCTATCCGGCAATCATAGGTGTTTTTTAGCGAAGGAGTTTGAGTTTGCAACGACTAAGTGTCCATTGCAGGGGCCTTCTGTCTTGGGAAAAGAACCCGTCCCTATTAAGAGGTTGCATGCTGCGTACTTAGAGAAGCCTGGCCGGAATATATGAACGGGATAAAAGGCTTATCCTGAGCTTGGGCTGATGGGACCCACATAGACCGTACAGAATAGGGAGCAAGCAAAAGGGTCCTTACTTTGATGTGTCTCCCATAGATTTCGCATTTGCAGGGGCAGGCGGTTTACACTACCATGGCGGTGGCTGGCAAATTCCAGACGTCTTTCACCCCAGTTTGCAGACTTTAGGTTTGAAATAGAAATCGAACCCCCATGAGCGGAGTCCTTTTGGTTTCTCTTAAACCAACCCCAAAAGGATACCCTAAAGTAGAAATACCCTGTTGGAAGCTCGTGGTGCAAACAGCACTTCAGACGATGGGGCTGACGCACTCAGGCGGCTTATATCAATATTGGTGCGCCAGTTAAGGTGAGATTCCTTTTGGTGTGCTCATACTGAAAAGAACGTGTAAAGGACTTTGTCTGTGCGTGAATTGACAAAGAACATGGACTGAACAAAACCGGTGGTTGCTTTTGTTGAGGCGTGTTTCAGTGTTGTTTTCAAGGGGGTATTCCTTTGCCGAACAGCGAGAAACCGAGGCTGGGAATCTTTCTCCATCCCATTCTCTTCCGAAAGTGGACTGAACCAGCGTCTTTGGCAGAAACTTACTCCCCGTGGACGACTTTTTTTGGGGTTGAAAGTGCCACCATTTCATTGGCAAACAAACATATTTGCTTAGACGTTTGTTTCGCCAATCCAACAAATTAGACTTTTGTTTGGCCAAACCATTGAAGTGAGTAGCTCGAGAAGCATATCCAGACCACACAAATTCGGAGAATTCACCTAACATGAACACACTGTCCAATCGTTAAGTCCTTCCTGTGATTGAGCCAAAGCTGGCATGCTCTGAAAGGACCACACAGCCAGAAATTAGGAAGCAAAATACACCAACAACCATGCAGAGCAGACAGACAGGCAGGCAGGCAGGAAAACACAAGCACTCACGCATCAGGTTCGAGGAGCACAACAAGATCGACAGGCTATGGCAGTATCTAGCCATCAGGTCGCGTGTCCATCCAGCTTACAGTGGGAGGAGCTACTCGAGAAGCCAAGTCCGAAAGCCTTTCATGCCAGGGTTTCTTGGATGCAGGATTTCGTCCACAGCCTGGACTCCTTTTTGGGGTTCCACGTAAATCTGTAGGGGAGTAAGGGGCGAACATCACAAAGCAACACGCTGCTCCCAGGATCGTGACTTTGGTTCAACAGTGCACATCCCCAGTGCAATCTCGTAGGCCCTCCGAGCATTCGGGTGACGAAACCGTCGTGGCACTTTGGTCAGGTTTTCTTTGCTTCCACTGCCAGGGATTGCGGAGCAAGTGGTCCATTTCATTTGCGAGAAGGTGAAAAGAAATGTTCCTGTACTTGGGGTGAAAGGGATGGTCATCCACCTGGCAGCGAGGATCCTTAGTAACACTGGGAATGCAATTCATGCTCAGACCTTCGATGGACACTGAGTTGCTGAAGCCTTCAGGCCAATTTGTTTGGCTTATATGTGGGTACCTTTCACTCCCTTGAGCGAGGTTCAACTTATATGTTGCACTGCATGTTGGCTGTACACATCACTCCGGGCCGATTCAAAATCATTGATGGGCTGATGTTTAAACACGTGACTTCATAGGGAACCCTGTGAAATTACCACATTCTGCATTCTTCTTAGATGGGCCCAGAAGCCAGGAATGACAACGGAAGAACATCTCGGATATGGGAATGTCAACACTGGGATTAGTATGGCTTGAACATCCCCGCTCCTTTAAAGTGGAATTGGGGGACAAGTGTTTCTGCTTCTTCTGCAGCTTTGCTATTCGACGAGGAGCCAGATTTGTTCTCTGGATTCAGGACGAAATATGGCCCGCTTAGTGGGTAACCTCAATGGGGATTATGGAGAAATCTGATTGGCCAACCATTGTCAGAAGCGGCCACCCCCCGAATCGCCCATGTTGGTCTCCTTCGAAAGAGGGCGCAATCAGCCCTCATGGGGGGGGGGGTCTTATTTCGTTGGAGGACTTCACCTTTTTGCCAACTAATGGGTTTTCCATTAAACCACTAGAAATTAATCTTTTAGCAGGGTAGCAGAAAGCAACCGAGACTTGAGGAAGGACGTAATCAGACACTTTTTTTGTTTCGGTCCTATTTGGGTAAGGCCTGATCAGACCTTCGGCTCATATAAAAAAACGGAGCCTGCTTCATGGGGTTTGCATATCGCGGCACACGTGCGCAGGGCGCTGGTGGCTTCCGGCCGCTCGCTGATTCGTCGGCGCTTCGCGGAGTTGGAAGAGAAACACGCGCGCGCGGCCGCGGGTTGGTGTGGCTGAATTGTTTTTTGAATCATGGCAGAGATATGGTACCCTACTAGGCAAACGAAGGAAAACCGTAAGGGAAAACTCCAAGGCCAGATCGCAGTAATGTCTAGACACTTGGGGGGATATACCCTCAAGGCAACCTCCACGGCCGGAGTGGGTTTTCTTTGTTCCACCTTTCCTAGGTGCCCCAGCAGTGGCCTTTTACCAACTTTGTTGGTTGGGAGGGTTCCCCTACTGAAACAGACTACAGAAAGAAGCTCGGGTCCCCTTATGCTAATCCCTACTGGACCCAGTTTCGGGCCCCGCGGCTTTTCTCCCAGCGGCCTCGAGTCGAGGGGAAAAACAATTCCCCGAGCCTCCGAGGCCTTAAGGAGTGCATCCTGAGCGGCCTCCTCTCGGTCCACGGGAAGAAGGCGCCCCGCCGGTTGGGAGGTCTGGTCTCCATCGGAGCCTAGCGGCCTTCCTCCACGCCCGCGAGAGCTCCCAATCCAAAGGCTCGCCTTTGGCAATTTGGTAGCTGAAAAACAAAGAGCTGGTGCAACACAAAACGGCATGGGCACACACAAACGTCTCATTTCGAAGGGTGGAATTAGATAGCCTTTCTTCATACCCCTTTGATGGCCACAAAACCTTCTCATTACCATGCTTGTTGTTGGGAAACACTTTACACTTTGCTTGTGGTGGTTGAAATCCAACCACTTAAGTGCAAAAACCTCTTTTTTTGCTCCCCTGCCAACAGCAACCAAGACACCCGACTCTTCGCCCACAGAGTTTTGGTCTGATCGGTGAGCCCCCAAAATGGTGGGTTTCCTGTAGCCTTTATTCGACCAACCAACAGCGGGTACCCTCAAAAAAAAAGCGCCAAACTCATTTGTTTTAATATGTTTGGTTGTGGTACAGGCCGTTGTTGGTATGTGTTTCACCGCTGTTTTGGTGTTCATCTCTAGTGGGCTAAGAGAAACCTGTGTTTGTTGCTGTAGATGGGAAGTTGCAACCTCCATTTCCTTAGGGGTTCCTGATACTGGAGTTCCATCCGCGCTCGACAGCACCTTGTCCCCTAAAGAACCATGGCCCTGTGACCAGGGAACAGGGCACGTTTGTCCAGATGTTTAGCGGTCTGATTTTTCCTTTTGCCGGGGTAGGGGGAGGGGGGGGGTCCTTCAACATCAACCAACCCCAACAAGCGCGCGTTTTTCTTTCCCCACCGACAGCAGCGCCCACACCCCCCATTAGCCGTGTTAGCAGGTGGTTCTACGGTCGATCGGTATGCTACTGCTTAAACGCTTGATGGGGGACAAGAAATGGCGGTCTCAATCCAGAGTCTCGATCAGATTGCTTATCGCCTCATGTTTCATCGCTTCATGTTCTTTCTTGGGCATACTGGGCTTCAAAACACGCACCTGGACCCCCTGGACTTCCGCATCTGGGAGTTTCTCGAACTCGCCAGTGGACCCCCTTTTAGCTGGTATTGGAAGTCGAGACTAAGGGCACCGACCTGCTTAGGGACCTCCATATAGTGCTACCCGCGCCTTGGAGACACTGGCGTAAACGGGCCTGTTCTAGTGGGATGCTGCATAGGTTTTGCCTTTTTGAGTGTTCGAGGGTCTCAAGATTATCATTTTTGTGCTGGGTCATAGGGTCCGATTTCTTTTTTAACATGTCGGAAACTGACGGGCAGTACCTGGTTTTGTGGCCTAAGCCTTTGTAACTAGAATAGAACCAACACTTGCTGGTTCCCAGCCGTCCGGTTCCTTATATAGTTGTTTTGTTTGTTTGTGTTTTTTTGGGTCGGTTTAAGAAATCGCTGTTGGGCGTCCATGCTTGACCCAGAAGTGGTTCACTTTTCGCAGCTCGGACAACGGAGCACGGGTCCCGAAAAGTCGCCTTTTTTGTTTTCGGCGCTCGACTCAACTGAGAGGTGCTGCACCTGGATAGAAATCCCTACTATGGCCCGAAGCTGAGACTTCGGCTGTCAGTTGCCCAGGTGGATGGACCCGAAGTTCTCTCCTGGTCCCCCAGCGCCCTTCTCCCCCCTTTCTTTTTGGGAGGGTTCCAACCTAAAATAGGCTATGGGTACCGTTATTCTAACCTGTCTGGAGGATCTAGTTAATCTAGTTTCTGTTTGGGACCGGGACTTGGACCAGGACCCAACAAGAAAAAGAAAAGAGGCTGTCTTGATGCCAGGTGGAGAAACGTGATTCCACGTGCATGGGAATCTCCTTTGGGGGACTTCCATTTCGGGTTCCATGTTTTCGGGGAGTATCATGGAAGTCTCAAAAAATTGTGCTCAGCCCACAGGGCGCAGGGTAGAAAACGGAGATACCCTGAGAAAGCAAACCGTTTAGGGTGGTTTTCAAGGGAAGCCATATCATTTTGCGGGGTCCAACCTTAAAAGAGACACTTCTAAATAAATTGGCCCTTGTGTGATCCTTCGCCTGCCTGCTCCTTGGCCTACAATATGCCCCTTTGGGGCAACAAAGACAGTATGAACAACAGCAAGCCTTTCAAGTGCTATCTTGGTGGCTCCCAGCCATCCATTTCCTTAGCTCTTAGCCCTTTGGTGTTTAGTGGTAGTTTCCATTTACCCCACTAAAGGTTATTCACTTTTAGCGGGGGATCTGAGGGCGGCGCAAACTGAACGTTAATCAGCCTCACCGGTGGATCAAAAACACCTTTCCTGGCCTTCCGGGCGCCCTGGTTCCTCTTCGAATGGTGAGGCGTGGGAGACAAGTTGGAAGGCCCCTTCTAAGAAAGGCGGCCTCCAAAGTCGCCAGGGGACCCGGAAAATCCAGACCCATAGGGGTTTGTGGAAGTTAAACTCGGGGGGACCCCCCGCCCAACATGGCAGGTTTCCTAGTGTTTTCCCTTTCAAAACCATCCATCGGGTCCAATTCAAATTTTGAGACGCACCCATATGAACCGTTTGAACTGCCATGGTTCTTCCCAAAGGGTTCCAGAATACACGTGATCCCTATATTTGACAACATTCTCCCATCCTTCATGGCCATTTTATTCCACAGCTGGAACTCTTGACCCAAGTTTTACGCCCATACTCCACGTTACACCTTTGGGCTGGGACTGGCCCGTCTTCCAAGGCGAGTGGTCGGGTGGGTGGAGATGGGGCAAGCGGCAAGCGGTTTTGGTCGCCGAGGGGGAGACTGCGCCTCGCTGAACATCACCAACCTCTGGCAGAAGTTTATGCCGGGCAGCGAGCCTCCCAAAGAGCCGCGGCCCCAAGAAACGGACGTCCCCAGACGTCCCGAAACGGGCGGAGTCGGCCGAGGGATGGCATGGCATGAGTCACGGAACGGGACTGAGCCGACGTCGGGGCGACGGGGTGGCCCTTTTCAGAGAGTAATGCTGACCCCATATTAGGAATTTCAAGCCCTGTTTATTAATAGGGGGGTGGTTTTTGGCCCCTCCAAAAGTGGTCTGATTCCCCACGAAACCCAGGCACCCCCCCCCCCCCAAATACTGTTAGAAGAGTGTCGACCGCAAAGTGTAGGTTTCCTCTTGGTATGCCAAACTGGTGCCGGAACCAGGGTCAAAAGCACCACCTGGTGCGGCCACCGGCGAACATTTTGCCATGAGGAGTTTCTGAGAAGCAACGCAAAGTATCACCAACTCCAAACAAAGACGCACGCAACGCCTTGCAAAGGTTATACACGGTTCATATCCTCCGTGCCAAGGTGGCAAGTTGAAATGACCAGATGTATTACTTTGCCGGTGCTCGGTATGGAATGCTCGGAGGGAATGAGCCTGGGATTTTGTGAGAGGAAACCACAAGTTGGATGGTTTTTTGCGGGTCATTCCTTCATTCCCTGATCGCACAGGCAAGATTATGCCGGAAACCAAAGTCCACCAACCCCTGATTCGGACAACAAGAAACAAGACAGAAGTGAAGCCAAGGCTGGCCTTGAAATTGCCGCCTGTCAAGGACTTGGGAAGAAACGTCATGTTGGGCTGTGTGTTTTTGGGGACCCACCATTTTGTGTGGTGTTTTTGTTCCCTTTAAAACCAGGAAAACGAGGTACCCTCAAAACACGACACCCCCATGTCTCGCTCACCTTGCTTTCCCCTTTATCCGAGGCTTGGGCAAAACCGAGAATGGAACGCCGGAGCCTTACCGGCCGCACCGCGCTGCCAAGTTCATGAAAAGTGTGTGGCCGGTACAGAATCGGTCATGAAATTAAACGGTTAGACGATCCCAGGCATTTATTTATACGGTTGTTTGGTGGTTTTAAAGGAAAGCCAAAAGGACAAGCACCATTTGTTTTGTTTTTGGGGGTCCTCTAAAAAAACACATACCCATATGTCCGTGCGTCAAAAAAAATAGGCGGCATGAAGCTTCAGATCCGGATTCTAGGCCCACAGATCTTGGAGATCAAGAGCCATCCATCAATCCTTTGCATGTTGCTTGGATGTTAGGACTTTAGCTTTTTGCCAACTGGGTTTTCCATTGAACCACTACAAGTTAGTCACTTTTGGCAGGGCTTCGCAGATGTCGCACCCGAGAATCCTTCGGTCTTCGGCCAATGAGTCCAGTGGACTCCTCGGTGGCAGTTCCCGCAGCTTCTTTTTTTGTCAAGATGACTTGGGGGGGTTTTGGTTTTTGCAGGTGAGTTCTCACTTTCTGAGTTCATGGGACTTTAGTCACTTTCTGGGTGGACCATTTCAGTGACATGCAAGAAGTTTGGGCACTGTTTGGGCCATCCACTCAGGAAGTAAGACTCGGTTTAAAGAAAACCAACGCGGGAACGCCAGGATGTTGGCTCGCACCCGCACTTCCCGCGGCAACAGGATGCAATTGATCGGTTTTCGGAGCTGCAGCGTCCGCAATGCACAGTACGTGAGGCGCACTTGTTACACGAACCACCTTGATCAAGCCCCGGGTAGATGAAGGTCTGCGCAGAAAGCAACTTGGGATGGGTGGGTTGGGTTCTGATTCCAAATGAGATCCGAGAACCAAATTACACCATTGCACACCAGCACTTCCCCAGAATCAGCTCCCCTTTTTTTTGTTTAGCTTTTTTTGCTTGTCCCCCCTTTGTTTTCGTTGCTAACCAGGCAAAACATATAGGGAAAGCAGCCAAGTCTGGGGATCCCATCCAGCCTGAGGTGGACCTCATCCCCAAGTTCATCATGGCATCCGGGGACTTAGCCCGGAGCCCTGCTCGAACCAAGACCGACTCTAAGCGTGGAAGTAGATAGCCCTTGGCTTCATACTGGTTCCTTGGCTCTTTTTGGTTTCCAAGCCACTTAATGGAAGGTGTTTCTGTTTCCCCAAAATGGGGAGAGGATATGGTATGAACATCAGGCCTCTCAGGGGTTCATTTGCCCTTTGCGGGTATGTAAAAGGGTTCTGTACAAGCACCTGTGGATCGTCGGGGCCGAGTCAGGATGGAACCCGGCGGGATCTGAGTCACGTAGAAACAGCGGAAGAAGATCCGGTCCATTGTCTCACCAAGTACCCGCAAAGGAAATTGTCGGCCATGGTCCTTAAAGATCCAATTCTTTGAGTCTTGTCTCAAAATATGTATTCGCTTGTAACCAAACTAAATCGACCGGCAGGAAAGACGACCCTTTGGTTCCCCTCTAATTTTAGAGGTAAAAGGTGATCGCCTTTGATTTCCAGGTCCCTAAGGGGCAAGTGAGTAGAAGAAAATCCTTATTTTTCGGGGACACTCGGTTGGTTTCCCTCAGGATGTGCGAGGTGTTTCTAGGTTTCTCGCAACGCACGTGCGGTTTGTCTGCCAGGGTTTCCAACTTGTTCCCTTGATTGGTGAACTGTAGTCCTTCGTTCAGATGGCTGCAGCTCGACCACAAAAGAGGTACGGAGCACGGGCCTTCCACACACGACCGCCAGGGCAACAGGCTCCAAGGCAAACTGTTCTACAGGAGGAGAGGAGCTTAAAAGGGCTGCGGAGAGCGACTTCTTCTTCACAGCATCATCAACTAGGTCCCCAGTAGTGCCCTTCTCTCCCCTTTTTTGGGGGAGGGTTAATCTCTACTAAAACAGACTACAGAAAAAAGGGTGCCCCTGTTCTAACCTCTACTGGAGGACCTAGTCAACAGGGGTGAGGTTTAACGAGGTACATAGGACGATGTTCAAGCCACGGCTTCGAGTTGGGCGCCACCCAAGAGCAACACAAGAAATGCCAGGGTTATTCCCGGGGATGTGTGGCCTGCCGGTCAAGGTTACTCATTGGGATTGGCTTTGCCATACTGAAGCAGCACACTCAACGAGCCAATAATGGGGGGCAGAACACCTCCCGCATGGCGCATGGTTTCTCGCAATGGGACTCCTCCAAGCGCTTTGGTCTGTTGGTAGTTAAAGGAAAACCAAGAGGACACCGTTGCCATTGGGTTTCGACTTTGATTGAAACGAAACGGTCCATGGCCAATGTGGTGCGCTCGCTCGCAAGGTGAAGATCCTGCTGAAGACCAAGGTGTCGCGCTATTTGGAGCGCGTGGCTGAGTGTGGCTGCCGACAGCTCCCCAAGTTCCCTTTCTGAGAGCCCCCAGTAGTGCCCGACCTCTCACCCCTTTTTTGGTTGGGAGGGTTCAACCCCAGTAAAATAGACTACAGGAAGTTGGTACCCTTATTCTAACCTCTCTACTGGAGGACCTAGGCCGAGTTTTGAGTTTTTGGGCAAATCCACTCAGGAAGCGCGTAAATCTCAGGGTTCTGATGAGCCACAATCAAAACCCGGGCAATTAGATGAAGGTTAGTAAGGGCCAATCCCAGCCAAAAAAATGCTGCGGCCGCCTTCTTAATTCTTTACATGGTTCTGGGTTCACCAGTTTAATACCGGGTTTTGTTGTGGCTCTCATCAAGGTGTGAAAAGAAGATTGAGCCTTACCCTGGTGCAAGGGTTCAGACAGCGCGTCCGGCAGTGGTTGAATATGGCTGTGGCTCAAAAAACCGGTACCCAAAATGGAGCCCTGGTAAGTGGAAACATGGACCAAAACCTGCGTACCCCTCCTTTAGAAGCTGTCAAAGGACTGACTCCCATTCGGCCCCCTGGCAATGGTCCGTGCTCAAACGATGTCCCTGCCCCCTCTGAGGTGGAAATCTTGCGAGGGGACCTACGTATATCAGCCGAGCCCCTAGAGTGGACCTTTCTGAGGCCAACACAAATTTCTCGGGACCCGCTAGCCCAAAAGGCCAGCGGTACACCACATATCACCAGGGCCTGGAATTGTCTCTCAGGCGGAGCTAACCCAACTTGTCAAAGGACGCGTCCCCGTTACTGCCGACTTTGTGATTTGAATCTTGCATCATCTATGCTGCAAAAAGTCCTGACATGCCCCAAACAAAGGGATAATTCTTGATGTTTCTTGGGTACAAGGGAAACATGAGAGGTGAGCTCAAGCTTTTCCATGAACACAAGATACTTTGGGTAAATGTAGTGACCTCCAAGAACCAAAACGACCCCACCGATCTTTGTTCTACGCCTCCACACAGCTTTTATGGGTGGGCTAGGTGGGCCTTCTTGGGAAGCCCCGGAAACGAGCACACGGTCTCGTCACAAGACAACAAGTCGCCAGCTGCGGCCTGGTACCATCAGGGTTGTTGTTGGGAAACGTTTCACATTTTTTCATATTGTGGTTTAGTGGGAAATCCCCACCTAACTACTAAGTTTTAATTTTCTTTTTCTCCCCTTCCAACGTCAACTATTCAATGTTTTGGAGGGAGAGCAATTACCCTCTGACCAATTAGCACATGAAACCGTTGGACGTTCGGGGAATCGGTCCTGGTTTGGACCATTTTTCTTTCAAAGGGAGCAGGTCCCGAAACGTCGAGGTTCCATGGTAAAAAATGGTGGGAGGGTAGTCACACTTTAGAATACTTTGCATGATAAAATCCCGGTTTTCATGGCTTGGACTTGTCCCCGTCCTGGCTTTGCGCCAGTTCACAGATCATGCTCAAGGGTTTTCTGCACTCTTCACAACATCTTGGGACGACCACGTAAGCTGTCGGGGTTTTGGAAGCCTGCGTTTCTTTTAAAAACAAAGCTTCTTGTCCTCTTCGAGTCTTGTTGGCATGGGGGTTGTGCTTGTTTCCTTGGCCAGCTAAATGTCGAATCTATGCTATGAATTTTGATAGGGAACCTCACAAGTGCTTGCACACGAATCCCCAATGATTTGACGCCTTGTTTGGGGTCCCCTGTCAAAAAACCCGCGCAGCAGCTCACAGCTCCTCTGCCCAGAGACATCTCGCAAGGTACCAAGAGGCAGGGCTCTTTTCCGGAGCCAAGTACATCCACAAGGCGCGCGCACGGGATTTTTGTGTTTGGCATTTGGTGTCTCTTTGGTCCAATTTCCCGGGGATCTGATTTTTCGGCAAACCCCACAAACAGTCAACCCTGAAAAAAGGCATTTTTTGGCCGGCGAGGTACTTGAGCTTTGGCAGATTTGTTTCGGGCGATGTTGCAAGATGTGGTCTCGGTGTTTGGTCACCTCCTGTGGTTTTTTGCTTCAATGGGGCGGGGGTACCAATTGTTTGGGTCCCCAGATGACTAGTTTCGTGTTTGCTACAAGGGGCTTTCAGTCAGGATCTATCTTGGGATTCTTGTCTTCAACCCCGTCATGAATGGAAGAGCGCGCCGAGAAGAAAAAAAACGGGGAAAAAACACGGGAGCCTTCCAACCATGCATCTTCCCGTGGGTACGAGTGAGTCGTGTCCCTATCCCAAGCGGCGTGTTTTTTTTTTCTTCAGCGCGTTAGCTGTGGCTCAGGCCATGATGTTGATTGTTTCCAGGGGTTGTCAAAGTCAGAAAGTTGAAGGGGTTTTTTGTTTCTAGTTTCTAGGTTTTTTTTTTTTGGGGGGGGGGCGGTTTCGCTCGCCACGGGGGTGGCTTTGATCATGGCAAGGCCAGTGCGGAACCTGCCGAGTCGTAAGCCTCGAGGTGCCTGCAACCGCGGGGGACGGGCTCAAGTCTCCCCTCATGGGCATGCTCGAGAAGCCCGGGGCCCAGATGGAATTTCGTCACAGTTTTTTGGGTTTGGACCGTTTTAGTGGCAAATAAAAACGCAAAGAGCTGGTTTTTGTTGCCTACTCCACTCAGGAAGTGAGCCACGGACCCAAAGGCATGGTCAGATGGAAAGCTTTACTTTCAAATAAGGAAACGCCTGCCAGAATGTTCGGCATGGGGTTGAGTGGAAATTGGAGTTTGGGTCCACTTTGTGCGATACCAAGAGAATAGGGATGGCCAGTTTTCGTATCGCGGAAAGTTTGCCATTTCACACAAGAAGCACCAACATTTCCAGAAGGTTGCCCTGGTTTGGCGGGTCTTGGCTCAGGCCACGCTTCATCAACTTCGCGCAGTTCATCATGGGCTGGGAGGAGAGACGATTGCCGGGGAAACTGAACTTGGAACTGAAGAAACCGGAGGAAATGAGGGGAGTTGCAGGATGAAATCGGTGATTTGGGACACTCATTTAGATCCTGCAATTTACTTGGGGATGCCAGAAAGTCAAATGTCAAGGTTTGGCCAAACCCCTATCAAATTGATCGATGATTGGATCCCTTGGATTTAGTTTGGGCCCCAGGTGCTAGGCATCTTGATGCCGCGCTCGAAGACTCGGCCGCCAGGACGACAAGCCGTCCACGCACCAGGACATCGACCCCAGGCGAGGTGACACAAGAGGTTTGGTTGAATCCTGGCCGGATTCTGATGTAAATTTTGTTTGACCTTTGCTAGGTCCCTGAGTAACGCCTTTTTACCAACTTGTTTGGGTTGTTCGACACTTTTTGCCAGTTTTTAGGCAGGGTTCTACTAAAATAGACTACAGAAAAAGTGGGTACCCTTATTCTAACCTCTCTACCGGAGGGCCCAGGTTTGGACCCAAGCAAATTCACACCCGCATCGCCAGTGTGTCCGACAGCTTCGCTAGCACGAGCTCACCAATTTGGGTTTCGAGGCCACTTTTCGTAAAGGTCACAAAAGGTGATCACCTGCTATTTTCGGATCCCTAATGGGCAGGGGAGTGTAGGGGAACCCCAAAAACGTGTGGTTTCCCTTCGACGCAAGCGGTGTGTTAACACCACGAAGAAGGGTACCCTCAACAACAGACAGACCCGTTTAAGTTGTTTTCCAGCCCCCCGTTTTAGCACGGCGAAGGGCTTAAGGTCAACCTCCGCTTCCGCGTCTTTTGCTCGAGGCGGCACACCATGGCGCAGGTCTACCAGAAGTGGGGAACCAAGTTCAGTGGAATGCTTCGGATTTGTTGGTCTCCAAGCATGTTGTTTTTGTTTTGGAGGGGTCTGTTTTGAGGGCCATGGTTTTTAAGGGCACAAGGAAACACAGCTTGCTTTTTGTTTTGGCATACCCAGTCGCCCGTGGATTCCGCATTTTGTTCAACCTGTTTTTTGGGGAAGGGCAGCCCAGCCAACCAAGAAGGGTGCCCTTTTTTCCCCATGGCCACCGGGCATCTGAGCATATGAAGGGGGTGGTTTTTTTCTGAGGGCCCCCCTTTTTGTGGTTTCAAAGGGAACCAAAGCGCGCAAAAAAAACGCTTCTTCTTCTTCTTCTTTTTGTTTTCTTTCTTTTTTTTTGGGGGGGGGGGCAAAAAACGATTATTCTTTTTTTTTCTTTTTTTTTCTTTTGGGGGGGGGGCTGGAAAAACATGGTTTAGGGTAGATTCAAAGGTGAAAGGACATGGGTGTTGGTGCCCAGCTTGGTGGGTCACGAAGTTGGATTTGCTTTGAAGGGTAGGCAGCATGCGCTGCGCCCCAGTTTCTTGGTTTCTTCCATCGTGGCTTTCCATGTTACTTTCATCCTGTGGTTGAATTCCTTTTGGGTTTCAAGTTGAACCAGAGGATTCGGGTACTGAGTTGGTTTGAATTTGGTTTGGATTTGGATTTGGGTTATGCCACTTGCTTTTGAAGCCCAATGCGGAAGATACCCACGAATCAGTCCAAAGCACACCAAGAAGGGGACTTAGCTAGCCAACATAGGGAGATTGTGCCAGCTACTTTCACCCGTGAGGCTAAGGTGGCTACTTCTGAGGTCTGCCAAATGAAAGCGGTCGGCCTTCAATGGCCGAGGGTATGAGCCCATGTTGACCCCTGCACCATGAATTATGCTTGGTATATGTGGGCCAGGATCCTTGTTGGGTTTCCGCTGATATGAGAGGTCCGTGCAGCCAAACAATGGAAAATAGCATTATGTTTGTTATAAGGTTATTGAAGTTTGTTATTTGTTGTTTTGTTATGTTATATATAATATGTGTTATATATGTGTTTGTCATTTGTCTGGAGTTTAAAGTCAGTGTTTGTTTGGCGATTATCTTGCCTTCAAAGTTGCCTAGCATGACTTGCGCCAGAAGACCTGGCTCACACGATGGATCTGCCCTTGGTGCAGGCTCCTCGAGCTGCGGAACAGGTGCTATCTGGCAACAATGAGCTGCGCATCATGCCATGTTGAACACAGCGCCTTCTTCGCGGCGCAATGTGGCAGCTACACGCGCCGGGCCGCCGGGCAGTGAGAAAACACATTTCCTGATGGCGCGATCTGTGGCTGTCGATTTACACAAGACTTTGCGGAAACAAGCGCCTGCAGGGCCACGCGCGTATGTGCTGGGCTCGCGGGTTGAGTTGCGCTGGCCCCCTCTCCCGTCCTGCCTGTTTGATGGACAAAATCCTGCACCACCTTAGAAACCATGGAATGATGATTCCTGTAAATCTGGGTTCAACCATGGTTTCTTAGGTGATGCGGAATTGGTTTCGTCCATCCTAAGAATAATGAAAGAAATTGCGCTTGTTTACAATCCGCCGGTGTCAACATGTAGGGGGCTTGTATTCTCGGCCTGGGGACTGGCCTTGAAGGGGGGTACCCTTTGTCAGATGTAGTGCTTGTTTCTTTCCGGGCTGCGCGGGCGCCTGGAGCCAAGCTCGCGACCTGGGGCTTGCGAGCCAGGCTTCAGAGCGCCTCTTGCCGTCTTTCACCCACGGGCGAAAATGCGTTGCGGGGTCTCCTTCCGATGTCGGCCCCAAGCTTGACGTCAACAAGTTAGATGTTGGAATTTGTTTCCTACCACCAAACGGGGGAAGCTGATTTAAGATATCTTGGTGGTTCCCAGCCAGCCCCTTAGGTGTTTAGTTGTTTTTAGTTGGTTTAGTGGTGGGGTTCCCGAATTTAACCCGCCAAGATTTCTTCCCTTTGAGCAGTGGGTCAGAAAAGGAACAGCCCAGCTTCTCGGGAAACACCAGAGTTTCCTTTTGGTGTCCATTGAACTCCGTGCCAAAAAGGGCAGCCCCTCAAAAACAACGCCGACGGAAGTCGCCGAGGTTCGGCCTGCAAGAGACCACCATCGACTTCATCGGCCACGCCGTGGCGCTGCGGGGAGCGCTCAGGAAAAAAAGGGCAAACCATGGGGGAGTACCCTCCCTCCCACTAGCATAGCAAGCAGGGAGTTCCTTTGCAAGGAAACTGATCTTCCGAGTACCCTCCCACAGGTGCCATGTTTGTTGGAGGAAAGGTAGTCGCGTTTTTTGTTGTTTTTTGGTTGTTTTTTTGAACACTTTTTGCCCTTTTGGTGTGTGGCTCGACTGGAAAACAAAAGGAATACACTGGGGTGACTTTGATTTGCTTGAACATGTACCCTTGGTGTGTGGTTTCAAGAAGGACGCCGGAAGGAAAGCCACCATTTGTTTGTTTTTCTTCTTCTTGGGGGTCGGTCCTTTAGTTTTGTTGCAGACACCGCCATTTTTGTGTGGCTGTAAAGGAAACCAAGAGGAAAACCACATGTTTGTTTGGGGGGGCGTCCCCTAAAAACGAAGACACGCCCAAATCATCTACGGCTCACGCCCTGAGTTGCGGGACTTTCTGCTATTTGGGACAATCATTTTGGTGGTCAACGCATAGGCTGGATTCTTTTGGCCAATCCACTCAGGAAGTGAGACGGCGGTTTCTCAAAATGGTGGGGCCCTTTTTGGTTGGCGGTTAAAATGAAATCAAAGGAAACGACCCTTCTCAAAACAGGGGCCCCTGTTTTGAGAAACCTCCAGTGCTACATGACACACACACACACACATTTGTGTGCCATAGGTAATCTAGTTTTGAAATTTCCCCACCCCCCCCATTCAAATGATTCAGGCCGCTATAATTTGCTGGTTCTCCACAGGGCTTGTGTGGAATGATCCCGAACTGAACCATCCAACTCGTGGTTTCCTACATGCCCTGCCTAGGTGGGGCTGTACCTTCCCGAATTCGCTCAGCACCCTTCGGGTGTGTTTCTGCTATTGTCAGCAAGTGAGATTGATTTTGAAGGCACCCTTGTCACCTGAAGGGCGAAATTTGAGCCCCAAAGGAACCTCATGCTTGGGGTCCGGTATCGTGATACCGACCCATCGACAAAAGCGCCAGCCCTGCTGTCAGCAACCGACTGAGGTGGCCAAATGACAGCTACCTGAATGGGCCTTGCGGACCAACCATCCTCAAGTGCAGGCCGGGCCGCCGAGAGATCCGTTGACGCGATGCCGTCCAGGTCTCGCAGGCCGGCTCTAAAGCTGACGTTTGAAAAGGGTTGCAAAACAAGGCTCTTCTTTTTGGGGGTGCGTTGCTTATTCTCACATCTTGAGTTCCTGGACTTTAAACTTTTTGGGAAGACCATTTCGTGGTAAATAAACAGTTTGGGAGCTTTTGTTTGTCCTATCCACTCGATCGGAAGTGAGTATTTCAGGGCGTCTTAGATGGTTGCACAAGACAACTTCTCCGCTTCCCTCGCAAAGCCGTGCGGGCCTTTACGCCGGGTTGCAACCGGCTGATTGGACGCCAGACGCTTCAGTAAGAGTTCGGCTCATTCACCGCTGGTCCTTGGGACTTTTTTGCCTTTGGGGGAAGCTTCAGGAGCCAGCTTTGGGGCGGGTCCCGGCCACCCGGGCACAAAACCATCGATTGGAAGGCACCAAGGTGTGATTGCTGAGACTGCAGCCCCTCGGTTCCCTGGAAAGGTGTGAGTAGTCGGGCGCAGCACTTTGTTTTACCCGCATACCCCTCTCAAATTCCACACACTCAAAATGACTTCCGTTGAAAGGTCGGATCCCTAGACGTTCTTTTCTGTGCAGCGCTGCGCCCGGATATATCAAAGTGGGAAGCTTGAGAAGGTTCGGTGGGTTTGAGGGGCACAAGCCAATTCAGGGCTTGCTGAATAATTTCCGTCCCAAAACGCTCCTGGAACCGGCTTTCCTTCGGTGAAAAATTGGCTAGTTAGCTTCACTTCTTTCTAAAGGACACCCAACATGTTTTTTTGTTTTTTTGTCGTTCCCATTAAAACTACCAAAGCACAGGGGTACCCCACCAAAAAAGACACACCCATTTAGGGCCATTTTCTTTTGGCAGCGTTTGGCCAACCTCGGCCCAGGCTATACCTGCAGTCGGTGCTGCAATACGGAGGCCTGCGGCCGAGTTCGGCGCGCAAATGAAATTTGCAGCCAAAGCCTTGACTGCTACTCACTTCCTGAGTTCATGAACTTTACATTTTTTGGGAAGACCATTTAGTGGTAAATGTAAAGTTTGGACTTTTCTTGGGCCATCCACTCGGCCAGTGAGGCTATTGGCTTGGATCTTTAGACTTCAACTTTTTGGGAAGTCAAGGGGGTTTCCACTAAACCCCCAAAAAGTTAAACTTTTTGCGGGGGGGTCAACAGCAACCAAGAAGCTGGTGTCGCAGTTTGCAGTGCGATGCTCCACATCACACTGTAGATGGTTGCGAAATCCATTTCGCGCCAGTTGGGATGGATGAAACAAGAGAAACCCAAGTACGAATTCTTAGATAAACATGGGCAAGCCACTTACCATACTATGTGGTGCAGGGTTTGTCCATCCATGCTATTTTGTGTGTTCTGCTATAGCTGGTTGTTGACATGAGGTTTGTGGCCCATTCAAACTGAGCTTTCTTTCGCTGAGTTGATGTTTCTTGAGAAACAAAGGAGCCTTTCGGTTGCATAAATCTGGCCAGTCAATCCTCGTCCCACCGATAGGTGACGACCATACTGGGTAGCGCAACAATGGTTGGTGTCCACGACATGTTTTGGCCCTTACCGCACAAGACTGGACACGCCCTGCTTTGGCCACATATTTGGCAGCCATGGCTGATTTTAACCACTTGCAATTCTTGACGTTGTGGCTTCATGTCGGTTTTTTGTCATCCATCAACCTCCTCTGTGGAGTTTCGGCGCACGCAGTATTGCACTTTATGTTGTTTCTGTCTGTAGTTTCCCGTGTTGACGCAACATGCCTTCACGGCTCTCATGCTGTACATTGCTGTACTAGTAGTTGCATGTTGACAAACCATGAATCAGATGTTCAAGACATATGTTGTGTTCAGCATATCAAAGGGTGTTCTCGCCAGGTTGAAAGGTAGGCTTTGGACGGGAATGACCAAACGCAAGCAGAACAAGGCACTAACAGCGACCTCGGATACAGGGGTGTTGCGAAAAGAGCCGTTTCTTTTAAAAATTGACATCCCCCAATGGGTTGGTGTCCCTGGAAAATCCAATTAGAGAACAGCTTCTGTTTCTCCTTTCTCCCTCCCCCCCCCCCCCCCCTAACAGGTTCGCGTCGGTCACAAAGCATTCCAAACAATAACTCGCACACCCCCCCCCCGCGTTATGTTTTGTCTTCTAAGGAAACTAAGAGAAGCTGGGCGTTAACACACAAACGGGATGTGACAACAGGGGGAACCCACAAAGTGGATTTCAGTGTTCTTTTGGGTCGCCCTTTAAATTAGTCCCAAAAAGGTGTACCTTCAGCAAAGAAACATACGCACACAAATACGTTGCCAGATCTGTTCAACTTGTTGTTTCCCTTACCCTCCCACCAATTATCATCAAACCTAAGAAGGAAACTACATCCGTGAGGGAAACCTGAAAAAGCAACTTCCTCGGGAAGAAACACATAAGACAAGCCGAGGCTCGCCCTTCATCTACCCCATCTACGGCTTGGGGGGGCTGCCTGAGGGCTAGGGAGCCTAAGGACAACTGGGCGAAAGTGGGCGAAAGTGGGCGGCCAACTTGCCGCTTCTGCGAGTTCTTTCGCATCCCCAGCGGGCTACGAAAACCTGCTTTTCTTCGGGGCGCCAGACCTTCGGTCCTTAGGTTGCTTCATGGGCTGTTTTTTTTCTGCTTTTTTTCTCAGCTTTTCTTTGTCGGTCCCATGAGTTGCTTCATCAGTCTTTTCTTTGGCAGCGTCTCAGGGGTTGCTTCATGTCGTTATTCAGCTTTCGTTGGCGTCCCTAAATGAAACAGCGCATGATGTTGTTCCATGGAACTCCATGAGTTTGGTTGCAATGTGGCCCTGACTCAATGGGTTCGAATGTGCGCGGGTAGGGCTCACACCAAAAGGCAATGCGGGTATGGTTCAAAGCTAAGCCACCTAAATATGGACTGCAGGTGTTTTGTTTCCTTGGGTGCATTTGCCAGGGTTCCAGTTTGGGTACCTATTTGTTTAGCATCCCCAAGAATCCCTTTTAGAACTCATTTGGGTCACCCACAGAGACGGGCGCAAATATTTTCAGATATGATTGGCCTATAATCATGAGCAATTCGTTATTTGGCAGTACCCCGCAATGACATTCTGAATATGTTTGGTAGTACAGTTACAGGAGATATTAATACCAGCATTCCTCCATCTCTCCCATTCGGGTTTGTACATAGTAAAGCTCGAGGGAGAGATGCACCCATATTATTTGCTGCTCAACGGTCTCGGACCCCCCAAAATCTGCGTGGCTTCATTCAGTTTAATGCCATGCAAATCAGGATCCTCACAAAATGATTCGACGCAAGGACCACCCTGCATGAGAATGGCTTGACACAAAGAAATCGGGATGCTGTAAGTTTGCCCAGAGTTTGTTTGGAACTCCATTTGAAGGATCGAGCCCCTTTCAAAGGCGGACCCTCCCCCATAATTGACCGTTGGTCTCTTACCGGGTTCAACCTGGCTTTGGTCAGGACCGGTGGGATCTGGTGCATAGCAAGCTGCCACGATCTGTGTTTCCCAAAGTTAGCCCCCCCTTCATAGGTAGTCGTGGACAACAAACACAACCGAAACCTGTAGAATGAGGGCGTTATTAAACTTTGTTTTGAAGGGAAAGCACCCCAGAACCAACTTTGAGAACCCAACACCGGATGTTGAGCCCTCTCACAGCGTGCCGCGGCAACGGGGACAATTTTTGGATCTGCTTCGAACACACGACCCTCCAAATGTTCGCTGTATCCAGCCCCCCCTCCCAATGGCTGTGTGGCCCCTAAAATAGTTCCTGCCAGAGCTCGCATCACACGCCAAGTTGATCGCAAATCAGTGTGGGGTCGTCTCGAGGATGCTTCGCAAATTCATGATTCAAGAACGCTCGTACCAAGCCTCACTTGTTTCTCTAAATGAGTTTGTCTCACAATAGGGCAACCCTCCAAACAGGTGGTCTCCTTTTGGAATCCTTCAGCCCACCAAAAGGGGTTCCCCAAAAAAGACACCTCTACATAAACCTGGCATTTGGGTGGGCTGTTTGGATTGGGGGATCATTTGGGCTGCTTTTTTGAGGGTGCCGCTTTTTTGGCGCTTGTACGGCGAAATCGAAAGGACTCCCAAGCCATTTTGGGGTTCCCCAAAAAGATACACACACACACACATTCCAACCCCCCCCCCCCCCAAACCCCCAACCCCCAACCCCCCAACCCCCCAACCCCACCACCCCAAAGCCCCAACCCCCCAACCCCCAACCCCCCAACCCCCAACCCACCAACCCCACCACCCCAACCCAAAACCCTAACCCCCACCCACCCAATCCCCCAACCCACGTCATTTCGCCGAGGCTTCTCGCGCCTGGCGGCCATCCACAGGGGCACCTATATGCCACCAGCCCAGCAGTCAAGGGTTGGGGAAGGACCTGAGCGGAACCCCTCAAAAGTTTCGGTTTTCCTGGTTGTTTCCCTTACGCACCCAACAAGGGGTACCCACAAAAAAAGAGAACGGATAATTGATGTTGATTGGTCCTGGGTCCTCATGAAATTACAGAGTGGCGCTTCAAAGGCTCTGTTTTCACAGCGTTAGCGGAGGGGGGGGGGGGAGTAGGTGCGTATGTGGGCCCTTGTGTGATTCTTTACATGGTTTTGGGTGACCCCTTTTCCAGGTTTCGATTGTCACTCACTCACTCACTCACTCACTCACTCACTCACTCACTCACTCACTCAGCCCTTGTTGGGGTCATGTTCAGCGACTTTCTGCTGGGCGTTGCAAGGCAAATGCCTAGGGAGCGAGCGAGTTGTGTTGGGATGCTACTCGGGGCCAGTTGAAACGGCGGGACTCTGTCAGCTTCAGTCGCGGAACTTGGGCTCCAGCATGCTGAAAATGAATATACTTTTTACTGGGTGGACGAAATCCGAATCCATTTCGCACCACTTTGAAACAATGGGAAGCCATGACGTTGGTTGGTATTTGCAGGCAAATCAGTAGGGAAGCTTCTTGGACAGAGGTCCTCCCCAGTACCCTCCCACCTATTAACATGCAACCTGACAGGCAGGTCATTGTTTGGACCATTTTTGTTTTAAAGGGACCGGGTGCCGAACGTCAGGTTCCATGTTTATTGGTGGGAGGGTAAATGATGTCCACCAAAGGGTCCTCAATTCAACCTCATGCCGGCAAGCGGCCCTAGCCCGAATTCAAGCTGGCGGCAGTCTGCTGCGCAGTTTGCAGCGCTTGCGGGATGAACTCTGCCGGGATTTATGTTGGGCAATATGATGGCGCTGGATGGCCATACTGTGACTGCGGCATGTGTTTTGACTGTGGATTCTGTTGCTTGGGTTGTTCAAAAGTGTCCAACGGTCGAAACAGGGACCAATAATTCAAAATGAATTCGACCGCAAGTCCGGAATTTGGGCAGGCCAAAGGGAGAGACTTTTCTTATTCCCAACAACACGGTTCTTGCGTATCTCATGTTCTTCGATGCGCAAGGCTGAACAAGCCCGTAGACGGATTCGCCTACGATGAGCAGGGCAAGGCGGGAAGTTTCGGTTCGACTGGCTGTTGGTTGATTGGCCTGTAGGTTGTTTTTGAGCAATCCTCAAAACCATAAGGGATGATGTCAACCTACAACCTACAGGGCAAACAACCTACAGGTGAACAACCGGCCAGTTAAGGGGATGAGGATGAGGAAGATGAAGGTTAAGGGATGATGTCAACCATAAGTTTGCCCTTCGCCTGGCCTTTGCGACATTTCTTTGGCCCGTCGAGTCGAAGGTCTCACTGTCAGATCCGTGTGAAAACAAAAACCAGGCGACTTGATGGCTATTGGGTAACTTTGGGACTGATTGGTTGAACCAGCTCGGGTTTTCCTGATTGGACCCACACAAAGTGAGCAACCAATCGAAGCGCTGTTTATGACACGAGCCTAGTCAAACGTTTCATGAAAAAGCGCTCGAACGGGCTACCGCGGATGCTTCCGTAGCCTAAAAACAAAACGATTGGTCCGAGCGTGAAAGCGATTGGGGGCGAAAAGTTGGTATTCACCCATCTAAGTAGCCCCTGGTTGATTTTGAAAGATGGTGTCCAACTCCTTGGGTTCAGACAACTTTTTCGGGGGTTCCCCCTAAGACGGGTTCTACTTAGATCCAGGGTGAACATGACTCTGCCTATTTCATAGCGAGCCCACCTGGGGTACAATGAGCTCACCATGATAAAGTTGATAAAGGTCCTTTGCTTGGGGATCTTTACGTTTTGGCATTATACTAAAACTTGCAGATACATGGGGTGTGTGTCTTTTTTTGGGGGGTACCCCCCCGCCCCCCCGCCGTTTTTGTGGTTATTGGGCCCTCTTGTTCAGATCGAAAGTTCCACCAGTCACGTGACGTCGATCCGGCGAGGTCATCGGTGTCCGATCTGGTGAAGAGGTTGCAAAGCGCCAAGCCCAAGCCGCGTTGACGTAAGCGGCGTTTTGGGAAAGAGCCATTGGGCCGCGATCAAAACCCGGACGATCCCAGCCAGACACGTTTTGGCGCGGCCGGCTTCTTGATTCTTTACGTAGGTTTTGGGTCAACCGCTGTGCTACCAGGTTTTGATCTTGTAGTCTACGTATTTCATGTCAAGCTCTCCGATTCGAAGACAAAGCGCTCTTATGATGTATGTCCTCTTGGGTCCCCACGTTTCAAGTTAAATAGGAAAATGTTCCAGCAGATTGTTTGACTTAGCGCAAAGTGAGTATCTGTTCAAAGTCTTGTTTTATTTCTTGATGTCTGGCGGGTTCAAGTTTGTTTGGAGATGGGGTCGCCACGACTGATGGAACTGCGACAAGGACACCACAAGGCCGGAAGGCTGGCGTGCACAGCTGAGCGCCTGAATTGTGTGACTGAACTTCCCTTCGAAACAGGAAACACACGACCGCCCTAAGGCTCATGGCCCCTACAATGCAGGCCCCAGGATCTTTTAATGAAGAACCCGCACCCCTCAGGGCCCTCAAAAACAGTCCATGTTGAGGGCCAACAAAAAAAATCGGGAGCCTTAGGGCACATGAGCAAATCAGCAGGCTGCAACCTCATTTGACACCTGATTTTTTTTGAAGAGACAAGCTGGAGGAGTGAAGAAGCCGGCAGTGCCTCGTTTCCGGTTCGGGACACCCCCCCAAATTTGCAGCGGGGCTGCATGGCTTGCTGGTTCAAACCTTGCAGCCTCAGGGCCCAAGGGCCCAGCAGTTTTGGTCCAGGTCCAGCAATGGGCGCCCGACCTCTCACCGTTTCTTTTTTGGTGAGGGTTCCAACCTACTCAAATAGACTACAGGAAAAAAGGGTACCCGTATTCTAAGCCCTCTGTTGGAGGAGCTAGTTGTATGTTGCTTCAAAGCAACAGGAGCAGATGGTCTCTGAATGCCGACCATTCGACAGTTCACCTAGGTGCAAGATGGTCATTTGCGACCCCTCCTATGCCGAGCCCACTAGGCCGGCTCGTATTGTGTGGCGTGTGGAAAATAATTGAAGATAAAATCCCGGCTCCCGATGGTTTTTGGGCCACCATGGGCGGTTTTTGTGGGCCCTCGAAGAGTCCGGGTTGATATAGTGTTTTAGGTTGGCACTTTTTGTCATATGCAGAGAATCCCCTTTAAAGTGAAGTTGCCATATGGAAGGACCCATATTTATGTTTCTCAATCCTCAATCGTGTATCGAACGTCATCGAAAGTCAGAGTCAGATGGACCCTTGTACCCTGCTTTCCAGACTTACGGGTCGACTGGCAACAGCAAAGGTCTATTTCAGCAGGGCCGCCCTCGAAAAGTTTACATTAAGAATTTCATGGAAAAGCTGTGCCGAAACCACTTGCTTTTTTCCTCCCCTAGCCTCAGCCAAAACCAGTTGCTTCATCCCTCTAGCTTCAGCATGAAGCCACCAGAGCAGCACCTGAGGTGATGTTCAGCAAGCAAGATGATGTTCGGATGAGCAAATGAGCCTCTGAACTCCAACGGTTTCTCCTGGTGTGTTCCGGAAACCCACGGAAACCGGTGGAAACCATGCTGATGGACGCAATCCACCACCCAATTCCCAATAAAGTTTATCAACTGCCAAAAAGCGTATGGTTTTCATCCATCCCAATTCCCCATGGGAAATAATCAACTACCCAAAAACATAGTATGGGTCAAAATTAGACCACCAGAAAATCGGTTCCATTTTGGGTACCTGTTTTTGACCCACAGTCACCATGTGTTCATTTTCATCCATCCCTTTTCCCCATGACGGTTCCCCCCTCACGGTTTCCCTCCCACGGAGTTTCCGCCGCAGGACGGAAGTGAAGGGCCAGGTGATCCGGGCCATTTGCTGCGACCTCAAGATCTCACGATTTCGCCGTTTCCATGGGCTGTGTCTCTTGAAGACCTCAGGTCCCCCCCAAATTCTATTGGTGGATTCCATTTGGTTGAGATGTTTTTTAGTTTTCCCCTCATGGTTTTTTCAAGGGAGTCTAGCACTACTGGATTTTTTTGGCTGTGGTTGTCAACAATAAGGTAGCCCCAAAATGGGTTGCCCTGGTAAATGGAACCAAAGACTAAAACCTGCGGTCCAATTCCTGGTGGCTTAATTTTGACCCATTTGCTTAAGATTTATTATTATTATTATTGTTTTTCCATGTTGGTTTTAAAGGGAATTGATTTCACTACTGGAAATAGTGTTTTTTTTCTCCAGGGGACTTAATGGAGGGGGTGTGTCTCTTGAAGGGGACCTCAGGTCCCCCCCCCAAAAAATGTTCGATCGGTTGATTCCTTGTCCATTCTTTTCAGCCATCGGTTTTTTCAATAACCAGCCATTGGTTTTCCAGAAAGAAGGATCCCCCACTCAGACCTCAGCACTTGTGGTTTTGTGAGAGGGTCGTTACTCTGCGGGCGTTTGTTCCGTGGGGTGCCTGGATTGAGGTCCCCCCCGAAATGTGTGGTATGACTCAACCAACCTCTTAAATTCGGGGTGTTTTCTTCTCGCTGGGTGAAATGTGGTTGGAATCAGACCACTTCTGGAGGGGCCCCCACCCCTATCCCACCCCTATGAATGACAACATGGGGTTGAGTAACATGGGTCAACATTACTCCTTGGGGTGTGGCTTTTTTAGGATCCGGGTCCCCCAAAAAATGTGTGGTTTTTGTTTGGTTTTGCTATACACCCCAAAAAGGCACGCTCAAACTGGCAGACCCACATGTCGCAAAAAACATGTGTGAGGGTTGGCCCATTCTGGAAACAACGAGTTGAGACAAGTTTGCGGCTCAGGAGGAGTGAAAAATCCTCAGAGAGGGGTTCAACCCTTGAGACCCCTTTTTCCCACAGGTTCGGGACCCACTAGAAATGGACTCCCCCTAAACGAAGAAATTATTATTCAGGTCTTTTCTCTACCATCCCTGAGCAACCGGCGCGAGCAAACGGCGCCTGGCATACGCTGGCACAGCGCCTTGGGGCCTCAGTCAAAACCCGAAAATCATTAGCACTGTTCATAAGGGAAAGTCAACCAACCTCAAATCGGTGCAGCCGCCCTATTTTGTTGTTTTCAACCCATGGCTTTTTGGGTAGTCCATCTTAAAAAGCCGATCTTTTTCAACCGTGGTTTTGGGTAGACCCTAATGTTTTTGTTTATGCCATGACTTTGGGTAGTCCATCTTAAGGCCGATCTTTTTCAACCATGGTTTTGGGTAGACCCGTAAAAAAAAAGCCATGGCTTTGGGTAGACCATCTTGGGTACACCACTCGATCGCCCTCATATGTGTCTTTCCATTCATGGCTTTGGGTAGAAAAACTCTTCTGGCTGATCCGTTTTTGTGGCTCCCAGCGAGGCATTCTTGGCGCCCCCATCCCTGAGACCAAGAACCAGGCAGACGGATGTGACATGCCGAATGGGCTCATTCGGTCCGACTTGGAAGAGGTTTGCGGCCGGTGGATATATTTTTTGAGGCTACCCTTTCTGGTTTCTGGGGTGGATATATTTTTTGAGGCTACCCTTTCTGGTTTCTGGGGTAGATATTCTTTTTGAGGCTACCCATTCTGGTTTCTGGGGTGGATATATTTTTTGAGGCTACCCTTTCTGGTTTCTGGGGTGGATATGTTTTTTGTGAGGCTACCCTTTCTGGTTTCTGGGGTGGATATATTTTTTGAGCTACCCTTTCTGGTTTCTGGGGTGGATATTCTTTTTGAAGCTATCCTTTCTGGTTTCTGGGGTGGATATATTTTTTGAGGCTACCCTTTCTGGTTTCTGGGGTGGATATTCTTTTTGAGGCTACCGTTTCTGGTTTCTGGGGTGGATATATTTTTTGAGGCTACCCTTTCTGGTTTCTGGGGTGGATATATTTTTCGAGGCTACCCTTTCTTGTTTCTGGGTTGGATTTTTTTTTTTGAGGCTACCCTTTCTGGTTTCTGGGGTGGATATATTTTTTGAGCCTACCCTTTCTGGTTTCCGGGGTGGAATTAATTGTTTGAGGCTACCCTTTTTGGTTTCTGGGGTGGATTTTTTTTGAGGCTACCCTTTCTGGTTTCTGGGGTGGATATATTTTTTGAGCTACCCTTTCTGGTTTCTGGGGTGGATATATATTTTTTGAGGCTACCCTTTCTGGTTTCTGGGGTGGATATATTGTTTGAGGCTACCCTTTCTGGTTTCTGGGGTGGATATATTTTTTGAGGCTACCCTTTCTGGTTTCTGGGGTGGATATATTTTTTGAGGCTACCCTTTCTGGTTTCTGGGGTGGATATATTTTTTGAGGCTACCCTTTCTGGTTTCTGGGGTGGATATATTTTTTGAGGCTACCCTTTCTGGTTTCTGGGGTTGATTTTTTTTTGAGGCTACCCTTTCTGGTTTCTGGGGTGGATATATTTTTTGAGGCTACCCTTTCTGGTTTCTGGGGTGGATAAATTTTTTGAGGCTACCCTTTCTGGTTTCTGGGGTGGATTTTTTGTGTGAGGCTACCCTTTCTGGTTTCTGGGGTGGATATTTTTTTTGAGGCTACCCTTTCTGGTTTCTGGGGTGGATATGTTTTTTGAGGCTACCCATTCTGGTTTCTGGGGTTTCTACCCTTTCTGGTTTCTGGGGTGGATATTTTTTTTGAGGCTACCCTTTCTGGTTTCTGGGGTGGATATATTTTTTGAGGCTACCCTTTCTGGTTTCTGGGGTGGATATTATTTTTGAGGCTACCCTTTCTGGTTTCTGGGGTGGATATATTTTTTGAGGCTACCCTTTCTGGTTTCTGGGGTTGATATATTTTTGAGGCTACCCTTTCTGGTTTCTGGGGTGGATATTTTTTTTGAGGCTACTCTTTCTGGTTTCTGGGTTGGATATATTTTTTGAGGCTACCCTTTCTGGTTTCTGGGGTGGACATATTTTTGAGGCTACCCTTTCTGGTTTCTGGGGTGGATATGTTTTGTGAGGCTACCCTTTCTGGTTTCTGGGGTGGATATATTTTTTGAGGCTACCCTTTCTGGTTTCTGGGGTGGATATATTTTTTTGAGGCTACCCTTTGTGGTTTTTGGGGTGGATATATTTTGGAGGCTACCCTTTCTGGCTTCTGGGGTGGATATATTTATTGAGGCTACCCTGTCTGGTTTCTGGGGTGAACAACAACACGTGGTTTGTTTTCGCGTGTCTGTTGAGGGCACCCTTTTTGGAGTTGTTGACAAGAGTAACCACATGCGTTCCCCTATTTTGACAAGTCGAGGTGCTCCTTTGGAATTATTGCACTCCCCGAGGCGTTGCAGGCTTCTTGAGGGTGTTCCTGAATTATTCCAGGGAACTGCCAAGTGAGCTGTTGTTTATGACGTGTGAAGGTGCACAGGATCACTTTGAGGACTATCTTGAAGCCTGCCCTGTCCACTTTCATTGCTGCATACAGGCTACCCCAGTGGTGAATCCGTTGCCCCTTTTGGTTTGTAGCTTTCCCTCGGCCCCAAACGGAGGTGATTCCCCGTTTGCTGGTGTTTGGTGGGTGTTTCCGCCAAACCGCATGCACTACGAAAAGCAGTGAAGGCTCAAGCCGTACAAAGGATCAACTCGCGGGGCTCCCCTTTTCACTGCTGGGAACCCAGGATTATCCCCATCCTGGTGAAGATTCACGTGTACTGTTTGTGGACCTCGACGCATTTTGGTGCCTGGCCCCAAAGAAGTCACCCGGACCCCCAACCCCAACCCCAACCCCTCTAGCCCAAAAAGTTTAACCCCCCCTTCAAACCCCTCCAAAAGTGTCATCTTGAAGGGGGCAACCCCCCCACCCCATCCCCCATACCCCCTTATCAACCAGGAACTTTATTCCTCCGTGAGCCGCGCGAGGAAGGCAAGCCGGCGCTCTCGTGCCAGATCATTTTCCCACAGAAGCAGCCCAGAGCTCAGCCGCCAAAACTTCAGCTGAAAGCCGAAAGAAGACTTTTGCGGATCGGAGAGCTTTGAGCTTCACTGCTATTGGGTAAACGATCTTGAGACTTTAACTTTTTGGTTGAAAACAAGTTGATTTTCCACTAAAGCCCCAAAAAGTCAAACTTTTTGCAGGGGGGTCAACGGCAAGGGGAATGCTGCACTTTGGCCAGTTCTGGCTTCAGAATTGGCATTTTAGCGCTGAATATATTCTCCAGTTTATAGTATACCTTGTTTTGTAGTCGGAAGTAAGAATATTAGAATAGAGGTAAACGGAAAGCATTGGACATCTATTTTCACGCGGGTTGGCTTATTGCCTTCAGACCAGCGATTTCAGCAAGCCTTTCGTATGGCTCGGAATGGATCGCCTTTGGGGCAACGGGATCGATATCTCTGAAGTAAAGCAAGGTGTTCATCTTTGGGAGTCAAGGAAACCACCCGCAAGAGCATGGATTTGCCTATTCTGTAGCGAGCTCACCTGGGGGTATAACGAGCATGATGAAGGTCCTTTGCTCTTAGGGGATCCCTTTCAGCTTTTGGAATTAGAGATCTTAGAGTAAAAATTGCAGATTGTTTCCTTAGGCTTGTGTACATCAATATATTTACTCTGCTTGACTGTTGTAGGGTTCCCTACAGCTCTTGGAATCCCTTTCAGCTTTTGGAATTAGAGGTGTAAAAAAAATGCCGAATGGATGTCTTCTTTCTGGATTGACCCTCCGAGGAAACCGGCGAGGTTCCTCACCCCTTCAGACCCCAACTCCCGGTCGCGCGGCTCGTTTGCGTGAAAACGGCGAGGCTGAAGCGAAAAAACGACGTCTACGTGATGCCCGGCACCTGGAAACAAGTTCCGCAAGGTCCTTATACCAAAGGGCAAATTACCCCATTCGGGGTCTGACTACTATTTGCTATGTGAGTTGTACAACACACACCTTGAACATGTGTTATGCCAAAGGTGTAACTACCGCAGTAGTTTCTGTTGCTTCGGTGCCGCACAGGGAGCTGAGATGAGCTGAGTATGTGTTTCTTCCTGCCAACTTGGCCATTGCTCGAACTTGGTATGGGTGAAACTTTTTCACCACCAGGAATAGGACCGCGGGAATTGCCAGGTCCTTCCCCTTTGCCAGGGATCCAATTGCGGTTCCACCTTCGCCTGGCGTGACGATTTGACGACTTGAGGTGGCCATTGGAGCCGAAGTCGAGAAATTTCACCCCGCACTCGCTCACTCCCCAAGTTCGGGTTTGGACATTGGTGGGTTGGGTTGCAGGAAATTCAACAGGAGAACAGTTGATTCAGGGTGTTTTGGGGTCATGTCCTGTAAATGTTTTCCTTTTCCATCCAAACCCTTTGATTGGCTTTTTGGGTTTGAACCGATGAAAGGTTTGGACTCTTTTGGGCCAATCCACAACTCAGCCGCGAAGGCTGCGTGCATGGACACCCACGATGTTTTCCATTGAATTATACAAAACCAACGATTTCGGGCAAAAGCCCTCCGCTCAGGGGATCCCCCGCTCTTGAATTATTTCGATCCACCCAGACCTCATTCCCTGAGTTCCTGGACTTTGAACACTTTTAGGGAAGGCCATTTTCGTGACAAACAAAAGGTTAGGGCTTTTTTGTTTGGGCCATCACTCAGAAAAAGTGAGAGACTTATACTTCCCGCCCCCCCCCCTCAACACCGATTTCCCACCACAGCCTGCACTGTTCTTGGCAAGAGTTTGTTTTTTTCTTTATTATTCTGTTCATTCGTAGTAGGGGGCTGCAAACAAAACGGGGGTTTTTGCAAGGCCACACCAAGGGTTGTGAAGCAGCACTCACTTTGCGAGGATGGTGTCCTGGGCGCACTGCATTGCGGCCAAGGCGCAATGTGACGATGTGGTCGTCCGGGGCGTCCTAAAAAGGAGTTGGTTTGTCATAATGTCATAAACCTAGGTCCCCCAGTGGTGCCCTTTTACCCTTTTTTTGGGGGAGGGCTCCCCTGCTAAAATAGGCTACAGAAAAAAGGGTACCCTTATTCTATCCTCTCTACTGGAAGACCTAGAAACCCTAGGGTTCCTGGTTATAAGAGTGGCCTTGGGACGCAAGATAGATGATCACAAGCCTTCAACTAAATGTGGTTATACTTACCCCCCAGTGGTTTGAACCCCAGGGATAATTTGTCATTTGTCAGTACGTTCCAAGACACGACTACGTTAACAAATGGCAATTGAGTAATTTCCGTCAGGTGCTCAGTTGCTTGTTGAATGAGCCAATATGGATGTTCCGAAATCGAGGAAACCCTGCTCACTTGCCAACTCTTCATATTGACAGCTGACACAAGCTGCGCCCATCTGTTGATGGGTTGCAAATGAGGTGCCGTAAGAATTCCCTGGTTGATGAATAGGGGGGTCCTAGTTTCAGAGGCAACCCCTCACTCTTCGAGGAAAAACCAATCAACGAATCCGCTTGGTTGATCAATCCAGATGTTTTTTTCTTCCTGGGCTAGCAGAGCTTGTCCCGATCGCGTCCGCGACAGGAGAAGTACGTGGCCATTGTGAGTACTGTGGTGGAGACTTCCAGCCTTTCCGGCTTCACTTGGGGCTCCCTTCTTTTTCATTGCTGGCCAGGGCAGTTGATCCCCAGTTGGTCGCCTTTGAGTTGGCTTGAGTAATTGAGTAATCGATACGGAAAAGCCACTTGTTGGAACCCTTTTTGGATTTGGTTTTGGTAGCTTTTTGCGAATTGGCTTAAAGAGAGCCGAGGAATAGCAGCATTGCAGTTGCACGTTAGCCTCGGCTCCTTACACTGCAAGCTGACGGGGCTGTTCAAGAATGTGCCGAAATGCAGCCAAACATGCGCAGGGGTCTCTTAAACCCTAAACCCTAACAGGGTTGTGCGTATATTTGGTTGAACCACCAGACGCTTTTTCCCTTACAAACATCGCTGTAGGAGCCTCGGGATGCCTCAGACATCGCCTGGAAAACTCTGGTGAATGGCGGCCTGTGGAGTCTGCGCCTTTTTTTCTCATAAGCTTTTTTGGGGAAGGGTTTCAACTTAGACTCAACCAGCCAAAAAGCCATGCCAAGGGTTGTGAAGCACTGAGCATTGATCTGAATTCGCCTTGCCCCTCCCTGTTGGTTCTCTTGGGTTTCGATCCTCGATGTTCTCTCTTTATAAGAGGACAGTTTTATATTTTTGCAAGGCAGCGAAGTCTGGCCGTCGCGGCGGCGCTTTGCATGTTGGTGTGTGCTTTTGGGGTACCCTTCTTGTTGGGGAGTGGTTTAAAGTGAAGCCAAAGAGAAAAGCCACCACTTTGGGCGGGTTTGTCTGTTGGGCCCAGACATGGCCCGCTTTTAGGGAGGCAACAAGGAGAGCCACTTTTTTTTTCTTTTTCTCGGCTTGTGGGCATCCTTAAAGAAAGGCCCAGCTCACAGGAGTTTTACATGGACCTCTCCGCCAGATCCGGAGAAGGAGATCGAGCCCGCTCTGAAGCTTTTGGGCCCTGTGCAGCACAAGTCCCGAGCTCAGAGACCGAGTTGCTCCTGTCTCACTTCCCGAGCAAAAACCGTTTCGGACTTGTGTGACGATTTGGGTTTGGGAAAAGTTCAGTGGTAAATGAACCAAACATGGTTTCTTGTTTTGGCCCAGCCACGCAGGAAGTGGGCTTGTCTTGGGAATTCTTGTTTCAGATGAGCCAGTTGCTCAACAGATTTGGGTAGACAATCTTGATACCTGGTTTTGATTGTGAGTCAGATGTTGGAATGATTGACAATTTGGACTCCTCGTTTTTTTTGGGGGGGTGTTTTTTTTTTTTTACTAGCCTCTACTTTAAGTCTACCCTGAAAGACAGCAAAAGAGAGTGGATATGTGTAGGTTGTTCCAGACTGACTATTTAGAACCCAGCTTTGAACTCATGCTTCATATAAAGGATCACCAAATATGGGCCATGATCAAACAATATCAAGCGTATGTTGGCTGAGAATATAAGCTGAGGCAGACTTGGCACATCCTTTTTTTAGAGTAGACTTTTGGGGTTGGTTAAAAGCAAAACCACAGGAGAGCCACCCATGTTTTGGGTTTGTCAGTGGAACTCAAGCACGGGCGACATGAACTGATCCCTTGGCGATTCAAGTGCAGAAAAGGCATTTTGCAACTACCTGCGGGGGTTGTTTCGTTCAACTTGTTCACGTTTCTGGGGTGGTTGGGAGATCAGCCCGGGGATCCAAGCGAGTCGCTCACTGGTGTTGACTCACTGGTGTTGTGCATGGCATTTCAGTGGCTCATAAGACGAAAGTCAGAAGAAGCCTTTGGTGCATGTTGCTTCGATGTTAGGCCTTTAACTGTTTGCCAACTAATGGGTTTTCCATTAAACCACTAAAAGTTAAACTTTTAGCAGGGGAGCAGAAAGCAACCGAGAAACATGATTGTGTTGGACTGAAAAACCTGAACTTACATTCACATGATGATGGTTGTTTGAGTCCACTCTGGTTTGCATTGAAGGTGGCTTCCCGCTTATCGTTGACTAATTCTTTCCCTCTCTTTGCCCAGCGACGTTTACGAAGCCGAGTTCCCCAGAGTGAAGTTCTGTCTTTTGAACTTGTTTTGGGAGGGGCGCAACTTCCTACCGGGACGACCCAGCTTTCCGGCCCGTGTCCTTTTGAGGAGTACAAACGCATTCGAGGAACCCTCTCAGGGGCAACCTCGGGTTCCATATGGATTTGCGGAGTATCTCAGTTCCAAAAACGACCTTCTACCCTTGCCACAAACATGGCACCCGGGAGGCACCTGGAAGATCAGTTTCCTCATGGAACCCCGTGTCAGCTTCCATTTGCTTAAGAATATGTGTATTTTCCCTTGTTGGTTTTAAAAGGAATTTATCACTACTGGAAATATTGATACTTTTTCCAGGGGTCTTAACCAAATGGAAGTGAGGTGAGTTTCCCTTGGTCGATTGGTCACGAGTCCGAGAAATGATTTAACCAACTTTTGCGGGATCTTTTGGCAAGCAAGCACCCCCTCCCAAAAAAGGATGGTGTCCGTTTGGCTTCCTTTAAACCGACCCTAAAAGGGGTACCAACTCCAAAAAGCCCCCCCCCCCTCATTGAGAGTAGCAATGCGACCAAAGGTTTTTGTTTGTCTCTACATGGACGACATCCTGCACGGATGGATAAAGGTTGTATGCATGATGTGGAAAACCACCTGTCAAACTCTTGCAGGATTTCATCGATCCACATTCTTGCATTTGCTGAAATGAATATGTTTGTATTTACCCCTATTGGTGTAAAGGGAATCTAGCACTACTACATGGTTGTCGTTGAAAAACATTTTACATTTTTGCTTATTGTGGTTTAGTGGTTGAAATCCAACCACTTAACTGCTAAACTTTAAACTTTTGCCCCCCTTCCAACGTCAGAAAAGACTAGAAATATGGACTTCAGAAATGGAAGCATGGCTCGATTCGCTTAGGTTCGTGCAGATCAGCGAGATTCGGGAGCCCGTGACCGATGGAGCAGCGGTGCTTGGGCAGCGTTTCAGCGAGGGGCCGATGGGTCAAAATGGGTTGGACCCCCCCCCCAAAAAAAAACAAACACACTATTCAACCCTGATACGTGGAAACATGGACCCAAACCTGCGATCCCCTGGTTTAATTTGGCCCGTACCCATATTTTCCATGGGACTTTTGCAAATGAGCCACAATCAAAACCTGGGTAGATGAAGGTTAGGGACAATCCCAACCATAAATAGTTGCGGCCGCCTTTCTAATTCTTTACATGGTTCTGGGTTCACCATTTTTGTACCAGGTTTTGATTGCGACTCCTATGGCTGCAGCTCAGAAAATGGTACCCAACATGGCCCCTTGGCAAATGGAACGGTAGACTAAAGCCTGCGTAACCCTAGCTCTTTCATTGTGAGCCAGCCATATGAATTTAATGGGTCCCAGACCCTTCGGTGGACAGCAAAAAAAATGGTGGGGACTCAGGACTCATGTCCGCCACTTTTGAGGGGGTTCCCCATTAAAACTCGAAGCTTTAGGGGTACCTTCCATTTCCATTCTAAACCCAGGGATCCGGATAATAGAAAACCTCCGGAAACCCAGGGAAAACGGATCCGGTTATCGAAAAGAACGATGGTTGAAAATAATGGAAAAGGAATCAACCCCTAGAAAAAAAACATACGATTGGCGTCCTTTTGGCTTTCCTACTCCAACCTGAAAAGAATGAGCCTTTCGCCTCAAGGCACACACCAAGTTGAGTGGGGAGGGGTGCGGGAGTAGGAGTGAGGGGAGCAGGGGAGGAGGGCAGAGAGTGCAGTAGGGGAAGAGGGGGAGTTTGGCGGATACTGGTTGAGCAGGATTCCTGAAAAATTGACTGATTCATATTTTGTTGAATGTCAGTGGTTGATTCGATGTTCGTTAGGGTGTTGGCTTTTGAACCCCTCTGTTTCCATTTACCGCTAGCGCACCACCCAGCACCCCAACTGGCCTGCTTATAAAAGCCATGTCCAAACTCCCAAAGTCCAAAAAGCAGTTGAGCGCTAAACTTCCCCTTCTGTTTGGTGAAGGTCTTGCAATAACTCAGGCCCTAAGCTAAACACGCGGTCGGTCAGCGCGGTTTGGCAGAGCCAAAAACAGCAAAACGCTGCGGCGCCCGGCGCGCGCGAATGGCTTTCAGTTGTTGGGACCTGGACGCGAATCACCATGGCTGAGCCTTGTGGGATTCGGCCGGGATGGCTGCCAGGGCTTAGAGCCCAAGAACTGAGGCGTTTCTTAAACGAAAAGAAAAAAGAAAAGGAAAACAACGCAAACGTCGTGGGAGAAGCGGACACATGGCAACCCAGTTTTTGTTGCATGGCGTGTTTTTTTTTTTTTTTTTATAGGGGAACTCATTTTTGTTGGTGGGATAAAAGGGAAACCACCATGAAACCACGTTGTTTCTTTTTGGGGAGGACACACCCATGTCTCGATCGTTTGGATGTGTGTTTCCCTAATCGCTAAGTCTCTGGGTGTCCGAGGTCAGGCGGCAATTTCATGGCCCAAGGTCAGACGATTTTAGTAGTCCTATGTAAAGCACACGTTGATCAAGCTGGAAGTGGACTCTGGTACCCTGAAAGTTCCGTTTTTGTTTGGGGGCTTGCCCACTGAAAATGGAATCTACCCCAAGATGTGTTCTCGTCTCCACTGGGCAATTCGGATTTGAAAGGTTGATGCCGAAGCATTTGTTATTTCTTGTCACCCGTCCTTTTGAGAAGCAACAAGAAGATTGCCTGGGCATTAGGGAGCTGAATTAAAATCCACTGTCGCAATTGTTGGTTGCTTGGCTGGCTGGCTGGCTGGCTGGCTGGCTGGCTGGCTGGTTGGTTTGTTGGTTGCTTGCTTGATTGGTTGGTGGCTTGGTTGCTTGATTGCTTGCTTGGTTGCTTGCTTACTGGCTTGCTTGGATGGTTGCTTGGTTGACCGATTGCTTGGTTGGTTGCGTGCTTGCTTGGTTGGGTTGTTGGGTTGAGGTTGGGTGTGATTTGGAGTGTTCTGCATTTCCGAGAAATATCTCCAGTCCCATCCCAAGGTTCTCGATCCCAACCAAAATCGGGAGCAAACCGGTGTCTCAATTCCGTGAAAAGCTGAGTACCGCCCGAGGTTTACTTGGTGATCCCAGTTGCCACTTTTGTAGATCGCCAGGAAGTGTCCCCTTTTTTTGAGTTCAAAAGAGGCATCAGCCCAGTCAATGCAGCGAATCCTCCCTTCGGTTCAAACAAGAAGAACCGGTGTCCTTTATTTGGGTCGGGATTTGCCGAAGAAACCAACTGGCTTCCCCGGCCGATTGTACATGGCGCTGGGCGCAGTAGAGGGTCCACCGAAGCGGCCGAGGATGGGGTCTTCGTGACCAGCAGCTACGACCCCTCCTCCCACTTCGAGGATGCCTCCACCGAAGTCTTGGCGCTGCCTTTGCCTTGGTGAATCGATCGCCGGTTTCCCATGTCCGAAGCGCGTTGTTTTTTCTTTTTCTGTTTGCCTACCCTCCTGCCCAGCACTGAAAGGGACCCTCCTGGTGGATTCCATGTTAGTTGGCAGGAGGGTCAGGGGTTGATTAATTACTTGTTCAATGGTATACTCCTATGAGCCTGGCTAAATGTGGTCCTCACAACTCCATTCCGACTGTTTAACCCCTTTGTAAGCATCCGCATGTGGAGGCTCGCCAACAAAGCCCCACCCAGACCTTAGGTGCTCGTTGTTCCTTCTCGTTTGGAGGGGGCCGGCCCTTGAAACCATGTGTGTGTCTCAAAATCCGGGATCCCTTACATGGTTTTGAAGGAGCAAATATTGTGAGAGACCCATGTGAGGTTCAAATGCCACACGAAGAGGCTTTGGCCAATATGTAGACATTGGTCTATGAAGCTTCACACAAATAGGCGCCGCTTCCTATTTGTCAGTTTAGTTTATTCCAAAGTCGACAAGTTGGCTTTTGGCCACAGCCATGCGGCTTGTGAATGAACCTCAGAGCAGCACCCTACAACTTATTCATCTTGGGCTCAACACACAAGGCAATATGGCTCTGGCTACCTACTAATCTCCGTCAATGGTTGGAACCCTAGGATTGGCGAACATAAATTCAACCATGTGATGAATGTTACGCGGGTCAAATCCAGCCACGTGTGAGTGTTTCTCAAAACAGGGACCCCTCAATGGTTTGTTTCCCTTTCGTTTCCGTTTGACCGCCAACCCAGAAAGGCCCACCATTTTGGAACCTCCCGTTAAAGGGTTTTGTTGGGATGGCAGTCGGACCGGGTCCGATTCAAAAAGCTGAGGTGGAAGAAGATCACGGGCGAAAGCCTCGATCTCACGGTACTCCCTGAGGACGAGGACCGAATGGCGGCCGATTCGGCCGAAGATTTTGTTTCAGAAGGCTTCCATTTGGCTGACATGCATTTGTTTGTGTTTTGTTCCCCTGGTGGGTTTAAAGTTTACTACATGTTTGTTTTTCATGTTTTTCCTGGGGACATATGCAAATGGAGGAAGGCGAGAGAGTGAGCCAAACTCAGTCCCCGAGTTGCTTTCGGTTTAGGGTGCACGAAAAAAGTCGCCAACAAGAAGGACTCGGAAATTTGAAGGTCTGTATAACGGTTTTCCCACCTTCCCGGGCGTGGATGCCCGGGCTGTTGATACAGGACGCCCAAGAAAATGGGTGGTGTGCCATATTTCCTTTTTCCAATTGAAAACCAACCAACAAGGGCTTCAAAAAGAGAGACCCATATGACTCATGCTAAGCACATGCACCAGGTCCCCACAAAAACCCTTTGGACCCGAGGCGGTTTCCCGAAACCAATTTCCTCCGGCCTAGCTTGTTGCCTTTCAAAGACGGCAGAGAGAGAAAGACGGTGACATGGGTGTTGTTGGGAAACAACATTTTACATTTGTGCTTTTTGTGGTTTAGTGGGAAATCCCCACTTAACTGCTAAAATTTAAATGTTTGCTCCCCTTTCAACGTCAACCAAGGTGAGAGGCAGAGCAAAGCAAAACAAGCGGCAAGCAACTTGCAGGAAGATGTTCAGGTGATTGAACCAAGCAAGGGCAAGCGATGAATATGCTGGCTTGTGCTAATTCGTTTCAGCTCCAAATAGAAAGTCCCTTCGTTGCTGGTGTGTGGGTGTGTTAAACCAAGTTAAGAACTGTAATCTTCAACCAGGTGGGACGGAGGCATTTGTGCCAGCTGCTGATATCAGCTCGGAAGCCACAGTTGCATGAGCTGTTTGATGAACATTGCGCATCTGCAGATGCCCTTGCTGTGGATGGAAGCATGATTCTGCACGGTGCTTGGCCCGGTGCACTTGAAACCTGCAATGTACAACAAACATGCCCGCTGTCATCACATGATTCAAAGCCATTTCAGAAGGGGGTACTAGTTGGCTTAACATGGCTATGAAAAGGCCTACGCCAGTATAGACCTCCAGATTTGCATGTTGGCAGAGTCCAAAGTCCACGAGTTTTGGGCACTGCCTGGTAGCAATACAGCAAATACTTGCCTTTGTTATACTTCTTTAGCGTTCTTTCTTTGTATGGGAACAGAGCTGTTTGGCGAGCGCAGCTCTACGCAGGACCAGTGAGGATGACCCAAGTTGCGCACGATCGCAAAGCTTGGGAGATTCTTAAAGAGTCTCAGGACTGCTTTTCCGAACAGCTTCACAAGGCAAGCGGTGTAGCCAGGTCAGCAAGTGGGGTGGGTCAAGTTTTAACCTGGAGTTGGACCGCAGGAATTTTAGTCCATGTTTCCATCTACCAAGGGCAAGCCATTTTGGGATTACCCTATTGACCCACGCCAAGATCAAGTTACATTCGAATCTTTTGGCAGCCGCCTTGCTCGCGGCGCAAGTGGCGCCCGTTCAACCTCTCGAGGTTGCTTTTGCTGGAACATGTGGTTCTATGCATGGTGCAGAGCCTAGGGCCAAAAAATAGATCTCTAAGGTGCTACCGGTATTCCCCAAATGAGCATCCACCTACAAGCCATACAGGCGTGGTTGTTCAGGGCCTCAATTACTGGTTTTGAACCTCCACAAGTGGTCATTTCAATAGAAACCACCAGTGAATTGCAACTTTGAAGGGGACATCCAGAGACCCCCGTTTTTGGGGATTCCCATTTGGGGTATGTATGTGGGGTATGTAAGTACACCTTGGAGTGTCTGGCTGAGTCCAGGTGCAAAAGGAAAACGCACGTGTCCGCGCTTCACCGAGAAAGGCACACCGTGCCAAACAAACTGAGAGGATCTTGGCGAAGGAAAAGGCAAGAGAGAGAGAGAGGAGCGGCGAAGCTGAGTTGACTTGTTTTAAAGCTAGTATGCCCTCAGGCTTGTGCTATTTGGGAGTTTAGACGAATATGAGATATCCCACCAAAGGTTTAACTTTTCGCAAGGCTCCACAAGCCACGAAGGCTGCGTGTGAGGGTCTTTGCGAAGCCTTTCATGTTGTAAAGCATGTGTTTCCGAGCCTAGAATAAGTTGGTACGGCGTTTTGTGGTCCTTTTTTTATTTTTTGGCTTCGTCTGTTTGAGTAGGTTGGAACCCTCCCAAGCAAAAAAGTGGGTGAGAAAGGGCACCTAGCTGGGGGACCTAGGCTGTGGAGTTCTTGAGGGTAGCCTCTTTCCTTGCTGATGGGATAGGTAGGGAACGCCCGCGCCCGGGTATTGGGAACAAAGCAGAAGGGGACTTCCTCAAAGGAAACCAGCTGTTTTTTCGGGGTCCAACTCATTCCCTGAAAACCAGCAAGCTTCGCAACCAGAAGAAAAAACATGAGAAACATGGAGCTGCTTCCACATGGGGCCCCAGTCTCTTGCTGGGTTTCGAACATCTTGAGGACCTAGCACCAAGCGCCCATCTCCGGCCTTTTCCCTGGGCTTCCGAATGCGCCCATGCTTTGGAAGATCCGATCCGAAGCCCACCTTGCGCCCAGTTTCGAGGGGCCCAAATCCACCTCTAAGCGAGGGATCGAGTGCCTTGAGGGACCCGACGGTTTTTGTTCGCCCAGCCCAATATTTTTTTCAGGGCACGGTTTGAACAAGATCGTTTGAGAAGCCCAAGGACAGCGTGATAGAGACGCAACCAGCAGAAATCGCAGCTCTTGACACGGCCTCAGCCGCTTGCAACTTGGCATTTTGGTTCGTGAAGCTTAGCCTTGAACACGGGATCACAAGGCATAATATATATATATACATGGGTGGCTCATCTTTGTTTAGGAGTCAGACCCTAAAATTGACCAACAGGATACTCAAGAGACACGCCCATACATAATATGTGTATATATATATATATACACGTAAATACTCCCTCGGTCACAAAGTGGGAGCAGTCAAGCAGTCACTGTCTCCAACTCAGCCAAGCACCAGCCTAAACTCGGACCTCACCGTTTGTTTGATTCGTTTTTTGCGGCGCCAAAAGCGCTGTGCCATGCGCAAATGACGCCGGTGTATGCAGGAGCCCTAGCAACCAGCGGAGCTTGCGGCATCGAGTCTCAAGATGCCCCAACCCATGCATTGCACATAAAGTTGGGGCTTGGCTTCCTTGGTTTGGTTTCGCTCTGGTTTCCCCATTGGTTTCCCTTGGTTTCCCTGGGTTTCCTGAAACAAACGTACCAACCTTTGATACCAGGTGTAGTGGTTACTTACCCACTATCGGGCACCTAGAGGACTTGAGATTCCCGATTTTGGCCGTGGAAATTGGCACCTGGGGTACCTCAAGGTGACTTCCCCTTCCTCCACCCCCCCCCCCCCGCCCCTTGCCGGCATTTCTGGGAGAAAGAACATCCATGCAGTTTTTCACTCTGCCAGTTGGGCAGCAATGTTGCAGCATGGCGTGTTGCTGTCTGGCTTTGGTTGGGCTGCCAGTCGAGTTGGGCGGCTAGGCCTCGCGAGTTGTCGGTAGGCTTCTTCATTTCGGTACAAGAACAATGGTGAAGCCCACAACACCATGCAGGATCCCGGCTGTTGCAACGCTGAACACAACAGCAATTGTTTCGTTCTTTAGGCCGGCAAGCTGCTCACTCCCTGGCCTCCTGGGCTTGACAGGTTTGACACCAGCTTGGCGAACAAGCTGCTTAACCAGTCAGGAAGTGAGACTGAGAAGATAGAACAAGAACGTGAGCGTGGCAGCACCTTTCTTTGAAGGATGAACAGAAGTCGCCGTGGAAGGGGGATTCTGTGACCACTGTTCCTTGATTCAGGACTATTGACGTCTTGACATGGGTTTGTCATGCCATGCACCGATGACTGTCGAGTCCTTGCGTCTTGCATGTGTCGGAGACTTTGTTGGTTTTCCCTAGGGGTCCATTTTTGGTCATGTCCCCACAAAAGGTTCAACCTTAATTCCAGGTCTCCAAGGGGCGGCTGAGCGAATGGGCCACCTATGTTTCCTTTGGCTTTCCTTTCGTCAAGGGGCTTTTGTCCGTCAGTTTCCGGGGCAACAAAAGGGCAACGAAAGCCGAGTCTGCCTTGAAGTTTGGGTGCTTGACAGCGGTCTGAAATCTCAAACCCAGCCAAACAGCCAACCATGGTTTCCTTTGAAAGGTAATATTTTGTAATGCCATGCAGCTTTATCATAAGGTGTGTCTTACCTTAAAGGGAAGAACCAAAACCACCATCTTGGAGGGCCCGATTCCACAAAAAAAGACCCACACACACACACACACAGTCCCGTGTCGGTAGAATCGGCAGAAGGAATCCGCGTGTGGCGGGTTTCGCGTTTCGCGTTTCGCCCAAGGTGGGAGCCGGATGTGGGCGCCAGCACGCTTGAATGAGAGGAGCTAAGGTTCGTTGGTGTGTTGGATGGCAGTTTTTGGTGCTTGGGTTGCGGAAAATTTGTGGGGCTCAGGGGGAAGGGGGTGCGGTTTAGCTCACTTTCCGAGTTTCTGGACTTGAGTCACTTTTAGGGTTTGGACCATGGTGGTAAACAGAAAGTTTGCACTTGTGTGGGCCAATCCACTCAGGAAGTGAGCTGATGGTCACTTTAGTACACTACTTAGGCCCCCCAGTAGTGCCCTTTTTTACCCCTTTTTTGGGGGGGAGGGTTGCCCCTAGTAAAATAGACCACAGAAAAAAAAAGGGTACCAACTTATTCTAGCCTCTCAAATCTGGACCTAGGAGGGTAAGCTTTCAAGAGCAGGACTCCATCACTGGCAACGCAGAAACTCGAGATCCTCACTCAACATCCTACCCTAGCCCTTTGGCCCTTCCAGTGTGGGGCAAACCGACAGATTCAACAAAGATCAAGAACATTCATTCGGTCCAGTAGGTTTCCCCCTTGTCCAATTTTGTTTGGGGGGTCCCTTAGAAGTCAAAGATGTACGAAAACCAACAACGCGTCTTTGTTTCTGTTGAGAAGCTGCTGAACAAGCACGTGCCCTTTTGTTCATTTTCACGAAGGTGTGTGTGTGTGTGTGGTGTGTGTGTGTGTGGTGTGTGTGTGTGTGTGTGTGGTGTGTGTGTGTGTGGTGTGTGTGTGTGTATGGTGTGTGTGTGTGTGGTGTGTGTGTGTGTGGTGTGTGTGTGTGTGGTGTGTGTGTGTGTGGTGTGTGTGTGTGTGGTGTGTGTGTGTGTGTGGTGTGTGTGTGTGTGGTGTGTGTGTGTGGTGTGTGTGTGTGGTGTGTGTGTGTGTGTGTGTGGTGTGTGTGTGTGTGTGTGGTGTGTGTGTGTGTGGTGTGTGTGTGTGTGGTGTGTGTGTGTGTGGTGTGTGTGTGTGTGTGGTGTGTGTGTGTGTGGTGTGTGTGTGTGTGTGTGTGTGTGTGGTGTGTGTGTGTGTGTGGTGTGTGTGTGTGTGGTGTGTGTGTGGTGTGTGTGTGTCGGGTTGTGTCTTTAATCATAAATACATCATGGTTGCTTGTGTTTGATTACGAACCGTGATTCAATTGTGTTTGATTGCGTCTGATTGTGTGTCGTTGTATTTGTATGTGTTTTATCAAAACTTTTGGTTGATTGTGTTTGATTGTGTTTGTGTGTGTGAGTGCGTGTTTTTGTGTTATTGTTGAGACTTAGACGTGTTTCTGCCAGCCTGCACTTTCACAAAGGGCGGATCCACTGCAAAGAGAGCCGTTCTGTGTGCGGTGTTTGACCCCGTAGAAGGGCAGTTGAACCAGAGGTCTCGGGCTGTCTGTGGCTTGAAAATGAACTGCAGGTAACCAAAGGTGGACTTCCATTTGCTGAATTGAATACGTTTGTTTACTTTTCCCTGCTGGTTTTCAAAGGGAATCTATCACTGCTGGAGTTTTTCCAGGGTTCTCTGCTGTAAATGGAGGGGGGGAAACCTGATTTCGGAAAAAAAAATGGGCGTCAACTTGATTTCTCTCTGAGCCTTCGGGCCGCATGAGAATGAATGGCTTGACATGCCTGTCAAAAAGCACGGGGTGCTCGAAGGGCTTCAAGGGAAACCCACACAGAAGACACCTTCAACGATCGCGACTTGGGAGACACCCGGGATCATGGCGGAAGTGTTCAATGGCATTCAGCACAACACACGCATGGCGCCATGGCGCCAGTTCAGTTCAGCTAAAAATGGCTATGTTGGACTGCCCTCTGAACGACCTCAAAACGAGGACCCTCAAAAAACACATCACCGTGTGAGAGACTGCCCCGGAGCGGGGGTTGGTTCCCTATCTCTTTTGCAGGTTGTTTGAGCCCTTGGTTCTTGTGGAGGGTAAACGAGAAAACCCCCAGGCTCCAAAACCACATAACTAGAGTAACTAGAGGGACACTGAAGTATTACATTCATCCTTGCCAGAGCGACGATCCCAGCCGACGCGTGTTTGCCCCTGTGTCATGGACACTTGGACACTTAGAGGTCATGTTGCAGCCTCCCCCCCCCCCCGCCCCCCCCCCCTTTCCCAAAAAGAACAAAAAAGGAGCATACCCCAAACATGCTGGTTGCCAAATGGACCAAAAAAGTGCCCACCCATAAAAGCGGCGCCTTTCAACGCGCCACCCGCATTGGACCGGGAAGCCGCGCCCCGGGTCCCCGACACGCCAGGCGCGGCCGGAAGGGTCAGCGCGCAGGCCGGGCTGAGCGGCGCAGACGGGAATCCAGCCGAGCGGGCGCAAAACGGGGGACGGGTTTTCCTGGACTAGGTCCCCCAGCAATTGGTGCCCGTTCTCACCCAACTTTTGTGGGTTGGGTGGGTTCCAACTTACTAAAATGGACTACAGAAAAAGATAGGGTACCAACTTGTGGGTGGCCCATTTTTGGGGTGGCCCTGAAAGTTTCACCTTGGTGGCCCTGAAAGTGTCACCTGCTGTGTTGTTTCCCCCCTTTTTGGGTTCGCATGTTTGGTGGCTTTGATTTATGGGTCTTATCCGGGGCAACTGAGCTGCGAAGAATAGCCCGAGGGAGAGGGGGAGAGGGGGAGAAATCCGACTTCGAAACAAAGTTTTTGTTATTTTCCTTTTTTTAGTTTGCCTGATAAAGCGAAAGTTGGGATGGATCATCTTGCAATTTGTCCAGGGGACCAACCGGGGACCTGGGCGTGTGGGAGAGCCATCAAGGCTGGACCCCTAAGAACCTTCATTGACCAGCCACACAGGGTTTGGGTATGATGTTTCGTTGCTTCACTTTCCCTTGATTGGGGGTTTGGATTGGTGGTTCTCCCCCGCAGTTTTATGAAGAACTCGGAGATCAAATTCTCCCAAAGTGCCTGGAATGGGAGGGCAGGTTGAACCCCCCTGGAATTGCATTTGTTGCTACAGGGGACGGGATGGTTGCCTTGGGTTAGCCCATGGTTTAGAAATCAGGCTGTTTCTTCTGGCGCCTGACAGTCTTACCATCAAAGTCGCCGCAAATTGGAGTCATCTTCCTTCAACCCAAGACCTCAGAAACGACGTTTGAGTGCAAAGTCATAGAGCCACTGCACAGATACGACATGTGAGCTGTGTATTACTTGGTGGCTCCCAGCCATCCCCTAAGCTTTTTAGCCTTTTAGTGTTTAGTGGTAGTTTCCATTTAACCCACTAAAAGTTGAACATTTAGCGGGGGATCTGAGGGCAGCCCAGATTGCACTGATGATAGTATTACAGTAATGAGTCTTGCTGGATTTGAGCCAAATGTGGTTCTCATTTTCTTCTCCAACTGGTTTATTTAAGCCGACCTCATGAGTTCAACACTTGCCTGGAAAAGAATGGATGTACAATGATGTAGAGCCCTTTGTTAAAACAAACAAACAAACAAACAAACAAACAAACGGAAAGACAGACAGACAGACAGACAGACAGACAGACAGACAGACAGACAGACAGACAGACAGACAGACAGACAGACAGACAGACAGACAGACAATCAAACAAACAAACAAACAAACAAACAAAGGGGCACATTGTGATGTGCTCAAAGAGTTCTTTTCGATTTGGACGAGCAAGAAGTGACTCTTAAACGGAGGATGCGAAGTCGAGATCGATCGATCGATTCCGAGGCTAGGTTCACGGAGCCGGTGTGCCTGGTGCCGGGGTCCCGAAAAAAGAATAATCCGTTTCGTTGGGTAAAATGTGTCGGGGTTCGGTTCGATTTCTAAGACCTACTTAAAGGGTCCGGATGAAAAGGGTGAGAGGGGAACCTAAAGCAACATGAGTTATCTATACCAGGTCTTCCAGCAAGTGGTGCCCTTTCTCACCCTTACTTTTTGGTTGGGAGGGTTCCAACCTACTAATATTGACTACAGAAAAAAATCGAGTACCATGATTCTAACCTGTCTACTGGAGGACCGAGACTTGCAACAAAGTTCCAACATTTCTTGCCCTCACTTTTCCCAGTTTTCCCAGCGAATCGACCGAATCTGACCTTTTGGATTCCCGTGCTTGGTCCGTGTTTCTTCAAGTAACCCCAAAAGGTGAACCTTTGATTTCTGGGTCCCTGAGGGGCAGACGCGTGCCCAGAGTGTTGTGTTTTGAGTTTGGGTGGGGTTCCTTCAGATCCCAATGCTTGCAAAAATGATCCTGTCTCAAGTTCGGAGAGGCTGCTAGGTCCCCCAGCCAGGTGCCCTTCTCTCCTCAGTAGAGAGGTTAGAATAAGGGTGAGAGGGTGGCCTAAAGCAACATGAGTTATCTATACTAGGTCCCCCCAGTAGTGCCCTTTTACCATTTTTTGTTTGGGGGGAAGGTTCCCCTACTAAAATAGACTACAGGAAAAAAAGTAGGGTACCCTTTTACCCGTTTTTGGGGAGAGGGTTCCAACCTACTAGAATAGACTACAGAAAAAAAAAGTAGGGTACCAACTTATTCTAACCTCTCAAATCTGGAGGACCTAGTGCTGTAGTGCTGGGCTGGGGCGTTTATATATATATAGATATATATAATATATTTTGGGGTGCAAAGGAAGACGCCGCACTGGACCTTCCAATCTAAAGGGGCATCCCTTTGAGCCCTTTGAAGCAATCTCAGGGATTGTGTTCGCTGATTCGGGTGTGTCTTTAGAAAAGCCACCAGAATCGTAGTGTTCCTGTTGAGGTTTTTTCCTGTACCAGAAGCAAAAACAACAGGTAGCCCCCAAAAAGGAATACCTCAGATGTTCAGTGGCACCCTTTGTCCCGTCTTTTTTTGGTGGCTGCCCCACTAAAAATGATCTTCCCCCCCAAAAAAGGTTCCCTTCTTTTCTCCAGGGTCAATGAACAACTGAGATACCCATTCCCTCCATGAAGGTCTCAAGGCGCTCAAAGCGCTTCACGGTCCGACCGCTCCGAGGCAAGCGTCTCCCGTGGTGACTCCCCGCGCGCCGGGACCGGCGGCATGCTCAGTTCAATTCTCAGAGCTCTGTGCGAAAGGCTTAGGAGAAGAATGGATCTTAGGAGTCACCACCTAAAGGGAATCTCCTGTCCTTGGTGGTTCCCAGCCATCCGGTTCCTTAGCTTTTTTGCCTTTTAGTGTTTAGTGGTTGGATTTCCGAAATAAACCCACTAAAAGTTATTCACTTTTAGTGGTGGATCTGAGCACAGCCCTGTTTCCTTTGTTGCCCAGTGGATCCCGCCCTTCTTTCCCCTTTTTTGGGGGGCGACGGTGTCCCCTTCAAACTCCAACCAAAAAGGATGCCCTTCTTTTTCCCATGGCCGCTGGGCATCTGAGTTTCTATAAGACAAAATCAACTCGAAATATGTTTGGATACTTCCATTTGCTTGAGCGTAGTGTTTTTTCCCCTGTTGGATGAAAGGGGATCTATCACTACTGGACATGATTTTAGCTTTTCTATTCAAATGGAAGCACAGTCTTTCCAGACCCTCTATTTAAGAGCAGCATCTGAAGATGCAAGGGGGCAGGGTGTGTTCCTTAAGCCTCTGAACCGGCATGGCTTCGCAAATTGCAAGGGCCACAGGAATGCACCCACAAAGAGCTTCGAAATTCCTATGTCCCCCCCAAACCCACCAGGAGCCTCAAGGAACCAGCAAAGAACTTGATGCAATTCCTATGAACCCCCCCCCAGGAACTCCCACAGCTCCCTGCCCCTAGGCGGAGCCCTGGCGCAGCGTGACGCCTCAGCGGCAGGCGGGGGAGCCGATTTTACGCGGCGCAGCAGCCAAGCCAGAGACTCACATGCAAAGGGGTCCTTTTTAGATTAGCTTGGCTAGAAATAGATGGGTTCCACTGGATTAGATGGGTTTGATTCAATTCACCAGGGCCAACTATTTTTCCAAAAGGCCACCTATGCTCACATGGCTGTGGTTCCACCCATTTTAGGCTTTGTTTTAGCGGGGATTGGAATGTTCACTGGGGCTACGATTTGGCTTTTGACCCATATAGACACATCTTGTGTTGAGGCCGGTGGCGAAGAACAAGTGTGTGTAGACCCTCCAGGACACCCAGCTAGGTGCCCTTTCTCTCCCCTTCTTTGGGGGAGGGTTCCCCTACTAAAATAGACGACAGAGAAAAAAATGGGTACCTTTTTCTAAGCTCTTTGCTGGAGGACCTTGCCCTTGATTTCGGCCAATCCACTCAAGTGAGAAGGGAGCTTGGTCAAGTCAATCCTTCACCATCGGCCAAGCGACGTATGGAGGGCCTTACCTGTTTTAGGGGTGGATGTCATGTTCACCATTAGCCCCTAGCATTGGGTGGCCCGACCAAGGGCATGCCATCCTGTGTATCCCCATCTTTTGGGCAACATCCAAGTTCACCCAGCGGCGCTGCCCAAAAACCGGCTGCCTTAGGTGACCCCGGGGCCCGCCTCTCACTTCCTTTGCCTCCGAATCGGATTCCTTTCGGCCGAAAGGCACGGGGGCGTGGCGGCATAGGTTCGTTTCCACCTCGGCAGCGGCGGGGTTCCAGCGGGCCGATGACGGGCGATGTAGCGCCGGAACGCCGGAACGCGATGCCTGCGAGACTTCGCAGCGAGACTTCGACCCTTGCGGCCCTGGTCAGCGTGTAGACTAGGTTCCTCAGTAGTGCCTTTTTACCAATTCCCCAGACTTCAGAAACGGATCCGGTACCAACTTCTAGCCTCTCAAATCTGGAGGACCTAGTAGAGCTCTTTGGCGCCCTGCCGGGCGGATGCGTTCCCCGCAGAAGCCGCCGGAAGAAGCTCAGCGTGCGAATCCGGTGGCGATGTATCGATGTCGCTCGACATCGATTACGACTGGCAGGCCTACCCTCCGCCAGACTGACATGGAAGCTCCCAGGACCCCTTTGGAAGACTTGGTTCCATTTACAGGGGCCTTCGGGGAGCTTCCATGTTAGTCTGAGGGAGTGTATGCACAAAGCGGTTTCATCCATACCCCGAGCTGGTTTTTTGGGGTGTCAAAGGAACAGTCTTTTGAGGCCAAGGTGGGTGGAACAGTTTGGACTTGCCCATGTTGGGAGTGTGACCTCCCAACAGAACATCGGGAACTTTTCCAAAATGTTGAAACTTGAATTTGGGCAAAAAACGCCTGCTTGTTTTTGCAGGCTTAGATGTCCTGAAAACCCATGCTTTTTTCTCGCGCTCCCTTCGGCCGCGGGACGCAACTCGAAACGCCAGGAGTTCCTGCCGGCTTTCGGATGGCTCTTGGTGGTTTCAGTTCGGGGGTTCCTTGGTTCCCGTTCACCGTCCAGGTCCAAATCCCAGAAACACGCCTCGCACTCTGGTAAAGAGAGGAAGACATCCAAAAGGAATCTGAGCCCTGCTCGGCCAGGCGGGTAATTCAAACATAAGACCTACTCAAAGGGTCCTGATGAAAAGGGTGAGAGGGTAGCCTAAAGCAACATGAGTTATCTATACTAGGTCCCCCCAGTAGTGCGATTTTACCAACTTTTTTCGGGGGGAAGGTTCCCCTGCTAAAATAGACTACAGAAAAAAGAAAAACATCGAGTACCCTTATTCTAACCTCTCTACTGGAGGACCTAGTATAGAATACATGGCCCAGTCATATTTGGGTACCCCGCAACATCAGTAAAACTCAAAAAAAATGGCTGCCCCGCCCCCCATGGTGGCGAATGGGTGTTTGGAGTGGGGGGTTCATTGAACCCTCTGCTTGCGCGTCAGGTACCCAGCAGCGAGCCCTCAAAGTACCGGCCGGGGCTCTGACGGAATGAAATTCTGGCGGCAATTTCGGAGAGCAAGATGGATTTTATGTGTTTTGTTTTTTGGGTTTTTGTTTTTTATTATTTCCTTTGAAACCAACCAAAAAGGGGTAACCTCAAAAGGACACCCACATTTGGGTCTGAAGATGGGGAAGGCACAACTGGAAGTGTGGTTGGTAGTCTCTTGTTGCCTCAGTTGCCCAAGTCGAAGCGACCTTTTGACTTGTTGGTTTTCCCTCTTGACTCTTGTTTAGTCATGGCCGCAAAAGGTGAACCTTCTATTTGCGGGACAAGAAGTTGGGCCGTTCAAAAGTACGGGCCCCAATGTTTCGCAAGGCCATGAACTGGAAAGGCAGGTGCCGTTTTTGGTTCCACGTGAAACTTACCCTCCCACCAATTATCATGGAACCTGGCGTTCGGGGATCCCTTTAAAAGGAACATGGTCCAAACCAAGACCCCCCGAGGGTCAGGTTCCATCTGAATAGGTGGAGGGGAATTGGTGGTTTGGATTGGTGGTTTGGGATTGACCCCTTGAATTTTATCAATGATAAGGACACCCTCGAATGGTTAATTGGTGAGGCTAACATGGAACCTGACGTTCGGGACCCGGTCCCTTGAAAAAGGAAAAGAAAGAAACGTCTCCCAGGACCTCCGCCTGTCCAACTCCAAATAAACATCGGGAGGATAGCCCGAACATAGGTGTCCTTTTTGGTGGTTTTGGGGGCAAAATCGGTTGGGCGATTCCTGGTTGACCTGGTGGTTTAATCATCTAGGGCCATCAATTTGCCCTAAAGGACAGGTCCCTGGTGGGTCGGCTGGTCGTCTGCAAGCCCCAAGCTCCTGTTTGAGCAGTTGGAAGCAGGGCGGCTCGTCCTTTTTTGAGTTGGTACCCTCTTTTTATGGGTTGTGAAGGGAAACCAACAGGACAGCCCACGGTTTTTTTTTTTTTTGAGCTTTTTGCTTAAGGGGGCTGAAAAAAAGACACGCCCAGTTCTTCCCCCCCCTGTCGTTGGTTCCTCCAGTTTTGCCGCTGAGGGACGTGGGGGTCCCTATGGCAGTGACGCCACGCACGGGCCCCGCGGCCGTGGGCTCGGCATTTGGGGCGTGGGAGGTTTCCCCTAAGGTGGCCTCCTGAAAACCTGCAAACCTCAGGTTGGGGCAAGGTCCAGCAGTCCAGCATCACCTATAGATTCATTCATAGATCTTTTGAACTGGACTGCTATTGGGTTGGATCTTTAGACTTCAACTTTTGGGGAAATCAAGGGGGTTTTGCACTAACCCCCAAAAAAGTTAAACATTTTGCAGGGGGGTCAACAGCAACCAAGTGAACAACCCTGAGTTTACTCGCGTGGCTTTTCAGAAGGGGAAATCCGCAGTCCCTTTGGCAGGAAATCAAAGCGGAGCATGCTCAACTGGGTCCCCCAGTAGTGCCCGTTCTCTCCCCTTTTTTTGGGGGAGGGGTCCCCTACTAAAATAGACTACAGACAAAAAATCGGGTACCCTTACTCTAACCTCTCTACTGGAGGACCTAGTTTCTGAAACCAACAGCCCTTCCTTGGAATACCAGAGGTGCACCAGTTTGAAGTTTGAGAAGCTCTCATATTCATACTGTGGATGGACGAAATCCTGCACCACCCAAGAAACCCTAAAATGATGATTCCCCTGTAAATACCAACAAACAATGGTTTCCCATGGTTTCAAAGTGGTGCAGGATTTCGTCCATCCACAGTAGGATCTAAGCGTGCCACTTGAAAAGCTGAGGAGGATTCGTAGCATGAGCCGTTTGGAAGGCGATTGGACAACGATGTGATTCTTCTTTTGCGTGGCGAAATGTTCGTGGGGCTTCCCACTAGCGCCCCTTTTGAAGGGGCGTTTTGGGATTGATGGTTTAAGGCAATGATAGGAAGACATCAGGACACCAACCTCTTTGATCATGGTAGAATAAGTGGCCACGAGCTTTAGTGGGGAACCACCTCCAAAGTGGTTGGTGGACAGAAATCCCCATCCTGATGCCCACCAGTTCGGGTCCCTAAGTAAAAAAACATACCTTAATCTAGGGGTACCTTCCCCATTCTTTCCAGAGATCCTGCTTTCTAGAAAACCTCCGGAAACCCAGGGAAAACGGCTCCGGTTTTTGAAAAGAAGGTTAGTTGGAAAGAATGGAAAAGGAATCAACCCCTAGATTAATCTAGCTAAGAACCTCTTTGATCATGGCCAGGCAGTTGGGGCCAGTCCGACCAAAGCAGTGCCTCCCCCAAAAGCCGCGGCGCGCTTCGATCCGAAAGCCGAAGCGAAAGCCGAAGCGAAAGCCGCAGGTGACCTGGGTAGCGCCGGCCCAGGCGCTTTCGGTCGGGGCGATTGGAGCTTACTTGCTGAGAGTCCAAAGATCGTAGGGTTTTCTTTTTCAGTGGTCAAACATATATATATATATATACACATACATACATACATACACACATACATACACATATACATATACATATACATATATATATATATATATGTATACTTTGTTGCCCAGTGGGTTCCGCCCTGTTTTCCTTTTTTTTCGGGTAAGGGTTCCCCTTTAAACTCAACCAACAAGAAAAGGGTGCCCGTTGTTTCTCATGGCCACTGGGCATCTGCGTATACATATATATATATATATATATATACCTAGGTCTTCCAACATGTGCAAATGCAAAGTTATTGCGTTTTTGTTTTAAACAACTATGCTTTTCGAGCCAACAGCGATTATTTTCGCCGGCCGGCATTTTTCAGTGTTTGCACACTCTAGCATCAATCAAAATTGCAAAACGGCGTAATTTGCCGGCGAAACGGCGCTTTTTTTTTTACCTGGTCACGAGCTGGACTCGCGGCGAGCGTTTTTTTCTCCGAAAGAGCGTGTTTTTTCAACAGCCGGCAAAAAACACCTGCTGTTTTGGGAAATGGCGGAAACATTTTACGTGGTCGGAAGGTCCAGGTATACAGGGCGCATACACACAACAGTTGTGGATAGATGTGCATGTGTAATGTTGGGGTGAATAATAAAGGCCCCCCCCCCTCAAACAAAATGGGGGGGGTCAATAGAGGAAACCCCAAAAACAAAATGAGGGTCAGACCGGGTCTTCCCTAAGTAGTATTCCAGTAAGTATTAATTAGTATTAGTTTAGTATTGGTTTAGTATTCTTGCTGACTGGCTTAGTACTGCTTAGAATTGGTTTAGTATTGGCTTAGTATTCTTGCTGACTGGCTTAATTAGTACTGCTTAGAATTAGCTTAGTGTTGGTTTAGTATTCTTGCTGACTGGCTTAGTACTGCTTAGAATTGGTTTAGTATTGGTTTAGTATTCTTGCTGACTGGCTTAGTACTGCTTAGAATTGGTTTAGTATTGCCTTAGTATTCTTGCTGACTGGCTTAGTACTGCTTAGAATTGGTTTAGTATTGGTTTAGTATTCTGGTTGACTGGCTTAGTACTGTTTTGAATTGGTTTAGTATTGGTTTAGTATTGTATTCCCTGGCCCCAGTCCTAAAAAACTTGTCTCAATTAACTCCCCTTAAACAAATCTCATTATTGGCTTCCTGGGTGTTCCCTGTACTACCCCCTTGAAAATTTGGCAGGGTGCAACTTTTAGTAAGGGCTGTCATAAAGAATTTGGTTGTTGGGGCCTCAGTTAAACTTCCTTTTCTGGGGAGACTCAGTAGTTCTTTGGAAAGGAAACTTGCTTTTCTGGGGAGACTCAGTAGTTCTTTGGAAAGGGAAGCCCTTTTTCCCTGCAGGCATCCCTGGCCCCAGTCCTAAAAAACTTTTCTCAATTAACCCCCTTAAACAAATGTCATTATTGGCTTCTTGAAAATTTGGCAGGGTGCAACTTTTAGTAAGGGCTGTCATAAAGAATTTGGCTGTTGGGGACCTCAGTTAAACTTCCTTTTCAGGGACTTCAATCATCATCTCCTTGTTGGTGGTGGTGGTAGGTTGGGGGGGGGGGGCGGGCGGGGCAGAGAGAGACAGGAGTTGCACTGAACTAGGGATACATTATCAAACTTTTTTTGGAGGAACATGTTTCCGGATTTTTTGCCCCTCACGAAAACTTTTGTGTATTAACTCCCCCTTTTGCTTTTCAGGGGTGTGAAAATGTTTGGGTTTTTTTGTGTATTGACTCCCCATTGATTATTCGCAACCTAACATTAGCGTATACCTTCGGAACGGCCCAGGCCCGAGGTGCGGTCTCGCCAGTCTTACTGCTGTCATGGGTCTCTTGTTGGTGAGCTTAGGGGCTCCTTTTGGGTGATGTGTAGACGGGGCATACGGGTCCTTTCTTGCAACATACGTCAACTTTGGCTGGACTCCATACTAAGTAGGTTTGTTATGATGTGTTCAGTTTGTCCAGACCAACCACCACTCAGCTACTGCGCTTCCTAGCCACAGGTGTGGGCCTGTTCCTCCTCAAGGAACTTCTGGGTTCTTTCTGTCAGCAGGTACGCAGGCATAATCTTTAAATACAAATAAGCGTTATATAAAATATTGTATACGCAATATATATATATATATATATTTAAATATACATGTGTATACTATTTATTTTGTTTATATACATGTGTATACATATGTTTCTGTGGGTGTCTCCTGAAATGGGACCTTGCGCGGTTGTCCTTTCGGTGTGCCAACGCCAGCCTCGGTTTGGACCCCGCGACAGCCCTAGGCAGTTCCTGGCAGTGAGCCCTCGAGATACCGGCCGGGGCCCTGTGAGCAGAGCGGCGAGCGAGGTCTGGGGGTTGATCTGTCCAAGGGGCTCGCGGTACCTTCCAAAAAGAGGGGTTCCCCCAACAAAGGCCACACAGTGTGGTTTGACCAAAATAAGCTGTGTATTAAGGCTAACAGGACTCATGTCCTCAACAAAGCTGACGGGACTCATGTGGGTATGGGTCATTAAACCACCAGGAATTGGACCGCAGGTTTTAGTCCATGCTTCCATTTTCCAGAGTTCGATTTTGGGTACCTATTGTTGACCCACAGCCATGTCTTTTGTTTATGTTTTGTTTTGTAAGAAATGACTGTTTTGGACTAGTGGGTGGTTCCGCTTTGTATGGCAAGCCTTCAAGTGAGAGTACTGTTTCCCAGCGAGCATATTGATAATATTGGAAAACAACATGGTTTCCCTTGGTGGCTCCCAGCCCTCCAGTTCCTTTGTTGCTTTTAGCTTTTGAGTGTTTAGTGGTTGGATTTCCGAATTCAACCCACCCAAAAGTTTCAAGCTTTTAGCGGGGGATCTGAGGACAGCCTAGGCAACCGGAATTCATATAGGGTTGATTAAATATGGAATAGTGTTAGAAAGTATGGTTCTTGGGAGTACCCCAGACTCAGGCCACCAGTGTAGTAGGTGGCTCTAACTTGCTGTCGTCTTTGCAAACTTTGCTCGAATATAGTATCGTGCTTGTTTCTGTGTGAGAGACACGGGGGAGTACACTTAGGGCGACATGAACCGTGAAAGCCATGCCGGCACCAAACATTGTGGGTGTTGGGCGCTGCAAATTTGTGTGGCGAGGGGGTCTATAGCCCAGACAAACCTTGAGTGCTCTTGACGAGAGCATGTCCACCCGAGGGGCAATGCGTGTTTGGTCGTTTGGTTCAAAAGTTGGGGGCCTTGCGAAGGAAAAGCTCAGATAGCTCACTCGGTTTTGTTTCTTTTTTGGGGGGGTTGAACGCAGGGTCTTCAGTTTGAACGGGTCCCCACCTTGTGACCTGTCACACCACTTTCAGGTGTCAAGAGTGGCTTCTTGAAGGTTGCGTGCTCGGACAGCTCTCAGATGTTGGTCAAGAGCTGGCCGGGTGCGAAGAATGGTAGACTTTTGGCTGTGGTTGTCAAAACCGTTTTGGGATCCCATTTTGGTTAGTAGGTGCACCACCCTATTGTAGTGGGGATTGGGATGTTCACTGGGTGTACGGGGTTTTGACCCATGGCCATTTGAGTTTCGTTGTTCTTTGCTCCTTAACAACATATGCAAAGATACGGAGATTACTCTTTGGAAATGCGCCGCAGAAGCTCGCGGAAGGGTTTACGGCGTATGTTTGTTTGTGCTGACAGTGCGGTTGTTTCGACTGGCCTCCGCGAAAACGCACCGTTGAAGCTTCGCGGAAGGGGCCCGTGCCCTTTCCCACATGGCCTCTCCTAGACTCGTAGATTCCACCGACTTGGCTTCTTCTGCGAGCGCGTGCTCGTCGGCGAACGAGACTTGCCAGTGGCAACAGCAGCACAGCAGCAACAGCAACAGCAACAGCAACAACAGCAGCAGCAGCAACAACAACAGACGAACAATCTCAAAAACAATCTCAAGACTCGAAAGCGAGGCTCAAACTGTGGTCGCGGAAGCGAAACCGCCGTGCGGAAGCCACCAGTAAAAAGCCGCCGACGGGTTGGCAGCTGGAATTGTTACTTCCCTACTGTGGATGGTTGCGAAATCCTCTCAGGCACCACTTTGAAGCCATGGTTGAAACCATTCGTTGGTATTTACAGGGGAAGCAAATCATTCTAAGGTTTCTTGGGTGGTGCGAAATGGATTTCGTCCATCCACAGTATGAACTAGAAATCAACCACACCTCTTTGGGCGATTCAAGTGAAGAACTACCAAACCACACCTTCTCATACTTGCCTCTCATGTGAATTCTACAAATTCCTAGCGACAAACTCCTCATAGACTCATAGAGATGGACATCCCAACTGCGCTTCGATCGCTTTTCAGCTCAGGGAAGTGCCGGTTCCTGCCCGCGCAACACTCCCAGCTGGGGCCTGAGTCTTTCGTGGCTGGCAACGGTCATCTTCCGTAGCACATACTTACTTTCCCTCAAAGGAAACTGACTGAACTTGCTTAAGAATATAAGTTATTTTCCCCTGTTGGCTTTAGAGGGACTCCATCACTTCTGGGCATATGTTGTTGACAGGAGATGGATAGTTGCGTGTTTTCCAGATGCCCGATATAGCACCCAGATTTGACACGGGGTGCCTCACCAAACTACAAGATGTGGGGTTACTCGCCGGGGTGTCAGGGGCACAAGGACTGGGCCGTGTCGTTCTTTTATCGCGGGTCAAAGTTTGAAGCTGGGGTCATGTCACTCAAATCCACGTAGACGCCGATTTTCAGAACGGTACCAATAAGACATTGCGGCCTGAATGAACATTAGACTGTGGCTACGGCAAAAGCACACCAGGAATGATTCTAGACTCACCAGTCACCTTTCAATGATCCTGTTGGACAAAGCTCAACTGCACCATCTTAAATGGTTGGTGCTTCTTCGGATTTCCTTTCAAATAGCCAAACAAATCAGAATTGGCACCATCGAAAAGACACCCCCCACTTGCTAGAGGTGTATCGGGAACATGAGCGTTGGTTTTGGCGGCCTGAACCATTCCCTGCGTTTGTTTTCTTGGCGTCTTGTTTTTATTGCCTTGTTTGGGCTCCCTTCCCTTGGGTAGCTTGGAGTGCCGAAGACCCCAATTTCCAATGTCCAAATCAACCCAGACCAAAAAACAAGCTGATTTCTTGATATCTCTCTCTTTCAGTATGGACTGAGGCAACGTTCCCATGCCATCCGTTGTGATTGTGTTTAGGTTCGTTCCCGAAGGCTCAACATGATTTACTGACCATGCAGCATACTTTCTGCCAAAATCCAACAGACATACTAAGGGCAGAATAATATTTGCACATATGTTTGTTCTATGATCATGAGGAAAAAAATATGGCTCGTTGGTTGGATCTATGTACTTTCACTTTTTGGCAACAGTGGATTTTCCATTAGACCCACAACAAGTTAACCTTTTTTGCAGAGGGGTCAACACCAACCAAGAGATATGGTTTCAGTACTTCAAGACCAAAATCAGAACCCTGCTTCTTGTAGTGGTGTCCTACAAGGGATTGCAGATCAGCAACCCATATTACAGTCGCACGATTTGATAGGTCCTGAGATTATAGTTTGAGCAATCCAGCTGATTGTTCTATTCTGAACAACCCAGGGACCGTTCTCATCTGGTCGCCCAGTAGTGCCCTTTTACCCTGTTTTGGGGGAGGGTTCCCCTGCTAAACTAGACTACAACCTAGTCATTGTTGGGCCCTGTTTTTTCTGTGGATGGACCCAATCCATAGGTATCTCCCAGTCTTCGCATCGGGTGTCATCCATTTCAGCCGCCTGGCGTGGATTTGTCCCATCCACTGATGCTGACCCCACATAAATCAACCTCGTTTGGTGTCCCCCAGAACTGTGTTTTTTAGTGCCACCCTTTTTCTTTTTCCATCTTTTTTTTGGTGGCCCCACTAAAAATGGTCCAAGCCCCAAAAAGGGTTCCCTTTTTTCCCAGGGTCACTGAACAACTGAGTTAATCAACCTCAGTTTATGAACATGGGGGTGGGGGCCCCTCCACTAGTGCTCTGATTCCCCACTAAACCCATGGACTCCCCCATACCAATATACAGAGGCTTGTTAATATGGGGTCAACATTGTATGATTTGATTCTCAAAGCAGAGGCCCCAAAAACGGGTTTTGTGTCCTGTGGTTTCCCTTTAGCCAACCAAAAAGAAGCCGAACACCATGTGAGAAACCTTCCTGTTCCCCAAAACCCCTCTCAGGTAACATGGCGCGCCGCGCCAACAGCAACCTGGGCACGGGGCCTAGGGCGCGCAGGGCGCCCTGATAGGCTCAACGCAGCCTCGTGTCTTTTTTGAGGGCACCATCAAAGGGAAACGAGCCTTTTTGTAGGTGCCCGTAGTTTGAGGCAAACCCAACTTTTTTAGTTTTGGGGTAGGACAAAACTCAAGGCAAAGTCTAACTCGTACGTTCCAGGGTTTGGGACAGTCAGCCCATGGATTCCCCAAGTTCCAAATTCGGCAAGACCATTGGTCGTTGCAGCTTTCTTGTTCGCCGGTGCCAAAGAACCCAGCCGAGGTTCCAAGCAGTACCCCTTGCAGATACCGGCGCGGCGCCCCAACAAGAAATCGCAACTGGCCGGCTCTGGGTTCTTACGTTTGTCTTTTGCTTGGCCCATTTATTTGGCCGAAGCCTTTTGTCTGGCTTCTTTTGGTTTCCTTCGTTGTCTCGTTTTTGTTTTGGGAAGGGTAATTACCCTTGAGCCAGGACATTCTGCCTTAGCGAACCAGCTGCAAATGGAGGTGAAACAAGCTCCCACAACAGGTGTGTGTGTGTGTGTTTGTTTTTGAGAGTTGGTATCCTTTTTAGTTGGTTGAACAGACAACCAAAAGGAACGTCGGCATCCATTTCGGGGTCTCCCTGTCTTGACACATACCCAAAGCCTTGGGTGAATTATAAGGCTTACAGGGCCAAACAAACCAACACACGCGAAGGTTCAGTACTTGGATTCCTCATTTGGGTATGCCTCAAAATAGGGGGACTCCCAAAAGCATGTTTTTTTTGCTATGGTTTCCCTTTAAGCAGGATACACTCAAAAAAGACAGACCCATGTCCGGTTTTGTGAATGTAAGTCCTGCAAAAGACACCCTTCTGCACAAGGCCCATTCGGAAGACTTTGCGGAGAAGGGGCCAGCGCACATGGCTTGTGGGAGAGCAAATTGTAGGTTGTCCAAAAGCACAGCCGCTCTTCCATGTGGCTTTGACAATGTCGACAGCTTTTGTATCTGAAGCTTGCGCATTCTTCTAGGGGTTGATTCCCATTCTTTTCAACCATCCTTCTTTTCAAAAACAGGATCTGTTTCCAACCTGGATTTTTGATGGTTTCCTGAAACGAAGCATCCCTGGGTTCAGAATGGGGAAGGTACCCCTAGAGTTCTTGTGCTTTGTTCAGTTTGCAAATTTTGGGGGGCCAAGAGGAGGGTCTTTTTTTTTGAGGGGTGCGGGTTGGTGGCAAGAATACGCCGTGCTGTGGTTGCTTTGTTTGGGACCGGGTGAGCTTGCGGGCCACCTGAAAGAAACACCTGGCCATCGGGGGAAAAAAGGGACAGAGCCTGTAAAATCGGAGGGGTTATTCAGCGTAGGTCAACGTGAAGTGAGTGAGAACCGTCGAAAAAGGGGAGAATGAGAAAGTAGAAGGGAAGAACCCAATCGTTTTGTCTGGAAAGGGAGCAAACCTTGAGAAAGTGATCGTCATTGAACCCTCGAAATGCTGAAACAAACCCTACCCGTTGAGTTGGAACACGAGATGTGTTTGTCGGTGGGTGTTCAATCCTTTAGCGAAGTCGCCTTGGTCCGTCACTTCCATGTGTGTGCGTGTGTTTTCGTAGGGGACCGGTTTTTGGGGTTTTGTGTCCGAGGAAAACCAAAGGGGGCATCCTTCTTTCTAAAAAACCACCCAACACCCTGGGGAAACAGAGCCGGTAATTGAAAAGAACGATGGTTGAGAAGACACGGGAATCAACCCCTGGAATGTTGTTCTTTGTCCCCAGTTTTTTCTCGCAGCCCCAACTGACCTGCAGCGCGAACGCGCAGGGAGCTGACCATCCCTGCGGCGGCCAGCCCCACTGCCGCCGCCTCGGCAAACGAACGAAGTCTCTCGGCTCGGCTGCGATGCGCGTGCGACCGCATCGCTCCAAAAGGACCTTTCTAGGTCCCCCAGCGATCGGTGCCCTCGCTCTCCGCTTGTTTGGTTGGCAGGGCTCCAACCTAAAATTGACTACAGAAAAAAGAATCGGGTACCCTTATTCTAATATCTCTACTGGAGGACCTAGTTTTGGAAGCACATGGCTGTGTCTCTTTCTTCAGGTTGGACCTCCCAACACGGCGCAACGGATGTCCTGTTGGTTTTCCTTTATCGCCAAGAAGGGGGGTACTTTTTAAAGAAGACACGCCCACATGATGTTTTCTTCACACCTACAAAAGGTGATTGATCTTTTAACTCAGGGGGCTTGGAGCACAGAAGCTTTGGGAGGCGGTTTCCCTCCAGACTCCCCCAAGTTCAGAAACAGAAGCTAAGGGCTTGGTTTGCCACCGATTTGGGCCCTATGTGTTCCTTCTGTGTTGGCATGACAGTTTTGTGAATTAGAGTATATAGTAGTTGGACCACGGTGTGTAGTTTGGCCGCAGGAAATTCCGCTTATCATATGAAGATCACGCGCTGTGTCGCACTGATGCTTGTGCAGCCCCCAATTTCGGCTCAGGTTGCGTAACTCTGCTTTGTTGTCACTGTACCTGATCCTGCTTTTGCCTCTGTCTGGTCGTTTGTTTGGACCTGTCTTCCCGCCCTTGTCTTCGTCTACAGTAGCTATGTCTAGCTGCGTCAATGCTGAATACGTAGACTAGCTCTTGAACTTGCACTGTCAATGGCGCTGTATCAGGCTGTCGGCTGGTGCCTTTGCGTTTTCTCGCTTGCTACGCGCCATAGCTGTCCCAGTCATTCCCCAGCCTGATGAACACCGACGCGCACGCTTACTGGCACGTGCCTTGCAAGATGCAGATAGTCCCTGTGCGACGGGCTGGATCTGACGCTGACGTCGATGCTGTTTCTTCTTTTTCTTTGAGGACTTGGCTCCACCAGAGCCTCGAAGATCTGCTCTGGAGACAAGCAGTTTGGCGCCCAAATCCGGCTCTTGCAAGTATTGGAAGCAGAGGGCCAAGGAGCTCTGATCCCTGCGCTGAAAAGCCACGGCTCGTACACACGCCACGTACCTAGTAGTTTGCCCAGATGGGTGGTGTGCTTTTGTTCTCTTACAACCTGGTGCAGGTACCCAATTGCAAGCTTACATTTGCTGAAATGAGTATGTGCTATTTTCCCCGTTCATTTTACTGGGGATCTATCACTGTTGGACATATGTTCTATTTGTGTCCAGATTCCAAAAGGGTCCTGGAAGCTTGCATGTTAGTCTGGGGGAGGGTATGAATTCGGTCCCATTCGTTGAGCTGCTGATACGCCTATGCTCTGACTTGCGGAGCTGCTGCTGGGAGCTTAATTAAGCAAGTGGAGGGCTAAGTGCCCACTGCAAGTGGCTTGCCAGCGCCTATCTGCTTACGCAGGTGACGTGGTGTACAGCGGCTCCGCCTCCGCCACAGGCCGCTAGCGAAATTCAAACTAGGCCCCCCAGTAGTGCCCTTCTCACCTGTTTTGGGGGGAGGGGGACCCCATACGAACATTGACTACGGAAATAAAAATCGGGTACCAACTTATTCTCACCTCTCAAATCTGGAGGCTCAGAGTTGTTGAAAGCAAATCGAACTTCGACCTTTTCTTGGCGGCTCCCAGCCATCCGGTTCCTTAGCTTTCTAGCCTTTTAGTGTTTAGTGGGGATTTGCATTTACCCCGCCAAAAATTAAGCTTTTAGCGGGGGATCTAAGGACAGCCCAGTTTTGGTTTTCCTTGGTAAAGGCCCCAAAAGCCTTCTTTGGTCCACTTTTGGTTTTTCTTTTTTGGTGCACTTTTGGTAGAGGGCCCAAAAGGTTGGCCGCTGTGGTTTCTGGGCCGGTTGAGCACGCAAAAATCACCATTGTCCCCGGACTAATTCCACTGAAAATTATCATGAGACCCAGGAAAAGCGGGGCAGCAGATTCCTCTGTACGCGATGGTTGAGATTGTTGGGTTCCATGTCAATCACTAGAAACAACGGAGGTTCTTTGTGTGTTTGTTAAGGCAACACAGTTGCCCAGTGGTGCCCTTTTTTCCCATGAAAATCCACTGGGCATCTGAGGCAACACCGGAGAACAAAATTACAAACAAAATTACAAACCCGAGTGGGCACCAGGTGGACCAGGACCTAGTTTCTGTGATCCGGATCGCCCCCGCTAAAACAAAAGGGACAGGCCCTGTCAATCAACGGCGTGCATGAATGCTTGGTTCATCTTGGTGGGGGGCGGCTACCTGCACTACCTGCATGCAATTCGATTGGTGCTCGCTCGTTCAATTGGTTTGACGGGAAAACCTGCCTTTCTCTACAAATCTCCCTGGATCGGACTAAGGGATGATTCTAGGCTGAAAGGTTTCCACAGGGGACACCCCCTTTCATTCAACTAGGGTGTGGGTTTCAGAATTGGAGGACTCCCAAGAACGCTGTGTTCCTTTTGGTTTCCCTGTAAACATAGGTGTCCTTTTTAAGGTGCGTTTGGTTAGAAATAGATGGCCCTGGTTTAGATAGGTTATTCCATTTTTTTAGTTTTCAACAGGTCACCTACGTCTGTAAGCCAGCTGAACAGGGCACCCGCAACAATGACTAGGCCCCCCAGTAGTGCCCTTTCTCACCCCTTTTTTGGTTGGGAGGGGAACCCCCACTAAAATAGACTACAGAGAAAAACATGGGTGCCAACTTCTTCTAACCTCTCTACTGGAGGACCTAGATGAACAAACCCATTTGGAGGTCCCGCAGGCCACGCTGGCAACGCTGCCGCAGCCCGAGCACGGGGCGAGACTGACTCAGGGCTGTTGCACTGGGGCCATGGGGCTGGCATTTTGAAAGATCCGGTCGGTTTCCCCTTGAACCTACTTGGGTAGGGGTCAAAATTAAACCACCAGGCGGCCGCAGGATTTGGTCCTTTTTTCCATGTACCATGGTACCCATTTTTGACCCACAGCCACTTGGGTGATGTTGAAAGGCATCGACATTGGGGTGGAACCGCAAAACAAACTCAGGGGTAACTCATTGCCTGTTCCCTGACGCTGCTAACATGGGATAAGCGGGAAAAGACACCGGTATCCTCACTGTTCTTGGCATGCTTGCCTTGTCTGCTGGTTCTTTGGGATGATTTTCATTTATCAGTGAATGGCTCGCACAGACAAAAGACACACCCATATGATAGTGCAATGTGCAGATGGTCTTAAACGGCTCACATGTCTGGAACTAGTCCCCAATGTGTTTTGGAGATGGCCATGCACACTTCGAGTAAGTGTCAAGTTCAATGGCTCCCTCTACTAAATCTCCTCCAACACTAGTTTCAATTTTAGGGTAAGCGAATTAGTTATTTGTAAGTGACTGGGTTTTACTAGGTCCCCCAGTAGTGCCCTTTTACCCTTGTTGGGGGGAGGGGAAGCCCTTACTAAAATAGACTACAGAAGAAAAATCGGGTACCAACTCAACCTCAAATCTGGAGGACCTAGCTGATCAGTTACTTGTAGGTTACTCGGGTTTATCAGAACCCCCACAAGGGACGCTATGGACCCGGTCCGAGGAAGAATCCGCTGGAAGCGCCTCCGGAGTCCAACGTTCAGGCGGAGATGCTTTGAACCGAAAGCCAAGAGGAAAGTGGCGGGAAGCGGTGAAGGAAGTCCCCAGACCTGGGATTCCCGAGTCCTTTCGGGTTGGGCAGAGGTGGGGTCTCAGTTCCCTGGATATTGCTGGGGTCATGATTTTGACGGTTTCTGAGGGTGATCAAAGTCAGACAATGTGGTTGTTTCCCATTCAAAGTCACCATGGGGAGTGACTTTGATCGTGGTAATATAATGAGGCAGGGAAGGGGGCGCTGTCTTTTGTGTGGGGCGGGGCCAACCATTCGGGTAACCCGGTTTGGATTGGTGGTTTGGATTGGTTCGGATTCGGCTTTGAACCGCCAGATGGGACACCCCCAACGGCCAAAGCCCCGGACTTTAAACCACCAGTTGGGGCGAGGGTTTTTACCTTTCCCCCCAGTCTTCCGAAGGCCCCGAGGGCCAGAGACGAGAGGCTTCAACAGGAGAAAGTCCGGGGCTGTTGGGTCCGGATACCTGGGCCTAGCAGCGTGGGTGCGGGCGAAAATTGCGAACACCATCTCCCGATAGAATAGGTGGGTGTATGTTTTTTTTTTTTTTTTTTTTTTTTTTTTTTTTTTTTTTTCTGAAGAGGGAGGGCCTCTTTTACTGTTGGCCAGACCCAAGCCGAAAAGCCAGGCTCTTACAAAAAGAGCGGACCAGTGGACTACGTTGCCAAGACTTTGGTGTTTTGACTTTAGCTCGTTCAGACTCAAATTTTAACAGGGCTCCTGATCAAGATGCAGTTTGCCCATTTTCACCATGGCCTTTTCCACCAAAAATAAGGGGCGCCACCATTTACCAGTTGCAATGTTCAGGTGTAAAATGCCTCCGGATCCGTGTTTGACGCGCGTTTCTTTTTTGACCTTTGACCTGTGCCAAGCCTCGCTTTCTCGGTTCCTAGCGGCATCCGGTTCCGTAGGCTGGTTCGTTTTTTTGTTTTTTTCGTTTCCCCCCCCCCCCCCCCCGATTTTCTGGGCGTCGTTTCCATGAAACCGCCAAAAGTTGGAAACTTCCAGCAGGGGATCTGGGAGCCCAGTTTTTGGGAGGGGATTTTTCATGCACTGAAGCTATGGCCCTTGCTCATGGCAACCAGATGTCTGGGATGAGGTCTTTAAAGGGAAACCAAAGGAAAGCCAAAGCCAATCTAAAAGAAGACCAGCCTCCCATATATCGATGTTAGGCCAGTTGACACATGAGCCACAATCAAAACCTAGATGAAGGTTAGGGGCACAGCCAGAAATAGTTTCGGACATATCCGCCTTCTTAATTCTTGAAGCATGGTTCTGGGATTACGACCATTTTAATACCGAATCGGTTTTGAGCCAGTGACTCACATCACCTGGACCAATGGAACGTCCCAATCGGGGAAAACCAAGTCGGGGGACTCGGACATATGGGAAATCCCCAACGGGGCGAATCGCTTCCCTTTGCTCTGTCGGCGAATTGAACTTTTTGATCTGATCTGAGCCTGGCCTGTTGGGTTTTCCCATGTTTCGTCAAGCTTCCAAAAGGTGCTCACCTGATACTTCGTCCCATCCGGGCAACTGAGTAGACTAGGTCCCCCAGTAGTGACCTTCTATTCTTTTTGGGGGAAGGGAACCCCCTACTAAAATGGACTACAGAAAAAAAAACATGGGTACCAACTTATTCTCACCTCTCAAATATGGAGGACCTAGGTGGTTGTGTCCATTGTTTGCTTGGCGCGGCCGGTTCGAAAAACGGTTTTTCCCCGTTTTTTAGTTGGCTGTTGGCATTTGTCGGTTGGGTGGGTTCATTGAGGAGAATCCCCTCTTCAAAACCAGCACTGTGAGGCCCAAACGCCAATCCTCCAGGTTGCACCTGCTCCGGCGGCTTCCACGCCGGCGGCGAGCACGCCGCCGGCGCCGGTGGAAATGAGCGCTGCCTCTCCGAGGCGCAACCGGGGGGAAGAGGGGGGACCTTTCAGCATTGCCAGACAGAAAGTCAGATTTTGATATATATATATATATATTACATATATGTATATATACATATATATATATATATATATATGTTTTGTTTGGGACCCCCCCACCCCCCACCCCCAAAAAAAAAAAAAAAACAAGAACAAACAAATAATGAGGTGCTTCTTTCGGTGTCCTTTTAAACCAACCCCCAAAAGGGTTCATACCCTTAAATAAAAACACACACATATATTTCTCATGCCTCTTTGATACACTGTGTGTTGTGTTTGCGCTTGCATATGTGTTGCCTTGTCGTTGCCCTTGTTTGCCTGCCTTTGTTACCCAGGTGCGGATGTGTGGTTGATGTCACATCAATGCCCAGACTTGCATTTGCGCGCTTTGGCGGGTTCCTTGCTTCTGGAAGGTATGCTGAGGGGACCAACCGGCGAAGCTTCCGCAGAATAGCGCAGTTTGTCTCAGATAGGAATGGGCAGCCGTGCTGTGCACGCCTGTGAAAAAGATCAAAGAAGAGGCAGTTCAGGTAGCTAGCCCAAGGTGCGCAGAAACCCTCCTCAAGCAGCAATCATGATGTCCTCCCATGATCTTGAGACCTGGACACGGTGGAGGAATCGGACCCGCCAAAAAGGCATGTCTGCTGATCACGAATGGTGTGTGCGGGTCCTGTCATGGCTGCGTTGGCTCTTCGAGTGAAAAGATAGGCGCATCACATGAAGATCGTGAGCCAACCGCCTAAAAAGGAAGACCGCCATTTTTGGGGTCCCGGACCCCTGAAAAGAGACGATGTTATTCTGCGCACAAGAGTTTGGCTCAGTTCCATATTGGATGTGGACCAAAGGAAGCGAATTGGTGGCTGAGGCCCCTTTGAAAGAAACACATCCATCTTGGATCCCGCCCCCGCCGGCTTATTATCATTGATTTCCGCCCTTTCGATGTCTGGCTGCGATAATGTGCAGCTGCATCAAGCACCAGGGTCTTCCAAATTGGATGACTGGTGGTGTTTGCCATACTTCTGCTTTCCTCACTTCCTGAGTTGGTGGGGTTTGGACCATTTTGGGGGTGGCAAGCTCATCCCCGCTTTGGGCCCATCCGCTCCACCGGAAGACCTCCAGACCTCGGCCGGGTGAGCGCCAGGAGCGTGGGCCCCAGCAAGGTGACCAAGGCCGGCCGCCGTGAGTTTTCTTAGGCAGGGAACGAGTGGAATGACAAATCCATTTGGCTGTGGCTCAAAAAACCGGTACCAAAATGGAACCCTGGTAAGTGGAAACACGGACCAAAACCTGCGTAACCCCTCCGGTTTAATTTTGAGCCGCACCCATTTCGCACCACCGCTCAGAAACCCAACGGAATGACTCGATTCCCCTGCACCAACCCACCGTTATGGGTTATTCTCTATCAGGTGTTCGGGATAGTCCGGGTACGAAGAGATGCGTTCATCACAACTCAGAGTCTACCTGAAATGATTGAAACGATTCAATTCCCCTGCACAAACCCACAAACGCTATGGTCTCAACCATGGTTTCCAAGTGCTGGATCTCCTCCATCAACTTGGCGTCCCCTGTAGTCTCCAAACCCCTTCCGCTTCATTCCCCACACCTTGCCTGTGATGTACTCGGTACGGGGTAGCGCATGTTGGCTTGGAGTCGAGCCCAATGGGATCCCATGTTGGGGTAGGTGAATTCACCACCCATTCAAGAACATTTTTTGGAGTTTGGATTGGGATGTTCACCGGGGGCTAACCGATTTGGAATTTGACCCATGGCCATGTGTACGCAGAAAAGATGACAAGCAATGGGCGCTAAGACCAGGGCCCAGATGATCTAAGACCATCCCGGTTGGCACCGGCGCTGGTCAGTTGCATTGTCTGTGAACATCAAAGAGGTACGTACATTCCAGGTATTCCTGGTCGCATGCCGCTGAGTGTGAAGCAGCCGACGCCCATCCTGCGATGTTGATGCCATCCTGCTATCTGCAACATAAAATCGATACCTGCACTTTGCGAGTCTCGTCGGTTGCCAAGAAATGCGCTCTGTCTCAGTCGAGCCACACTCGACACCATTCCGGTAGATTCACCCCAAGAAATTTGGCCCTTTTCAATAGGTGCAGTGATCATCGTGGTGCAGGTGATGATGTCAGTCGGTTTCTTCCCCAGAATTAGTTCCCCGTTTAAATGTTTTGCTTTTTTGGGTTTCCTTTGTTTTCCAATATGGGGTCCTAATTCCAGCCAAGGTTTCAGCAACAAAATCTGGCAGGTGACGGTGTACCCTCCGGTGCGTATGGAGTCCAGCGCGGCGACTCAGATGGCCACTTGCACCAGCTGATTTCGACTCTGCCCAAAGCGAATGGACCGTTTGATCTGACCTTTTTGTTTCCCTGACTTGGTCCATTTGTAGCAAAGGTTCCAAAAGGTTAACCTCCCTCCCACTACCATGGCACCTCACAAACGGTCCCTTCAAGATGAAGCTTATCTTCCAGGTGCCCCCATGTACCCCACAGGTGCCTTCTGGTGAGAGGAAGGTCAATCTTTTCTTTCTGGGTCCCATCCGAACCAAAAGTCTTGTGGTTCAGATGCGCAGCGCCTCCGTCAAGGGCAAGCCATTTGCTCAGCCCACCAACTGTCCACTTGGGGCATAGGCCCCGACTCTGCCCAGTGAACCTCTGGGAGCCACAAAAAGGGGATTGGATACTTGACTGCTATTGGGGTGGATTAGTAGATTTTAACTTTTTGGTTGAAATCAAGTTGGGTTTTCCACTAAACCCCCCAAAAGTGAAGCTCGCTTTTTGCAGGGGGGTGAACAGCAACCAAGGATAATACGCACTTCCTGAGCTCATGGGCATTCTACTTTTGTGGTTGCCGTGGTCACGCCCTGGGCCCGGTCAGAGTAACGCACACACACAAGAGGTGCTGGAGATTCTACTTTTGGGGGTTTGGACCGTGCGAGTGGCATGCTTTTTGTTGGACCATCCACTCAGAAAGTGAGAATCTGTGCACAGCTGTGTGCATGTTTTTTTGTATGTTGGTGTTTGTCCGGTCTTCGGGGGGGCTGCAAAGCAACATCTTGTTTGTTAGCATGCCAAGGGTTGGGAAGGTAGCCAAGATGTATGTCAGACATTTGCTGGAAAGCAGAGAAGTCCTGCATCGCATCACTCGGGTTGCGACATGAACGCATGTTTCTGAGGGTAACCTGTTGACGTTAGCTTAAAGGGAAGCCAACAGGAAAGCCACCATTGTGGGCCCCCGCTAGTTTGACACATACCCAGAAATATGTTTGCTTTGTCCGCTTGGAGCGGATGGAAGGCTCGTGCAGTCCTTGCATTGCTTCAAATGATCGTATGCATTGCTTCATGAAATCGGGTACCCCTTAGTTGGTGGTTGAAAATTGGTGGTTTGGGGATATGTAGCCCTTATTCTTGTAGAGGGTCTGCATAGGCAACCACCACCTTCCCGTTCAACCCAATCCAAGTCACCAATTCAACCCCAAGGTGAATGAGCATTTACCGCACTCGCAGGGAAGCTTGGGCAACTTGGCCACCAAACCATTTTTCCCAGGATGGACGAACGCTTCTAGGGGAAAGCTAGTCACAAAATGAGCTTCAGCCGGATGTTTTGTGGATCCTAGTTCCTGATTCTTTGGCTGCGCCCATTTCCAGTTGGATCCTTGTCAGTTGGATCCTGGGGCACAGCTTTGCGACGGGAAAACAGACAGGGCGGTTGCAGCTAGATGTTCCGACTTGACGTGGTGTCGTCTCACTGCTTCGTCACGCAACGAGCGAGGCGCGCGATCCGACGACGACAGGTGCTACCCTCAGGTCGGCTGCCAACAGAACCCTACTTAAAGGGGCATTGTACGTCAGGTAAGTGGGTACTAACCATGGTTACTTTGGTGCATGTTGCTTGATGTTAGGACTTTAACTTTTTGCCAACTAATGGGCTTTCCATTAAACCACTAAAAGTTAAACTTTTAGCAGGGAAGCAGAAAGCACCCGAGGCTATAAGCCACAAAAGCCATGGTTGTAAGTCTCCGTTTAGTGGGTAACCTGGCTTACCAAGCCACTTACCTGACGTAGCGAATCGATTGTTTTTTTAAGTAGCCCCATTTGCCCGCGAAAGCAACGCCAGTTCCCTGGCTCGGCTTCTCTCACGCTCTGGGAAGCTCTTTGGTTTGGGAACAAAGAGGCCACGCTGAAGAATACTGTGGATGGACGCGAAATCCGTTCGCACCACGTGGAATCCATGGATTGGACCATGACGTTTGTTGGCATTTACAGAGGAATCATCATTCCATGGATTCTTAGGTGGTGCGAAATGGATTTCGTCCATCCACAGTATGTTTTAATTTTCCCCTGTTTTAAAGGGAATCTATCACTACCGGACCTATAAGCTTATTTTTCCCCTGGACAAAAAAAGGAAATGGAGGCAAAGGAAGCTAGGCGCCGTCTCTGAGGCCGCTCACCAGGGCTTCGGGCTACGCTACGCCCAGGTCGACTGCTTCGGGTGGACCGAAACTCGGTTGCTTTGCTTAGAAAAGGATGGCTTTGCTTTGTTGCACTTAGAAAAGGACTGATGAGAAAGTGCAACAAAACTCGGTTGCTTTGCTTTGCTTTGCTTAGAAAAGTTGCTTAGAAAAGTTTGGATGAGTTTTGTGGCACTTTTTTCGGGCCATCTATGTTTACGCCTTCTAAGTTTTTTTGGGGCATGTACGTATTTCCCCACTGGCAGTGGATTGACCAAAATAACCTGTATATTATGGTTGATGGGGCTCATGTCTTTTGTTTGTCTTCTGTTTTGTCGGAAATTGCTGTGTTGGGCTAGGAATGGGTGGTTCCGGTTTGTATGGCAAGCCTTCAAGATGGAGTACTGTTTCCCAGCTAGCATATCGATAATATTGGAAAACAACATTGTTTCCTTGGTGGCTCCCAGCCATCCCCTTAGCTTGTTAGCTTTTGAGTGTTTAGTGGTTGGATTTTCAATTCACCCACTACAAGTTATTCACTTTTAGCGGGGGATATGGCTGTGAGTCAAAACCAATGGTACCATTTTGGGGTAGGTGCACCACCCATTTTAGTCTATTTTAGTGGGGATTGGGATGTTCGCTGGGGGTCCGATTTGGATTTTGACCCATGGCCATATTATTGAGCACAGCCCAGGCAACCAGAAATCATATAGATATTGAATATGGAACAGTGTTAGAAAGTATGGGTTCTTGGGGGTACCCCAGACTCAGGCCAAGTTTATTCACTTTTAGCGGATCAGAAAACGGACAGCCCAGTTTCCCGCTTCCCCCGTTTTGCCACTGCGACGTCTCCAGGCCTGCAGCCAACGTGGTCTGGTCCACCCCGCCGGTGCCGTGCCAGGCAGGAACGGACGGGGCCAAGGGGGCCAACGGCAGCTTCTCAAATGCGGCGGCCTCTCACAAGAGGGGCAACTTCCATTTCCATCCTTTCCAGTCCTCCTTTTCCAAAACCAGCCATTTAGAACAATGGGTTTGTATCCATAGTTGTGTCCTTTTTGGTAGTCTTGGTGGAAAAATAGATGGCGATTCCTGGTGTTTGCCTGGTCGTTTAATCATCTACCAGGACCTAGGTTCTCCTAGGACCCCGCAAGCTGTCAAATCGCTTGGTAGGGGGGCTCCGTTCGACATCCACAATTCCGGCTCCCTGCATGGTTTCGTGGGGTTCCTTCCGTTCTTCAGCTCTGAATCTACCTGGCGTTGTGTTTTGGTGGTGTACTCCTTGAAACAAGCTTACTCACGACGAAGGTCGACTAATTAGCATTAGTGACTTGGCCGTGGGTCAAAACCAATGGTACCATGTTGGGGTAGGTGCACCACCCATTTTAGTCTGTTGTAGTGGGGATTGGGATGTTCGCTGGGGGTACGGGATTTTGACCCATGTCCACTTCAGTTTTGTGGATTATTTGTTTGGTTCTGCGCATCCATGAACTGTTGATCGAACACACCAGTTATTAATCAGACACCGAATCAAGATGCGAACACTTTGTGAATGATTAGGGCCAAGCAAGTGCACACGTGGTTGTCGCCTACAATCAAGAGGTAGTTTGGTTTGATAGTGCCCCACAACTCCATTTTAACTATTTGGGTGTGTCCTTTTCCAAGCCCCCGCCAACAAAAAAGACGGTTGCCTTTTGGTTCAGCCTTTACAGCAACGAAACGGGGTACCAACTAGAAAAAAAAAGTCATCCATTTCGGCCCACATCCTTGCCAGGCATCGCCTCCGCGCTTCCACTCAGGACTGCGCTTCTTGTGACCTCCTGGCTGTGGTTGGCAGAAGTAGGGCAACCCCAAAATGAGTTTCCCTGGTCAATGGGGACAGGGACTAAAATGTGGGTTCCTGATAAAGCACAAGCAGAAAGCATCAGGCTTACCTGGAACCTCGAAGGTACAGTGCAGGCAGTGCAACCTGACCTTAGGTGATTTGGACAAGCATGAGCCACTGGTGCAAGCGTAGGATGGAAATATGTGTCTTCCCATGATTGTCCCCTTGTTGATTCTAAAAGGAATTCATCACTATTGGACATATTTCTATTTTATCCGGGGGTCGTACGCAAATGGAAGTCGAGTAGTTTGAAGGCAATGTGCTGGATGCTGGAGTTCTTGTGTCCAAGTGTCAACAGGTTCCGACCTGATGTACAGCAGGCAGATTCAGTTGTGCGATGAAATAGATCAAGGGAAGTAGGGGACAGTATACCAACGCGTGTGCCGATATTCGCTTTGATCCTGACCATTGATTTTGACTACTCAAAGTGCCCCCCCGTTTTGCATCTTTGCGAACGTCTCTTTTTCTCTCTTTCTTTCTTTCTTTCTTTTCTTTTTCGGGGGAACATGTTTACCAATGGGGTGTATGACGTTCGGTTCAGGCAACATTCAATTCAGGACCGGTGCAGTCAGCGAGGCGGGCCCAGGACTTGTTGTGCCATCGATTCTAAAGAGTCAGGTAGCCTTTAGATGGTGGCTTTGGGTTTTTCACAACAAAAAATATTGTTGCATCGGGTTGCATCGGGTTGCATTGGGTTGCATTGGGTTGCAGGGGTGGGGGGGCAGAGAGATTACCCGGGATTCTTTTCTGGTGTTCTGCGCCGTTTTGTTTGGTGTGGTTGAGTTCCATGCCACGGTTCTAGGTTGAAGCTGATTGTTGTTTTTGAGATATTGTTCAAATAGAACCCAACAAAATAGAGGCATGGCCGCTGAGCAATTGTTGTGTCACATTTGTTTTCCCAGGTTTGTGACAGGTCTTTTGTTGCACTTTGCTCCAAAGACAATGTCACTTTGAGCATGTCAAAATAGGGAGAAACCCCGAATAGTGGGTTTCTTGTTTGGTTTCCCTTGAGCCTACCTGAAAGCTGGCTCCCTCAAAAAAGGTGAACACTTGTGGATGGTTTTAAAGGCAAGCCACGAATGGGTCAATGTTAGCATCTTTCATTTTTGCCATTGATTGAAATGATAAACAAACAAATATATTTAAATTCTAGGACTGCTCACTCCGGCGTTTCCGGGCTTTATATGTTTTGGAAATATCTTTTGGTGCGTTGTTGGCCAATTTGCTCAGGAAGTGAGCTTAGGATTGACCGTTGACAAAGATGATGGGATCCCTAAGGAGGGGGGTGCTCCCTAAGGAGGGGTGCAAGAGGGGGGTCCGTCCCTAAGAAACCCTAGAGACCCCGATAAAACAATCAGGCGCCCCAGGAAACCCTAAGGAGCCCTAGGGCTTCGACGAGGACGCCGCTGTCGGGTTTCCCGAAAAACATCCGCCGCGGCAAAAAGGCCATGGACGCCCATGGCACCCGTCAATCTTCCGGCACGGAAGCTGAGCCTTTCGGGAGAGAGCTGCATTGATGGGATTTGTCTCTTAAAGGGACCCCAATCCTAGTGTCCCTCAGTTTTCCTGAACTCACTGCCCAAGTTCCGTTTCTGACTTTAATACTTTTTGGGTTTGGCTGCCATTTTGTTGGCAAACATAACAGGGCTCCTTAAAAGATAGATTTTGCAACCATTTGAAACATGTTGCTTTTTCAACACAAAAATAGAGTTGGAAACCACCATTTACAAGTTGCAATGTTCAGGTGTATAATGTAAGGATCCCTGCAGAATGTTTGGACTGGGCAATCATTGCCTTTTCGTGGCCCATCGGGGAGGCTTGGACAGTTGGTGGTTCAAGCTTGCCACGTTTTGTGAGACCCCTCTTGGGTATCGCAGAATTCTTTCCCCTTCTTCAAACAGTCCTGGGAGCTTCCCAGGAGTAAAGAATCAAGGATTCAACTTTCCCAGAATTAGGTCACTTTTTTTTTTGGGGGGGGGGGCTTTTTTGAGGTTCCCTTTGTTTTCCACTAACCAGGCAAAAAATATAATGTTTTTTGCTGGGGTCCTAATTCCAGCCAAGTTGGGTATCGCAGAAAAGCATTTGTTTGCACAAGTCGCTGCGTGAGTGGCTGGTGAAGTGACACGCCCTACGTCGGCCTCGGCTGATTGCAATCGCGTCACTTGGCTTGCTTCAGCCAACATGGAGAAACATTTTACAATCGAACCCGCGCCCGAAGGCTGACCCTCTATTATTTCTTATCTTTTTGAGAGACCACGCGATTCCATGGGTGGAGCAATTTCTAACGAGAAGGATCGCACAGCGATCCCACTGAGTCGTGCCGGTAAGCAACAAAGACACGGAAAAGGCCAGCCCACAGAAGCCTTTTGTGGAATGTGTTACCTTCCAGCCCATGAGAATCCCAGTTGCCCAGTGGTGCCCTTGTTTCCTTTCTTTCAGGAAGGGTTTCCCTTCAAAATCAACCAACCAAAAAAGGGGGGATGACCTTTTTTTCCTATGGCCACTGGGCATCTGAGGAATAGACTCACTGGCTCACTCCCTGAGTTCCGTTTCGGATTAAACTTTTTAAGTTTAGGTACGATTTTAGCGGCAAAATTTTAAATTTTGGACGTTTTTGTTGTGCCGTCCGCTCAGGAAGTGAGGTTGTTCAAAGCCGACCTTTTCTCCTTTTGGCTTGCTCTTTTGGCTCCAGTTTTGGTAAAGGAGTCCCAAAGATTACCCTTCCTCCCACTAACATTGCATTTCGGCGAGGGTACCTGCATCAACGGGGCCGGGAGGGCGGTTTTTGTTTGAGAGCGGCCGGCCATGGGACCTGAAGGTGTGAAAGTGTCATAGGACTTGCAGGACATTGGACCTTCACAGAAGAAGAAATGATCTAGTGGTGATTATAAGACATGTCCCAGGATGAAGTTGGGCTCTGACATTTTGTGTTTATTTATTGTTGTTTAACTGGTTTTCTCAAGTTTTTTTGGAAAAGTGCACAAACCTTGAGAAAACAAAAAAGCCATGTCAGACCCCATGTATCCATGCTGGCTGAGTACATGTTGGTTTTCTTTGTTTTATTGGTTTTCTCGAGTTTTTCTTTTAGTACTAAGGAAACATACGCCAAAAAAACAAAAACAACTACTAAATCTCCGTTTTGTTTCTGGGTTCTTTGGGCAAGTAAGAAGGTACTCCGGGCAGTACAACAAAACCACAACCCTTCGTGCCGAAACCCTTGGAAAGGCGGATGACCGCTGTGTCTGGTTTGGGGCAAATGGCCGCCAGGCAAAACCCGGCATGGATCTACCGGGGTGCCAAACTGGTCCCCCAGCTAGGTACCCTTTTTAAGCCCTGTTTTGGTGGGGAGGGTTCCCTACTAAAAGAGACAGAAAAAAACATCGGGTACCATTATTCTAACCTCTCAACTGTGTCCTCAGGCAAAGGTGACGGTGAAGTGCGCGCCCGCGAATTGCGTCCTGCTGCCCGACAGCCCAGAGGCAGAGCTGCCGCGCGTGTCTTTCTGACGCGGTGACCTAGTGGGGAGGACCACTGGTTGGAAGTTTGACGACCCTGGCGACCCTTAAAAAGATCCATAAGGCGCGCCAAGGTTGACTAAGGACACTCATGGATCAAACTTGAATCGGACTGGCAAGGGAACAGCCCTATGAATCAGGTGGATTCCGAAGTCAGGGCATGTTTAGTAGGGTTCGAACACGGGTGAGCAAGCAGAAGACCCCACTGGCAGGTCCAGGTGTCTCACGAGGTTTGTCGGGTGTGTGATTTTCTGCTGTTTCATCGGAGGGTACCCCTTTCGGGGTCATCAAAAAGGCAACTCCACGAGGGACGAATACATATTTCTTGGTTGGATAAATATGTTAGCTATATCATATAGAATTTTGGTCGAGTGTTGACAGCCCCCTCCGGTCATGATACAACCCCCCCTTTGGCTGGCACATGATGCATGTGGTCCTGATCTGTTGGTCTTGAAGGCTGAGATCCTGGCGGACTTGGCCACGGGTACTCTTTTTGGTCCGAATCATGAAGTGGTTGTGGGGCTTTCTCAGCACTGTCTAGGCCCCCCAGCTGGGTGCCCTTTTTAAGCCCTGTTTTGGTCGGGAGGGTTCCCCTTCTAAAATAGACTACAGAAGAAAAAAAAAAAAAGCGGGGTGCGCTTATTCTAAGCTCTCTACTGGAGGACCTAGACTGTGCTTCAACGGGGAAAGGTCACTGCACCCTTTCACCTCTTTACTTGTCCCCCTTTTGCATCCAGCTCCAGTTCGCCCTTGAGCCACAGCTCGTCCCCCGCAGGTGACGGAGAGTCCGCGCACGGTGCTTTCACCCCAGGCTGGAGAACATCTTGGTTCAGCCCGGAGCTGCGGGGTGATTTCTTGTTCCCTTCTTCGCCATTCCCGTTGTTGGAAGCTCCAAAGGACAGTTTTAGCGGAAACAACCAGTATCTTGATCAACTTTTGAAGGGGAATCCAGGGACCCCTGTGTTTGGACGGGGTGTCCTTCTTGAAGTCAACCGGAAAGGGGGCAGGTGCTGCAGTGTTCCGTGGCCAGGTTGCAAAATCCCTGCAGTTCGTGGGATCCACTCAAGTTGGTTGTTTGGGAGTTGTGTCTTTGAAACAAGCCGAGAGGTTTCTCCCTGGGGCGAAAGGAGACAATGGTAACACACACACACGCGCAAAACAATGAAAACAAAATAAGCTCAGGCGGTATCCCAACAGACCCCCTGCGCCTATCTGGACAGAGACCCCAAAGCTCCCAGCTGTTGGGGGAAAAGAAACACATGTCCGCAAGCACAAGCCGCGAAAGCCAGACGTGAGCGTGTGGAAGGCAGTGTTGACTTTTCGAGGGGCCAAAAGGCACGCCGGGCCCTCGTCGGCTGCAGGTTCCAATGCAACTGGCGCCGATGGTTACAGACGCCCGGCTGCAAGGGGGGGATGCGCTCTAGATGGGTAAGGGTTGGCTCAAACTTCCACAGGGATCCCCCTCCCGGACTCCGGGTGTTTTCTATTTTGTGATTTCATGTTGGGTTTGACACCACCGAGAAGGATATCAAGAAACGACACGACGTGCTCGTTTCGATCCCTGCCACACTTAAGACCGAGGCATGTGGCTCTCCGCCGCGAAGCACGCTGGAAGAGCCACTCGGACCTGTCGAGCCGCAGGATATTCATGCCAGTTTCAGCGAACGGGTCTCGGCGTGTCGGTGTAGTTGTTGGGTTCTACGCTTCGATCCGTGGTTCTTTGCGGTTCGAACCGTGAAACTTTATTGATTTGTTGGTCCTTTCCATACTGGGTGGCTGCAAAGCACCACAGCTTGTAGCTAAGACATGGGATAATTCAAGAACCATGGGCTCATACCCGCCTGGCTACGCCATCTGTGAAGGCTAGCGTCCTTTTGAGACGTATGACCACCCAAGTCTAAGTTTCCTCTCCGTGCAAATGTTTGGTCGAAACCACAATGGACTGCATGGAGCCTGCACCCAACAGAATTAATCCTCACCCCCCAACCTCCAGAGGTGAAATCAACAGTTGATCAATGTGATGGTGGTTTCCATTGAAACGATAGTGAATTCACCATTTTTGCAGCTCGGACCTTCCCCATCCCCCCATCCCCCCATCCCCCCATCCCCCCATCCCCCCATCCCCCCATCCCCCCATCCCCCCATCCCCCCATCCCCCCATCCCCCCATCCCCCCATCCCCCCATTCCCCCATCCCCCCATCCCCCCATCCCCCCATCCCCCCATCCCCCCATCCCCCCAGCGCCCGCATCGAGTCCCAGCGAAGGCGGCTGAAAGAGCTAGAAAGGCGCCTGGACGCCAAGGAGTCGGAGTGGGGGGCCTCGGAGTCGAATCGATGCCTCGGTCCAGCGGGGCGAGCTTCGCTTGGGGGTCCCGGTGGGGTGGTGGTGGGGGGGGGGGTCTGGGTTCCATGCTAAAAGTTGATGTTTTTTTTTGTTGGGTGGGGCCCTGGGGGGGGGGGGATTGCGTCAGGTGAGCCAGTTGCAATCAAAACCCGGGTGGGTGCAGGTTTAAGGGAGAATCCCATTGCCACAAATGGTTGCTGCCGTTTTAATTCTTGAAATGGTTCTGGGTAGACCATTTTAATGCCGATCGGTTTTGATTAGGACTCATGTTAGAAACTTGCCCACCAGCCTTTGGGGTTCCCGCTGCTGGAGAAACACCTATGATGTTGATTATGTTTTCATTGCTTTTTACTTTCTTGGCGAATGCTTTCTCACCATTTGTGCGGTCTTGATAGTTTCTACTCCTCCATGTTGGTTGGCAATTTGTGGAAATGATTCGCCATCACCCCATTTTAGTCACTCGGCTCACGGTAAACATAAACCCGACCCCCCCGCAATTTGTGTGTAAGCCCTTGTAGCACCCTCACAAGAAGGACCCGCTCATTTTAATTTCGTGGACCCAGGATGTGCAAGGCGATTCGGTTTTTTGTCTCGGGGAGAGGGGGGGGTCAGGTACCACTGAACTGGTTTGGATTCCCCAGGTTAGAGAGACGGGAAACCATCCCTTTCACAGCTCCACACCAGTGCAAATCACCCAATTGGAAGGAAGCTTAGTCGTCGCAGCTGTCGTGGTGTTTCTCCGGAAATGATTGGTTTATTGTTCAGGTTTCCCAATTGAATGACATACTGACACCAAAGGCCATGTCTTGCAGCGGTGCATACCGTGTTTTGTTTGTTTAATTGTTTGTTTGTTCGTTTGTTCGTTCGTTTGTTTTGTTGTTTTGGGTTTATCATATTATTGTTTTTGTGGAACCATTTGTTTCCTGTTTTTTGGTTGATTCCTGTTGTTTGTGTTTTTTTTTTGTTTTAGGAAGAATAGTAATTTGGTTAAAAAGAAAAGCAATGAAAAATGATACGTTGTTGAACCATTTGCTTTTCGCTCGTCGTTTTCCCCGCGTTTCGGCAACTCTTAGCGGCCAGCCATTGCTTAGGTGCAAGCTGCTGGAGCAGCACCTCACTGAGGCGCGGATCGAAAACTCTCGCTCGGGGGGTTCCACTGCGAGTCCAGCCACGAAACTTCCGATGTTCGTTTTCAAAAAGACGTTTTTAGAGAGACTTGGACTCCAACAGGGGGGACCAAAAGGAAGAGGGTTCTTTTTTAAGACGTGTTTAGAGACTTCTCATTTGTGCAGTGGCACCCTTTTGGTGCTCCACTAGCAATGGTCCAAGCCCCAAAAAGGGTTCCCCTGTGTTTTTCCAGGGTCACTGAACAACTGAGTTCTGATGTTCGGTTTTGAAGATGTTTGTTGAGACCCGTCCATTTGGTTAAGGATATTTTTGTTATTTTCCCCTGTCGGTGTTAAAGGGGATCGATTTCACTACCGGAGTTATTTTTACTTGGACTCCAAAAAATGCAAAAACAAAGAGGGTTCCAACTTTGCTTTCTCAAAAGCCTTGGTTCAAAAGCCTGAGCTTCCATTTGCTGAAAGGAGTATGTGTTTCCAATGTGATTTTCCCCGGGTGTTAAAGGGATCGATTTCACTACCTTTTTTTCCCGGGGGACTTCAGCAAATGGAGGTTTTTGGTTGGGTTGCCTGACCACAGAAATTGAACCACTTTGTGCCGCTTTTCGCCCTGATTCTTTGCCTTTTTTTTTTTCTCGGTAGACTACCCGGTCGACCCCTTGAATACCCAAACTCGGTTGTGACTTACATTGTGGTTTTGACTCTTCTTTTGGTGCTTGGAAACGAACAGGGCCCAACTGTTCCTTTTGGGACGGGGGCCTTGTCCACATTTTTGGTGGTGGCGTTCTTTGTATGTCACCAGAATGGTTCTCAGAGCCCACTAAGAATCCCTAAGGTTCTAAGAACCTGCCGAGAGTTGGGTCAATGGAACCACAAAGCCTTTTTGCTTTTTTGGATGATTTTCTGGTATTCTGGGCCCTGGCCCCTTTTTGCCACTGCACCTCTTTTGGGGGGGGCATCCATTGGCAGAAAAAAGTCGTCAGTCCATGGGGGGGCCTTAGACCGTCCGCATGTTGCCATCCATTCCAAGGACCCCCCCCGCCTTTGGACACGCCACTTGCCAAGGAGCAACAGGAAGTCCGCTGCGAAGAGCTCAAAACACCTTGAGAAAAACCAAGCTGAACGGAGGAAAAACATGAATTTGCCACTTCTCTGGCACCTAGTTTCCATGGGAAAAACGAGGGCACCTCAAGTTGCTGAAGTCACACTTTCCCCAAAGGCTCTGGCTTGGCACTTTCCAAGAACCCGCCTGAAAAACACACATTCTGCCAGGCTGCACGACGCCCAAGGAAACAGTTCTCTACTTGTGTCAAGGGAAAACTGAGACTGTCTAGTTGCCCGGCTCTGACGCCTTCCCATCTCTATTCTCTATTTTAGCTGGATGACAATTGAAACGGCAAGGCACTGAACCAAACCAGGAACCTCTTACTTTGCGGGTTGAAACCATGTAGACATTGCTGAGGCGACTTTGAGGCCGCCCTGTCCAGGGAACCGAAGGAGTGTCATTGCCGATTTGGTTGATGCAAGCCAGGTTCTTAATCCTAGTCGAGTTTTCTGCTAGCTTCGAGCTACAAGCTGGATAATTTGGAACTGCGCTTTACGACATGCAACCAGGCCAAATGCTACAGCTACATGAATTAACAGGACAATCTGCAGCAACCTAATCTCGGCGTGCTCATTCTACTCATTTTTGGGGAACCGCCCGCATACATTCCCATCATCCACTCAGTGAAGTCCTGAGGCGGGCTGCACCCGTCACCTAAAGGGAAGCCCGTTTGGGGTTGACCTAGGATGCCCTTGCCTGTTCTGAGGTTTGGCACTTTGATAGATGTAGGTATTGGGATGAGGATTTCTTCATACATTGGGCTATCTATTGGTGGGGTGGGTGGCGCCGTTCACATTTTGCAATCCAATGTCACACAGATTATGTTCAAGCCCTTTTATAACGGTTAACCGCTTTTTGGGGAGTGAGAATTGGTTAAACAAAATCGGTTGTTTTAGTGGGTGTGTTCAGAATATGCCAAAAAGTGCGGGGGGGGGGGACCCTATGACTGGATGGCAATATGCGGACGGGAATGGCCTAGTCCAACTCTTAGCCCATGCCGGGCCTCCAGCTGTCAAGCCCCTCGCCAGGTCCGCGGCTGCCTCGAGGAACAGAAGCAGCGCCGGGGGCACAGGAAATTTTTGCTTGTGACGGCAGGGCTTGTCACTCCAATGCAAGTTTTCGGGCACGTGACCGTTTTTGGGGCGCCTTGCCATGCCTAGGCTTAAGCTCCCCACTTCGCTGGCTTTTTGCACGTGACTTTTTGGGCTGCAAAGCCATGCTTAGGCTGAGTGTTCCCCCCCCGTGTCTCCTGGCGTTCGGCGCGGAAAATACAAAGTGACCGCGGAGAAGTCGGGGTCTCTCAAAAGAGGCATCGAGTTCCCCATGACGTTCGGCACGAAGACAATGACGGCAGAAAAATGGGGTCCATCTTTACCTTGTTTTTGGGGAAAAATGGTACCCTTATTCTAAAATCACTACTGGAACACCTAGTCTTCTTGGACGTCCCTCACCCCCCGACACCGGGCCCCGCTTGAGGCGGTGCCAGCGATCTGCAGCAGCGCGACCAACACATCATGGAGCGGATGGGGAGAAGCTACCTTTTGGGGCTGACGACGCTCCCAGGGTTGTGTCGGGAAACATTGTGCATTTTTGCTTATTGTGGTTTAGTGGGAAATCTCCACTGAACTGCTAAAATCTAATGTTGACCCAGGATTAATAAACCCGGGCCAGTATTAGGGGGGCGTTCCCTCCAAAAGTGGTCTGAATCCCCAAAAAAAGGGGACACCGCCCTATTAATCAACCAGGGGTTGATTAATCCGGGGTTAACATTCGGGCTGACGACGCTCCTGCCCACCAGCATGGAACCCACCAGGGAAATGGTTGTTTTTTGAAGAACAATGGTCCAAAGCAGGAGCCCGAAACGTAGTGGGCAGGGGGGTACATATAAGAAGCAGAGTCTGAAGATATGTTTGTCGGACTAAATATGAAGCAGAATTCGAATATCTGCCTCCCAGCTGCTTTTTTGGATTGTCATTTTACAAGCTAGGAAGCATAGGGACTTTGGCCACTGGCGTTGAGATAGAGGTTCAAGTCCTGCAAACAGGTGGGAGAACCACCTTGAGACCATTTCTCACATTGGACTCCCCATTGCTACTGAAATGGAAACCACTAGGACACCAACTAGTTCTTTCAGGGCTCATTCTCGGGTGCACCGAGGTGTTTCTTGTGGGTGGCCCTTGGACCTTTCAGTTTGCCCCCAATTTTTTCGGACACCCCCCCATTTCCCCGGTACATTCTCAGGGACTCCCCATTTATTTGGGCGGCCCCCCCCTTCCCCAAGTTGGCTCCCCCCGGTATATAAAGGAAGGAGCAGAATCGGTGCTTGTTTCGACAACTTCCGCCCAACGTCACAAATTGTTCCGTCACCCCAAAGCTTGGTGGCTCCCAACCATCCGGTTCCTTAGTTTTGTTTAGCCTTTTAGTGGTTTAGTGGTTGGATTTCCGAATTTGACCCACTAAAAGTTATTCGCTTTTAGCGGGGGATCTGAGGGTCCCGCGCAATCTCGGGTTCCATTTTGGGATCCCATAGTTTTCCACTAAAAAGGTGTTTTCCACTCCAAAAAGTTAAACCTTTTCCAGGGGGGTCAAAAGCAACCAAGCTTTGGGTCCCATTTCTCGTCACCCCAAGGGTGATATTTCGGGGCACGCCCACGGAAGGAGCTGAGCCGCCGGAACCACGAGCTCATCGCGGCGGCGCGGCGCACGGAGGCGCTGAGAGATGAAGCGAGCGGCGTGGTGGCTCTTCCCTTTGCTTCGGAATAATTACGTGTTATTTTCTTTGTTGGTTTTGAATATGTGTTATGTTGCTTCTTTTTTTGAAAGGGAAACTGTCACTACTAAACATGTTTTTTTGCAAATGGAAGTTAAAGGGATCATGGCATCCGTTTCTGTTTGTTTCCCATTCTTGGCTGGTCAGCCTTTTGGCCCATGAGTTTCCCTTGTGATTTTTCCAGAATCCATGGTTGCTGTTGGGAAACAGTTCACATTTTTGCTTATTGTGGTTTAGTGGAAATCTCCAATTCATTGCTGAAATTTGAATGGTTGCTCCCCTTCCAACGTCAACCAAGAATCCTTGCCGTTGTTTAACTGTGATGTTCGGGGCAGAAGCTCCCGAAGCCTTGGCGTTTTTTTCTCGCTGATTGGCAGGGCGGCCGTTCATTTTGGCGCTGGTATCCAAGTTTTTGCGTTTTGAAGAGGGAGCCTTTCGGAGCAATCGGAGTTCTGGACTCGTTGCGGGTGGTTTGCCCCTGGTTTTGGCCCATCCCTGCTGTCTGGAGAAACCGGTGGGATCCCCAACAGCCCAAAGGGACCTTCCCTGAAGGAACCGAGATTCCATGACACCTATCCTTGGGCGGAGACACCGTGGCTTCCAGCTGTTTGGGAAAAACCTCCACTCTGGTTGGACCTTCAGAAAACAAGCCCTTCACATCTTGGTTTGTTCCAACTCGCGTAGCTCACCTGTGATTTGCGTTTCTCGGGGTTTTGCTTTCTGGTTTTGGAAGTGTATCAACTTGCCCATGTGTTTGAACCCCTGATCCTTCCTGGACGGAGTCTGCATCAACGCGTTTGTTTTTGTTTGCGGATGGTACCCCTTCCCGGTGTGCTTTGAATTCAGACCGAGCAGAAGAGCAGGAAGAGTCGGGAAGTCCATGAGATCCGTTTGCAACTTCCCCTACCAAGAAGACACCCCGAATACAATGTCCCAAAACGCGTGAGACTTTGATCATTCCCCATAATCCTCAAGTGGGGGTGATCAAAAGGTCCGATAAACATGGGATGACCATCAAGGAAACCAACAAAAAGATGACTTGTCCCAGAGGAAGAGTTACGTGTGGTCATGTCTCTTCTCTTCACTCTGAGGTTCGGGGATCTCCTTAGACCCCGTTCGGTTGGGTTAAGCCGTGTTCTGGTGACACCTGTCGCTGATGTCGGTTGGACCCCAGACCCCAGGTGTTTGAGTTGGACACATGGGCCATACCCCACCATTCAGCGGAACAGAGCGTTTGGCCAAATCTGCGCCTCAGTCAACTTCCATCTGCTTAATAATATGTGTTATTTTCCCTTGTTGGTTTTAAAGGGAATCTATCACTACTGGACATATTTTCTCATTTTTTCCAGGGGGGGAAAAAGCAAATAGAATTCAACAGCAAGTGGTTTTTGGAGTGCCAGCTTGGGTCCCAGCTCTGTAGCTATTTGGCCGTGGGTCAACACCAATGGGATGGTGCACCACCCATTTTAGAACCTAGTTTAGTGGGGATTGGTTGATGTTCACTGGGGCTACGGTTTGGATTTTGACCATAGCCATTGGCGAAATCCGCGCCAGGTTGGAGTGCACCAGGTTGTTTGAGCGCCTATTGGGATTCCGTGGCCAAGATTTGGCCGTTTTGGTGGTGATGTGAGAAAGACGGGGATGTACAGAAGCCGCCCTGTGCGCTCTTTTGGACGCTTGCGGGCACGCGCAAGGCGCCAGTTGAAGAGGACGGCTCGGATGCGAAGCAGGCCTGGGGTAGGATGGGAGTCCCAAGTGCCGTCCCGAAAAGAAGGAATGTGTGGTTTCTGGAAGGAGATGGTTGGATTCATGATATGTCCAACACACGAGTAAAGCCCGCGTTTGCAGAAAATTCGCGATCCATGGGTCCTGGAAATCGATGCTTCCAGCCGTATAAAATTGAGAGCGGGACGCTGTGAGCGTGCGTTTTTTCACGCTTTGAACTCAAGTTGAGCTATGTCTGTTTAAATGATAGCTGAAGTGTAAAGAAATTCGATTGGACAGAAGAGGCTTATAATCACACACACACACAAAAGCGCACGCTCAGGGTGACCTGTTCTGATGAAATTGGCGTTGGTCTCCTCAAGGCTGACTAGCAATTCCGATCCAAAAACAGGGTGGCATGTTCAGTCGGTCGTTTCCTCCTGAAGTGCTCGCTGTTTCGTTTGTACTCAATCCAAGCTCCAACTCGTATTTGCCTGGGATACGATGCGCAGGTGACATTCCTAGCTGGTTGGGAGGGAGCCGTTCTGGGCTGGGGTTATCCAAGTGTTTGCTTTTAAAGAGGGAGCCTTTCAAAGCTGCCGATCGGAGTTCTGGAACACGTGGCCCAAACAAAAAATGGAGCCTGGAAGGGAACCGTAAGGGTTTCTGTGGCTACCCTGTTTCAGGTACACTTGTGGAGACCAGCCAGACCATTCAAGAAGAATGCTCACACTTTGCGCTTTGTTGACACGTTTTCCCGTTTTGCGGAAATCATGTTGAACCCTCCAAGAGAGCGCGAATATTCTATGGCGGGGGGGGGGCTGTCCCTTTCTCAGAGATCAAGAATCGAGCATAGTGGTGCCGTACTAAAATGGGTTAGTTTCCACTTGGTTCACTTTAGATACCAACAAATGACCAACCAAATGTGGCCCACAGAGGAGTTTTTTTTGTTCGGACACGATTTGACACAACAGGATTTCTCAAGCGACCTCCCTCGAACCGGTCGTCGCCAGTTTTAGAGGTTGCAAGAAGGCACATGGCTCGGAAACCCGGTTTGACAGCAAGGGACCCGGTCCTTCCCTTGAAGTTCCTTTCTCTCAGACACCCGTGGCCCAGCGGATTCCGCCCTTTCACTTGTCTTTTGGGGGAAGGGGAACGCCCTTTAACCTCAACCAACCCAACAAATCGGATGCCCCGTTTTTTTCCAAGGAAATCCGCGTCATTCGTTTTCGCGAGGACGCGCCAACGCCGAGAGCACAGGCGCAGAGTACGGGACGCTGCCCCGAATTTGTCCCGGACAAAAAAGGGTTGGAACCACGCGGAACCGCCGAATAAATTCGAAAGGATGCTGTTTTTGAGGGGGTGGAAGGTAGTGGCCTGGGCTTAGAATTCATCTTGGAACAATATACTGTGATATGATTTGACAAACAGTGGTGGTTTGAGCAGCTTTTGCAGCAACACATGCCTGGACACGTTTGGGTGAATGGTGTTTTCTGGGGGCTACCATGACTCAAGACTCTTTGACCTGCCAAATATATGGCGAGCTGAACTCATTTCGGGTTTGCATTTCGGGTTTTGGGTTGTTTGTCGATGCAGATTGAAGATCCCCCGATCCTTGTTCCGTTGGGGACAGACAGATTTCTGAAATTCAACTTCGAAAAAGCGGCTAGAAAAATCGACTTGGACTTTATTTCCCCCCCCGCCGGGATTGGAAGGACTGGCAATGATGCGCCTTATTGCGCTGAGATGCGCTGATGGTTGACCAAAATCGAGACCTTAAACCGCCCCAACGGCGGCTTTTTTTCAAAGACCGACCCTTGGAACCTTCCATTTGGTTAAGACCAGTGTTCCCCCGTTGCTTTCAAAGGGAATCGATTTCCCTACCGGAGTATTTTTCTTATTTTCCCAGGGGACAAAAAAGAGACTCCATCACTAGTGGACATATTTTCTCATTTTTTCCAGGGGGACAAAAAAGCAAATGGGAGTCAAGAGCTCTGGTGGTCTTTGGAGCGCCAGCGCTTGGGTCCCGAACGCAGAGGGAGGGAGCCGAACCGCGCGGTTCGTTCCAGGAGCCGTCCACAGAGGTGCTGGTGCTCCATGAGGCCACGTCCTCCGAGACGCAGGAGATGGCGCCGTTCGCGTGAAGCCAAGCCAAGGCTTCTGCCCAGAAGGACACATGAATCAAACACTGTGGTATCACAGGGGTTGTGTGCACCCCGTGTTGAAAAACCCTTTGGTTTCCCCGCTGACCTATGTTTGGCGCACGGCAGCCAAAAGCTGTGCCAGCCTAGAAATGAGTGAGTTCCGTGTGTCCTTGAGGAGTGTGACCATTTCATTTGAAATATCCAATTTCATGAACTGGGTATGGGTCAAAGTTAAACCACAGGTGACCGCAGGTTTTAGACCATGTTTCCATTTATCAGGATTCCATTTTGGTAAATACTTTTGACCCACAGCCAACTCGCCAAGTTTTCCCATGGCCTCATGGATTTAGAGCGTGCCTCAAGGAGGAGAAGAGCGAGAGCGTGGGCAAGAGCGAGAGCGTGGGCAAGAGCGAGAGCATGGGCCAAAGCGCCCAAAGCGCCAGCCGCGAGCAACGAGGAAGGGGGAAGTCGCGAAGTCGCGAAGTCGGCAGGGGAGGGCTGGATGCCAGATGTGTTGTTGACAAGATTCCAAATTTAGGATTCGGGATTGGGGATTCGAGTCACATCTTCAGGATTCGGGATTCGGGATTCCGGTTTCGAATCACATTTTCGGGATTCGAATCGCATTTTCGGGATTCGAATCACATTTTCAGGATTCGGGATTCGGGATTCGAATCACATTCTCGAATTCAGGATTTGGGATTCGGGATCCGAATCACATTTTTCAAAATTATAGGATTCGGGATTCGAACTTTTTCGGGATTCGGGATTTGAACCGCAATTTCGGGATTCGGGTTTCGGGACTCGGGATCCGAATTTGGGATTCGCGCGCGAATCACACTCTCCACCAGCTTCTCCGGATCACGTCTCGAAGGGGAAATCCGGTGACCCCTGTAAACGCATCCAGTGCAGCAAGTGAGCACCAAAAAGCCTGAGTGCAGGGCTTTCCAGTCCCCGTCAGCAAGGGTTGCTCTTACTCTTCGCATGTGTTGGGGTTGACTTCTTCACTGGTTCTGACTCAGGCGGGGATCCATGGAGAGTGGTAGG